CTTTTCTCCAGTCCCCTTTGGAAGAAAAGTCAAAGTCATCCAAGCTGCTGTCAACTGATGATGCATTGACGGAAAACATGTTACGAAAGACACTTGAAAATGATTGTCTCCCCAGTATGGAAGCAGATGATGAACCCGACGGTGCTATTCTGTGATCACATTGGCTGGTCTGTGGTTGTCGCAGCACTAATCTCCGAAAAGAAAATCCTGTCGATGAAGGCAAGTTGCACGCTATTTGCAAGAATATCATCAAATATGCTACTGAGTACAATTTCCTTCGACATGTCGCGTCACCTTCCCTCTGCCTCGTTCGCTTCATCCTCGTTGCTGGTGAGTACTGGTATGGTACCTGATACTCACAAAAGATTGGATCATCAGCTGGGAGTGCGTTTTCGTTTTGGTCAAAAGTATGGATCCCCTCCTTATAATGGGGTCAATTTATCCCCGTTTTCGCACGGCCTACGCGGGGAAGGTCTCGGACTTCGGAGGATTCTTCAAAAAAGTCATCCTCACAAATTTTGGATCTTCCGTGTAGAACGCTGAAGGATACGAAACACGAAACGATTGTATCTGATCTATCTTGTTTTGCAGTGGTGCATTCCAGGAGTCAATCAAAAAGGTGCGTAATATAGTCTCGTGGATCTGTCTTGAATGTACGCATTATAGAAGAACCAGAGTCAGTCAGTCAGTCAGTCTTTCTTTCTTTCCTTTTACTTTTTCTTCTTCTACAAAAACATCTTCCTGCGACTCATTTTCTCGTTCATTGAATCATTCATTCAATGATTCATTCACGTTTCAGTAAAATCCCAGTACCGACTTAGGAAACCAAAGGAATCTAACACCTTCATCATTATCATCAAGATGGCCGACGAGTTCACTGAAGAGTACTTTGTGGCCCGCATTGCGGAGCTCAAGGAACAGATCACCGCAGCCCTTCCAACCTTGGAATCCTCCCAGGCCTTCATGGCACACGATGAACAAGCAACAGCCGTTTGGGATAGTTTTCAAGAGTATTTAGGACTCAGGAAGAAGTGGGAAAAGACCCCCAAACAGCCCAAAGATGAGAAGCAGAAAATGAATCAACTACAACACGATGCCTTGCAGGCTTATCTTAAACTGAAAGAGGACACCTGGCCGGACCGAATGGACAAGGGTGATGCCTTCTTTGAAGAATTGGAGCCAACTCTCAAGGAACTTGAGAACGCCATTATGGAATGTTCCATTCTTACCCGCACGGAACCCGCACGATTGGCAGAATGGTGTGCCGAAAAGGGTGCTCATCGCGACATGTGGAAGGATTTTATGGAGAACAAGGAATTGCAAAAGAAAATGATTACCCACGGAGGTGCCGCCTTGGGCAAGTACCACAAAGCCGTGGAAATCCATGCGGACATTACTCAAAACTTTGATAACGATGCCCCAAACGAAGTCTTTGACAAGATTGCCTTGGCAATTGCCTTGGAACTTGCCCAGCCAATTGGAATCTTCAAGCATGAAGATGAGCAAACGGTCGATCCGGTGGAAAGGTAAGCAAAAGGCGATGAGTTGGTTGGAAACTAGTTAGCTGTCCCTGAAGGAAATCTTACGCTTTGAACTATTTAGGTTTTGGCATTATGCCAATGGTCATACCTACAATCAGTTGGACAAGAATTTTGCTGAATTCGATGTTTGGCATATGAGAAATATCGTCAACAGCAATGCGACCGATAAAGATGCGACATGGAGTAAGATCTGTAAAGTCTGCCATTGGATCATTCAAAAGACACCACCGTCTCACTCTCATAAAATTTGCCACCCACGACAGTGCGTGAAATGCTCAAGATCTGGAGACCAGATCAAGTTCGAACACCATGCTCCAAGTGGAAGTACATTTGGTCCCAAAGAACAGATGTAAGCGTCACGTCACATTTCAGGTATTGCCGAGCTACTACCCCAGCAGTGTCCATGAATCTAACAAGTCGTATTGTTTCCTTTCTCTTTTTGTGTGTGCAGACTTCGAACCGCAGATCCATGCACGAGTTTGATGATATGCCGTCTCTTGTCAGTGCGGGTGGCGCTTGTGGGCCACAGGCATTTTACAGTCGTGCGTTGCTCCGAGCATGGGGTAAGAGTCAGCTTGCTGTTGAAATGTCATTATTATTATCTTGTGCGCTGCCTTCTGACCAATACTTCACACTTGTTCCCTTTCTCTTTCTTTATTCTGTAGGACAACCGGCTTGGGGGGTCAGGCAACCTGGACACGCCGCAATCTCGAGATGGTATCCAGAAGGATGTTGGGGGACCGAGTTGGGTCATTCGTGGCAGAATTCCCATTTTCCCGAACTCCGATACTGCAAGCAGGGTCATGAACGGGAGGGAAATGATTTCAATGAAGATGCGCGTGCTCGTCTCAATATTTCTGCAGAGGAATACTTCTACAGTGTGGCACTTCTAGAAGCACTTGAAGACTCTTTGGAAGGATGGCTTCATCCACACATTCCTGCGGATCAATATTGGCGTTCGTTGGCCATCAGCCGCAGGTACCGATTTGCCACTAGTCCTTGGAGGGAGGAACCCTTGGAGTGGAAAAACAAGCCCAAAAAGTGGAAGCGTCCTTTGCTGCCTGATACTCCAGAGAAATGGTCTTCCGATGAAAAGATGGAATTCAAGCGAGGTCAGTGGGTGATTCCACCATGCACCTGCTCATTTCCCGATGTTGCTGCTACTAGTGAAGTCTATCACGAATTTAAGGATACGGAATTCCCTTACTACCCTGGTCCTGATTATCGTGCTGCACATCTGCACGTCATGATGGCTTACACTGGTGGTTGGATTATTCAGCTCGGAAATGGAATCAGGGTGCACACAGAGTACACCATGCCTGATGACTTCCCAGAAGGGTCTTACGAACTATCTCTCAAGTTTGTCAACGTCCACCGGCTTCAGACACCCTTGTATTTTGTCATCACAGACCCAGAAGGCAATGAATCCGAGAAGATGTTGATGGATATTCCATACACTCGAGGTGAATACATGATTGGTGAACCTCTCACGGTGGAAATGAAGCCTGGAAGCAAATTTAAATTTGGACGAACCGAAGGCTGCAAATTCAACCTTACCGTCAAGGAATTCTATCTCAAGCCAGTGGACGGATAAATGATTCCTATGACCATGTTGCAAATGTTGCATATGTTGCATACGTTGCATACGTTGATTAAAACCCATAGTCTGAAGGACATAAATTTCTCGAATGTAGGCTTGTCCGATGGAAGTTTTCGTATTTCTCACAATTGTTATCTAGGATGAAAATCATTGTCCATGTTTTTGATTGCACTATTGTATCTTATTCGCCATCACCACAATGCTAGCGATTGTATGTTTGGGTTTTTTCGCAAGGTGTTGGATGTACAAACCTCTATCGAATTGACAGCTGGTTGCTGCATCGTGAAAACGTACAGATAGACGTCGACCGAGGTGCTCCAGGGAACTGAGATATGACAGCGCCACTGATCATGGATTTCTGGTTTCGTTGCCACTCGTATAGGTACGAGCTCCCCATTAGCCATTCTACCATTCAAACGTACCTGGATGTCAGAGTTCTGTATCAAAGGGCGTTTTTGAAATGTCAGCAAGAGTACTCGGGCATCGTCTACTGGTTCAAGTGGAGCAAGCACCGAAAAGGATTTGGTTGTATTGGTGTCGCATTGGTAGAGGGGTGTGGCGCGTTTTCGGTCGGTTCGTTGCGGATCAGACTTTCCTATGCTCTTGATATCACCCAACCCTGGGCCCGCCACTAGTCGCCTTGGAGTTGCTTGATCACATACAGGCAATTCTGATGTCCATGCTCCCAGTGGAGACCTCCATTCTACGGTGGTGTACGATACGGTCGTCATGACATCTTTGATAACTTGTTTCGCTTTCGTCTCGTTACCACAATTCCACTCGTAACTGATAGGCTCAATCGAATTTCTTTCTTGCTGGGATGGAGGCAAGCTGCCTGAAACTATCTTTGGATCGAAAAAGCTCAAAAGCAAAAAGGCTGTTGCCAGGTGACCCAACCGGCTGGTGTGTACGTGATCTGTCAGGAATGGGCACATTTTGTACCCTTGACATTGAGGTATTTGTAATCCGTCTACTAAAAGACCCAAGTGAACATGTCCCACCACGAAGTCAAATTGCCTAGCAATCTGCCCATGCGACTCGTAGGCACGATTCATCAGCCTTTGCGTTTGTTCATCCCTTTCAAACGAATTCCACATGTACAGCATCAATACTTTTGGTATTTTCTTCATTCGGTTCACTTCAGACAGCCATGCTATTAGGTTGTCTCTGGAGCTTTTCATAGTCAAGTCTTTGTCCTTCCATCCAGTGGACACATCGTTAATGGAAAAGTCCCATATTAACAAATCAGTATCGGATGGAATAAAACTGTCGAAAAACAAGGCAGTGTGAAGCGAGTTTCGAAAGCCATGGCCTTGTCCTACCCATTGCACCTTCGGTGGTGGTTGCGTCTTGTCGTCATGGTTGTTTTGATTTCCAAGAACAAGCTGCAGCGTGTTGAGATAACCTGCGAGCATGGAATAATATCGATCCTCTTGAGGTACCGATGGGTCGCCGCCCCCAGCAGTGACCGAACCACCATTGGCAACGATGGTAAAGTTGCGACCATTATGATGCGCCTCAAGCAAGTTGGAAATAAGGCTGATATATGCATCGTGATTGTAGACTGAAATCGAATCGCTTGGTGGTGTCGGAAATGCAGCAAACGTGTCCTTCAACTGTTGGATACCACTGGCATTATCTTTGGTCGGCACGTCTAACAACCGTTGCCACCGTTTCTGACGCTCGTCCAGTGGAATATCTCTGTTTCCGATTGAGCCATTATTATAATCTTTCGAGTGAAAGTCATTCCAAATGCTCTCCCACTCGGCGAGAGGACTTTTTTTTTCTCTTTCCAAAAGAGAATATGATCGAAAGAAGTCGCCTGTAAGGTGTGTGTCAAGGATCTTGCGAAAATTGGAAACAAGTGCAAACAACCATGGGACTATTGCGAGTACGACCCATTTTGTTCGCGCCATCCTATATACTATTGTCGGCTTTTGTGTGTGCTACAGCAAACAGTTGGAACAACATTTGGCAATTCGTTCTTAAATACTGTAGTATGATCCAACTTCGCTTCTGTCGCTACTTTCCTGGTTTTGACTATTGACGTTCATGTGCGTTATTGCCTTCAGTCTCCAGTCGAGCTACCATAGAGAATAGATAGAGAGATATTTGACTCATTTGACTATATGAGATTGATGAGTCGGAGAGATCAACTGTGACAGATTAGATGAGTTAGTTGCCGTACTTCTCGATTCAGGTGTTCTCTCCTTTTTTATGCAGTGGAGGCGTATAGCTTACCTTGTAACTACTGCTACGATGATACCAGATCAAGAACCTCACTATCAATCTGAAGAACACACAGAGAAAGCTTTTGCGGAACGAATCGAAGCTCTACGTGCAACCATTCGAGCCAAGATTCCATCCGGCTGCTCGCTCCAAGCCTTTGAAGATGCCTGCAAGTCTTTCGAAACGAGTACTGCCTCTCAAAAGAAGGCAGAAGATTTGCTGAATGCGCTCAAAAAGGCCAAAACGGATGACGATCTTATTAAGAAGGCACAGGCGGTTGTCGATCAATGTAAAGAAGCACTTGAAGCAATGTGGACAGTGGAGATTGAAACAGGCCAGCGATTGATTAACGATTTAGACTTGTTGGAGCTTGAAGAAGCTCTGCTGGAATGCACCATCTTGGTGCAGTCGACACCAAAGGGACTAGCTGACTTTTGTGCCCAAGACAAGGCAAATATCAAACTGGTGGATAAATTTCTATCCAACACGGACTGGATGAAACTCATGTTGTCCAATGGAGGCGCCTCGGCAGGAAACTACGGGAGAGCCATCCAAATCCATTCCGATCTACTGGAACAAATCCATGACAATTCTACAGAAATACGCCGCAAATTGGCTCTGGCAATTGCCTTGGAGCATGCTACCCCCATATGCTACAGATTTGAAAGCGGCCAATGCATTGATCCCTCCACAAGGTTTTGGCATTACATACATGCGCATGAAAAGGGCGAATTGGACTCCAAGTTTGAAACATTTACCGTTTGGGAACTCCGTCTAGTAGTAGATAGTGATGCTTCCGAGGAAGAAATGCAGTGGGGTCGAGACTACTTGAAAGCATACCGCCCAGATCAAGTTACATCTCCAGATGACCACTGGAAATATATTTGGACTGTCCGTACAGATGTGAGTATACTACAAAGCAAGCAAGCAAGCAAACTAATGTCCTACACTCCTCCTCCGTTGGCTAACTTTTTTTTTTCTTGGTGGAATCATTCATTCAGATCAACTATCATCATCCCGAACATGATTTCTTTTCCTACAAAAATTTACTCAGCGCTGGAGGTGTTTGCGGAGCACGAGCTTGGTTTGGACGTTTTATAGCCAAAAGCTTTGGTATGCCAACATGGGGTGTCAGGCAACCTGGTCATGCTGCAATTTCTCGCTGGACTCCGACAGGCTGGATGACCTGTCTTGGTGGTGGATATGTAGCCTCACGATGGAATGATCCTCGATACGGAAGCCGAGGAGAACGACTTGGCCTCGATTTTGAAGAAGAAACCAAGGCTCGAAACAATGCATGTCCCTGCGACTATTACAAAAGCATGTGTTTGCTGGAGTGCTTGGCAGATAGTCTAGGGGAAACCGTCATGCAGGCTATTGATTCCAAGAAATGTTGGAGATCCCTTTCTCTGGTGCAGCGTCGAGTCTTTGCCGAAAGTCCAAAGGATGTAGTAGGTGAACTAAGCAGAAATGTGGCTGCTTCTACCATTAGAAAAGACACTACTCCGTTGGAATCTAGTTGTGATGAAACAGCAGGAGACGTGGTGGTTCAGCAAGACAAGTGCTACATCATTCCTGCTTCGAGTTTTACGAATCAACCGTCCAAAGCCTTGCTGGTAATGCCCAGTTTTCTGGGAGGAGATCAAGTCCACTTGAGCTCTGCCAAGTACATGGGGGATGACTCGGCATTCAACAAGCTGCAGGATCAGGGAGGTATAATGTACACCATCCCCAAGGAGATTCCAAAAGGATTCTACACTCTATCGTTCAAGATTGTTACGGTACACCGCTTTCAACCAGTCCTGCACCTTGCCGTTGAAGGCTTTGAAGAAAACTTTGACGCCGTTGATATTCATGAAATTGAAATTCCATATACCGTCGGAGCCTGGGGAAAGACACAAGAGGTCAAGATCTTTCTCAGCCCAGGGACTGTTCTCAAGCTTTCTCGGGAGAGTCCATGCCATGGCTTGACCATGAAGGAACTCGTTTTGGAGCCAGTTTCGTAGTTCCTTTGTTTCGATTCAATCAATTATATATTATGCATAAATATTCTTGTTTCATCAGTATCTTATCTCTAATATCTGGAAGAAATAATGGAGTTAATTCAGAACGAGTAGAGCTGATACAGTAGCTAGCGATATTCCATGCCATGACCCATGACGACTGCGACTGACCGACTCTAGACTAGAGTCTATAGCTGATTGACCGACTCGTTCGATTGCTTCTCACAAATCTTGAGGTTATAGACGCAGTTGGCCTCTGGAGTACTTCACAACATCACAACCCTCCGAAGGAAGCAGATGTAGTTGGATCCACAAACAATAACGCAGTATTTCAAGATAAGAACTGAAGATCAATCAACAAGGGCGTCGGTGCTGCATTTTCATTTTGCCTGTGAGCACGTGCGATATCTCCTCTTCAATGATCATCACACGCTACCATTATGCAAACGAGATCTAGAATGACAAAGCAGCGCACTATGCTGCTCGTCCTTTTCTTTCTGGTTTTCTTTTTGAGTTTCATGGAGCACCTATCCTTAGGGGACAAGCTTATCTTGTCGCAACTCTACACAATGGATGAAGAGGCGCCTGGTATGCTGACCAAACCAAAATCTTACGATACAAGTGTTTTGGGGCTTGGGCAAAGGCGGTCCTATTCTACTCACTATTGTCTAGGCCCCAGACGAATTGAGGCAGAGCAAATTCTAGACGTTGATATGTTCCGATCATGTCACTTCACCGACGTATGTTTTGCCCCCAATGGACACCCCTTGGGAACTCGCACCAATAGCAAACGACATGGCTTCAGCTTGCTATACATTACACGCGATGAGCCTGATGGTCCAGAGAAAGAACTTCATAATAATCCTGAGCTACTCAAGACAATCATCAGGCCACAGTCTGAAGGGAAAGGGCCAAAGCGTGGAAATGTCCAACCTGTTCACTACTTGATACCCCAAATCGTCAACCAATCGACTGCTACCTTGTACCAGAAGCATTGGTCACCAATCACAGTGGCCATCCCATTTAAATTTCATCAATGCACTAATTTCGGACATGCATTGGGTGACAATGTCTTCCCCGTTTTCCGCATCCTCAAGAACTTTGGATTGTACCATCCAGCGCTCCGATTTCTTCCGATTCGGTTGGATTGTGCGAATCGAGATACCTGTGATGGTGACAAATGCAAAATGGTGTCACAACTGATGGATCCGTTCCTTCGACGAGGTGAAATAGAACCACCGTATCATGTAAATGGGCTCTTCAATGTCTACTACAAGACGGCGATGAAACTTTCCGCGGAAGAACATCAACAAATGAAACAAAATAAATCGATACCTCTTTTGTGCTTTGAAAATGTGCTTTCTGGCATGTATTACTACCCTGACCATGGGGAGGATCGGACTTCGCATGGAAACCGAGAAAACGAAGCAGGTTCCAACATTCTTCATACTGGTTCAGGCGACAAGTTTCTTGAATTTCGAAATCAATATATGATACGTTTGGGCGTTGACCCCGGTCGACACCTGACAAATGGGGCATGTCAGGCTGCGGGACAGACTCCTTCGATCATCATACTAGCTCGGCGACCCGAATCTCATGGGGGAAATGGGTGGTACGAAGAAAATCTGGTTGAAGAACTTGAGAAGACTCTGCCGAATGAGAAAGTCACAATAGTCGATTATTCGATCCATGATATCAAAGCACAGATCGGCATGGCTTCTACTGCCAAAATCCTCGTATCCATGGGTGGTGGGGCGAGCTATCTGGCTTTTTTTCTTGCTCCAGGAACGTCAGCGCTCTTGCTGAAGCGACGATGCAAAGTGCATGACAGCTTTCTCTTTGACAACATTCCCTATATCCGAAAAGAGTACTTCGATGCAAGTAACTGTACGTCCGATCTAGAAGTTTTTGATTATGTTGAAATGGCTAAAAGTGTTCGACGTTCGATCCAACATTACAACCGCCGATTCTGTTAATAAAAGATTAGCCAAAGTGTAATCAACAACTACGTTGACAACTACGTTGACAACTACGTTGACTGCCTCTTTGTTGGCCAAATTTTGACAAGCTTTAATTGTTACCATATATGCTGAAAGGTGTCGAAACAAAAATCTTAGACGTCTAAGTGATCACACAGAAAGTAGACCGCAGCACAGGATCCCATGGTGACACTTTCTTATAATTAGAATCAATACACAACAACCACGAATATTCGAGTTGGCCACTCCGTAGTTCTAATCTCAATCTCTTCGTGAATACAAGATTTCTAGGTAGACGCTCGTTGCGTCATAGCTTTTGGTACCACTAGCTAGCTTAGCAACATGTTATGCGTGGCTTGTTCTATATTGTTTCACCTATCGTATGACCTCCGGGAAATAAATGAACGACCTGCATCTGAACCACGCGATATGACAGAAGAGCTCTCCAAACTGCCTCCAGGGGAACTGGGGAACCTTTGTGTGCGATGCACCGGACCCATTCCATCGTCCGAATCATGAGACTTGATAGAAGCAGATCGTGTGCTACGCCGACTGGTATTAAAGGTCTCGTCTTGGTATACATCGTCAAAACCGAGCTCTTCGCCAATTGCTACAAGTGTAGAATGAAAGTTGAGCAAAACATGTGAAACACAATTCCGACACCTGCACACAGTGAACTCACGAATCTTGGTATTTCTGTACGCTGATCCTTTCATGTAGCTCGGTTGGCAAGCGCTTCTTAGCCACTTTGGCGTTTCGCTGCCCATGATTCCCGTTATCATTGGATAGAGATCTTTTGTCAAACCAAGGAAGGCGCGCTGGAGCTCACTTTGAATGTTCATTGCCTTGTTTGTTCGCATGGGGTCAAGATCAACAGAATGACTCGACATCTCCCAATCAGTGAAACCAGTACTCATACTTCCCGTACTATTAGCCGGTTTGTGAGACCGTAGACCAGTTTCATCTCTAGATCTCTCCGATGAGAATGCGTCTTGGGTGGTTGCACCGCTGTTCTGCCGTGGTAAACTCTTTGCTGATCTTGGTTCTGAAAGTGGAACGTCCCTACCAAAACTAATATTTCTCGAGTGCATCGAGTTGTGCATTGATGTGTGCATTGATGTGTGCATCGATGTTTCACCTTTTCCTTTTCGATCTTGTATCACGGCAAGGAGAAGGTCTCTATTCCTTGCGACGAGTAAATGAATGATCTCCAGGAAGACTACGAGAGATCTTGCAAGCTTGAGTTGCAACCGATTCACTTCGTCTTCCCCCAAACGATCAAAAGACTGCAAGACATCAGCGTCTTCTTCTTCGGCAACGTTGCTGTTCTTTTGGAGCAGATATAGTCCAATTTCCTTAACTCGACTTGAGTAGATGCTATCTGAAACCACTTTGGCGGCCTCGAAACCGATACCAGGGTCAGTATTGATACCTTTGAAACGAATATTCACGGTGAGTTTCCCAATATGGAGAATAGTTATAGCGACGACAGTTAATGCTTACCGAGCACAGCCCGCCCCTTTGTTGCGATTGCAGTTCTGAAGAGGACTGCACACCACTGGCAAATACCGTCTACTGCAGCCTCCAAAGGACTTTGAGTGTATACTATTCTGTGTGCCACCACCTGTCTTGATACACATGCGGGAAAGTTTTGCCCAACTTGCAATTGAGTCACTCGAAGTGTTTTTTCCGCGTAATCCCTAGATGGACCCTTGAGCCAATCTTTTGTTCCAAATGCCCGTCCTTTGCTGATTGGCTGGATGAACGAGAATTTATCGGTCCCCACTAACTCCCCTTCTTTTTCGCTAGATTTATCGATCATCGGAAGCCTTTTTCTTGGTGTACTCAAGCTAGCACTAGAGAAAACTGATGCACTGAAGGAACGAGCGTGATCCCGATGGCGAGGATCAGCACCTGATGCCTGCATTTCGCTGTACAAGGAGCTACTTCGATGAATGACATGGCGATTTGAACCTGTAGACCCAGGCTTGCAACCAAATACAGTGTCAATGTAGTCATCAAACCATTCTGGTAGGCCTCTTACCGTCCATGTCTTGCTCATCAGCGGGCGCAAAGGAGTCACTTTTACTCGGACGGGCTCAAGCGTTGAGCCCATTCTACTGAACCCACCGAAACTCTGCTGGTTGCTCTCTTCTGGCCGTCCATCAAGGACTAAATGTATGGGAGTCTTTTCCGGAACAATGCATCTGATTACTTTGCGTAACTCATCTCCAAATTGATCGAGGGTCACATTACTCGCGGTGCGATAGACGAATTCGGCGCCCATGAGTTCATCTGGTGCTCCGCCATGGAACCACACACGGTAGAATCGGCCAATAGGTTCAGTAACACACACTTCTTGGTACATACTAGAATCTATCGGCGGAACACGAGAAACAACTGCCCTGGCTAGCCGATCGTATACTTGGCCAAGTTTGCCGTATATGAATTTCTCCGCGTAGTATTGAGAGGCAAGACTCCAAACATATTGGCTGCTTGCAACAATGCCAGCTGACTGAAATAGATCACCAGCGACTTCTGCTTCCTCGAGCATATTTCCCTCCATTTCCCGAAGTGTGATCCATGGCGTGACTGTGTGGTATTCAGCGGCCAGGGCCACGCCGAAGAAAGCAAATTTGCTGCACCCTGAGCCAATATCAGCACTGCTCCTGATCGAGTTTTCATGGCGATAAAATATTCTCCGGAACTGGTTTGTCTTTTCCACTTGTCCCTCAAATCCAGAGTCATCATCAGCAGTTCCCGCGGGGCCTTCTCCATCCAGATATATACCTTCCGATGCGTTGTCTATCCATGGTAGGAACGGAGTACTAGACCAAAGAGATCTATGTAGTCGCGATGCTTTCTTGTAAGTCAAGTATATCTGGTAGTGGCAAGTTGCTTCTTCAGCAAATCTACCTCTTGATTCATGAAACTCCGCCAACTTTCTGAGCCATGCTACTCTGAGTTCAGGAAGCTCAGTAGGCGAGAACACGTCAGCAGCGTCAAGAAATGCATCCTCAACTGCTTCATGGTGGGCAACATTGCTGTGCTCTAACGAGGTGCTGTAAAAGCCAAGAAATTGCTTGCTGTAACCGGCAGAAGCGTTGATGACTCGATGCAGGCGAGTACGATTGGCGCGAATCAACGTCTCAGCTTCGAGATTTCTGGGAGAGTCTTTGTCCTCGTCTGGACGAGTTGGAGATTCCGGCGCCTTCGATCGATGATTCAAATAGGAGAGCGCATGGGCTGCGATGTAAGCGCGAAATAGTTTCTTGAGCTTCTCAGCGAGGCGCATCAACGCGCTTTTGAATGCCACATTTTGGCTTGCCGATTGCTGGTGTAACCGATCAAGAGTACGCCAAAGAGGAGCGAGGCATGCTTCCGCACTGCCGTTGGAGAAAATTTCGACGTCTTTGGTTCCATTTCTGATTTTCCTTTGATCCTTGTAGTGTCGCGCTGCCGCAGTGGCAACAATCCTCTCCATCACTTCGGTTTGAACAGCAAGCAATGGAACGCGGATTCGGAAGAAACTTCCGAAAGTATCCCAAGTGCTTCGAAGGATGAGCTCGAGGAAATCTGAAGCGGGAACACGAACTTCAGCCCGGCGTGAACCACAGTGATATGAAACTACCCTCATCCAGTGCTGTAGAGTCTCCCCAACAGCTTCATTGAACATCTTAATACCATGTATTTTCACAAGCTCCACAGATGCGTGCAGAGTTTTCACCAACGCGATATCACTTTGTCGCAATGCCAATGAATGTAGGTAAACCGAAGCTGCAGCTCTAACAAAGATCACTGTATCGGAATAAGAAAAGGCCAGCGGCGAAGCATCAGCAATTAGGGAGTCTGTGGAGGAACGGTGTCGCTGACGAGCCGGGTTGAAAAAGGATCGAGCTGCTGCTGAAGGTTCAAGGACCAGCCGCAATTCGCGAACAATCTGCATTGCAGTTTTAATCACAACTAATGCACCGTCATGCGCATGCCACTTTCTAGAGCTCGTAGTTGCATACCCGTTTGTAGTGTCTTCGGCGCTCTCGCCAGATGGCTTGCTGAAAGCTTCAAAAAGCCTTCGCCGTCTCGCCATATCCATCGTTTCTTCCTCTTTTGCTACCAAGTACTCTTTCTGCCAGATGGCAAGCGGTCCATCTCCCAGCTCAAAGTCCCTGTCAGATTGCTTATCGCTCCCTTCATATTCCAAGGTAGATAAACACAGATTCAGCAGACAAAACATTTCAAACACATCATTCTCTTGTCTCAAATCACCAGCAGTGCTCGAATAGCGTCTGTGATTCTCTTGGTTCGTGTCTTCTGCAGTCTCTGCAAAGATTATAAATCCTAGACCTCCAAAGCGTTGCTGTGCTCCTTTGCCACTCGCTCGGCTGCACAGAATCCGCCATAACGCTCGCAATAAACCTGCAGGTGCACTCTGTAGGACGAAGATGACGCATCGAAGCACGTCTTGGCGAACTTGGCTCTTGGCATGGAAGCAGCTAGCAAGATATGCAGTTCTCGATATGATTTTTTCCAAGAACGTAATGTACATACTGGCAACAATTGTTGAGGTCCCATCCTTCAAACTCTCTTGACTGTTCGACCAAAAGAGTTCTAATAAGAGCGCTGCTGACCGTTTTTGTATGGTCTGTTCTGCGTGCTCGATTCCCAACACGCATATTTCGATGACAAAGTCAGCAAGCCAATGAGGCATCATGGTTTTAGTGCTTGCACCGGGGTCGACTTCATCTTCGTCGTCATCCTCCGGGACGTAGCTTCCAAGACTGCTATAACTTGATAGCACACTATCATAGAACACTGCTCCTGAAGAAGTGAGCGACTCTGTCCACCACTCCCCCCAACTGTTCGCCTGCGGAGAGTTTACTTTGATGAAGTCTGGGAATCGAAGCAGCGCGGATACTGCATTCATTTGTAGCTTCGTCACTTCCCATGCGCACCACAAACCAATCTTTGAGTCCCTATTGCGTGCATTGTCATCCCTTTTGGTCAATCTTGACAAATACGCTTTCATGAGGCGATAGACACATTCGGGATCCAAGAAGGCGAAGAGATCTCGAAGGAACAAAATGATAGAGTCATTTACATCGTGGCATGTTTTTTGTGTGTCCCATGAATCAAAATTGCGAGTGTCCAGACAGGCATCGGTCACTTGAATAATTACTTTGGTCAAACATGATAGGAGAGCTTCATCCAATGTCACCAATGCAGGATAGTTTTTGAAAGCATTCTCGCCCTTGAATCGACGAAATAAGGAGTCAACTCGCCATCCCAAACTTTGCTTTATTACTTCAAACAGAACAGGGGCACACGCGATGATCACACCACCGGTCCTCGATGCCGCTTCCGATAAGCTAACATTACTGTCGAATCGTCCTTCTTCACTTTGATAATCACTCATGTTATCAGCAGCTGACGACTTCTGTGCTTGAAGCAGTACTAGCCACTGCATGATCACAATCTCATATGCAAATGGGAACCATCGTGTCCCATCGTAACCAGTATCCCCAAGAGCAAGAATACGGTCAACAAAAGTTGGAAGTCGTACGCAAATCTCCTTTTCAGATGTCAACGTTTTCATTGACAAATCTAGATCACTTGACTTCGACGTTTCCTTCTTTGCGTCCCGTGGGGATCCAACGATCAAGTCGTCATTTGGAATTGTCCAGTCAATGCTGCAGTGACTTCGAGTCTTCCTGTGATGAGCGTGACCAACCCGTTTCTCTTCCCCACCCGAAACTCCTGAATCCACACCGCTGTTGCAAAGTAGATTGTGAGCGCATCATCAAATAGGCATAACAAAATCAGTACAAACCTACTCACCTCAAGCCGAAGCTTCGCTCAATAGCCTCCAGAAAAGAAATACCCGCAGATTCAATCTCCGCATCTGTTCCAGGTAGGGTCTTTGCTCCTTTCGCTGATGCTATTGCATTGCTCTGCGACTTGCTATCGATGGCACTTTCTTCCTGCAGGACTGCATCGATTGCAACACTTGACATGCTGGCCGCGATATCTTCCAGAGGAGACCCGAATCCAATTTCCCCTTTCTCATCACTTCCTACTACATCGCCGTCCTGATCTACTTTCTTTGCTGCCGCTTTCTTTACATTTGGTACTCGCATTTGTTTCGGCTTGCTCTTTGAGGCTTTAAGCATAAGCTCGGTGTCCAGCGAGTCTAATGGTTCCACATTTTGCTCTTCCTCAACTTTATCAAAAGCAGAGGCATCACCGGCAGCATCTTCACTGATCGTAGCCAAGTTTGGAGCAGGTGCTGTCATCCACCGTTTTCTACCCACAACAGGACCACTGAATGCTTTCATCATTGCTTGTGCCGCATCACTAGTGGCAGGAACGCTACTTTCATCCACAATCGGCTGATCAGTGTCAACTTCCTCTCTATAACCCGTCTCCATGGCGTTCTTGAAGTCATTGATTGAATCTACAAATGGCGTTGGAGACGCTAATGGAGTCGAACCCTCTGTTTTGAATCTAGCAAGTGACGGCTTTGACAGTTTTGAAGACGGGCTTGATGCACCCCCATTTCCAGGCTGACATGACGAATCGTCATGAGACGGACCTGAAAAGAGAATATCGCTACCTCCATAGGCTCTTCTTTCGCCACTTTCATCACCGATGTTAAGAAATTCAAAATTAGAGCGAACGTGCCTTCGTTTCTTCTCTGCAGAGCTTTTCTTGGATGTTTCCAAGTTCTCTGCCCTCGTGGACGAGAGGTACGTATCCTCAAAAAGAGTGCTGGAAATTGGTTCTGTTGCATGGTCACCAAACATTGTCCCCTCGTCAAACAGAAGAGCAAGGACTCGGCTGAGAGTGATCAAGTTCCACTTGTTCGTACCATCCAACTCCGTTAACCCCCTTTTCGCCAAAAAGACGGTGGTTGAGCCCAAAAGTTGTAGTAACGAAGCAAACGCATGAATACGAAGTGGTATAACTGATTTCGGATTGGCCCATCGTATTCCCGATTCCGCTGTACCTGCAATCACAATCGACCATAGCTGTTGTGTGACACGCAAAAGATTCCGCGAGACATCCAAAAGCGGGCACATGGACGGTTTTGATAAATCAATTGTTGAGATCAAAAGCTTTTCCATTTCATATGCTGTGCCTTGTGACATTGGCAAATCAGTGTCAGAATTAAGATGGGTAAGCAATGCCTCACGATTCAGAGATGCAAATGCGAATTGTTCATTTTGCAATGATGCAGCGATGCTTGTTTCTTGGCCGAAGAAGTCTCCGAGCGTTGAGTTCTGGGCATGCACTGAGGACTGGACAGAAATTTTGACCTGCTCAACCGAAAAAGGAATTATGTTATGCAACTGGGTACGTAGTTTGGAATCGCCATTGAACATTACTCACCTCCAAAGCCATGGTCTCGGGCACAACTTTGTTTCTTGTTTGTCGTCGTTTTGGCCCGTCGATAGAATCAGATCGCCCTATACTATCGGTAGCACTAGTTGATGACAAGTTATCACCCAACACATGCCCAGAATGCACGCTCTCAGAGTCAGTCGCCTCCTCATTATCAGCACGCGGCGCATCAGCTGATACAATGCCTTTGCCAGTATCTGCAATGTCGGATACAATAAATGTTGTCCTCTTGAACCTTCCACTTTCGTAGAGGTCTTTGCGCGGATATCGTGCAATACACGACAGTTTGACATCTTGATTGCCATTTCCAATGATAGCTGATCCTGACGAGATGGGAAGGTGCCCACACGCCAACTGGACCAGATGACAACTTCCCGGTGACCCGTTTTCCATGGTTGAGTCTCCAACAAGATCTCCGGAAATTTCGTCTGCTTTCTGGCCGATCTTTTTCAACCCCCGTAACCGTCTTGTCCACTTCTTTTTTGGGCTAAAGCTAAGTTTGAAAACTGTGAAGAAAATAGACAGGGAGCGACGCGTCTGGCTCTCGGTGCCTGGCTCAAGTATCAGAGGCAGCTTGATCTTCACTTCCTCGAGAAAGCTCGGATCGACACATCTTGAACTGCATGATGTAAAGACTCCCGAAACGAGATATGGGCCTCGCCTAGGATTGTGTATACATGGCCCAGACTCCGGGACATGTGCAAAGTATGCACCGTAGTCGCTGCTCCATTCCATTTCTCTCACTTCCACTTTTACAACAATGTTGCCTTGTGGGCAGTTCTTCAACGATCGCGGATGGCACAGGAGCTGATTGCAGAATGTGGTGTGATAATATGGTTCAATATCCTTTGCACTAGACCCACTTCTTCCTCCTCGCTGCGATTTGACTGGAATTTTGCTTGAAATGCAGTTGAGTGGCAAAGGGCTCAGCTCTTGTGCGTACAATGGGGAAAGTGAGAAGGCACCGTTGCCTCCATCTTTCTTTAGATCCAGGTCGAGACAATTGCGCCCACCACTCACAGTGGCTTCGGAAACAAACTCTTTGTCCCATTCGGATACCACGACTGTATCGGATTCGTTTGCAATCTGTGGTCTATCGCGTTCTTCGCCAGTAGATCCTCCCCCGTTTCTCCTCATCAATTGAGACTCTCCAGTAAAATCAACCAGGCGATCTCGTGCAAGACTACTCTTGCTGTTGACGACAGAGTGGAGACCTAAGTATCCAAAGTTTCTCATAACAAGCATCGCATGCCCGCCATTAGTAAGAACTGGGGCTGGACCTCCGGCTCCCGACATACTGTGGTCCGCTCTAAAAACAAATATGAGTTCGGGAAATCATCAAAGGAAATCCAAACGACATCAAGCCTTACCTAGGGTTCAACATGACCATAATGTGCTCAATGATCTGACGTTCACCCTGACCCGAGGCGAATCGAAACAGAGGAATTTGAACGGCCCGACTTCGTGGCGACTGCGGCACGTCGGCTCCAAACACTTGCAATAAGGGGGCAACTCCGAACGCAAACGGCATGATAAACTTTCCCTGCTGATTGGATGCTTTTTCGGCTCGAGCTCTCATAGTTTCCAGGGTTTTCCGATCTTGTCGATTGGCGGCATCGTTCTTTCCGGGACGAATGTATGGTTCAAAGTCAGTTCCCTCTGAGACGACTTTCTTCACAAGAATTGTGGCATACAGATTGTTGATGCTAAGATTTGAAGGCAGAGGGAAGACACCGCAGCGTGTGCCTTGCGAATCAATTTCTCCCTTATTGGATGGATATGGGAACAGAGCCTCTCTGCATCGCTGTTCCACTTCACGGTCGGAGACAACGTCGAAATGCAAGGTTTCTGTAACTTTCCCGCATCGCGACAGGTCTGGTTTTGGCGCTACAGAAGGGTCGACGATATTTTGCGAAACGGATTCCACATTATACACTGCCACCGAGCAAAAGAGTGGCTCAATCTCCCCTCCAAGACTGGAAAATGTCACCGCCTGTGTGTCAATCTGAAGAAACCTATAACTTGGCGGCCGATCAGACAAAAATGGAAGCGCCTCGGCCAAGGATGTCGCTGGATTCAGTCGCGATAAAGGCAGGTTCTGCTTGTGCAGAGTCTCTGGTTTTGGTTCCAGTCGAGTCTCGACGTGAGGCATGAACGAAGCATGTTCAAGGGGAGGAAGCTGAAAAGGGAACTCTTCGGCACTGCTAGATTCAGCGTCTTCTCCCTTTTCGGATTCTCTTTGTTGCTCGTTCTTGTTCCACCATCCAAAGCGAGATCTAGGATCATACTCCACCATTTTAATAGTAAATGGAGACGGATAATTGGATGAAATACCTCTGGAATGGGCAGAGGAATCCATTTTCCCTTTATTGCTTGTCTTGTCAGTGGATGGTGTCCTCCTGTTGGTTTTCTCTGACGGAGGCGGGCTGGTCGGATTCACTTTAAGAGACTTTGATGGAAAGCTAACTATTCTGGGAGACGATTTGGTATTCCAAGTATGAGTATCATCTGGGCCCATTGCTGGATTTGGGCAAGCAAGAGAACCCATAATATTTTGGGGGCAGACGTTTTCAATAACAGCTTGAATATTTTTCTGCTCGCGACTTCGCACTTGTTCATCACGGGTTTCGTGAATGCCCAAGTCCGTTTCCACAGGCAATGGCGAATCGTCCACTCCAAACAAAGGTGCACTCCCATTCATGAGCTCGTGATTGGAGAGCGGTCGTCCTCCATCCTTTGTGAGTGGAATCTGGGAAATCGCTGGTGTATCTTCTAGTACGTTCTCTTCATTGTGACTCCCGTTTCCATACAGCGCCCCGTCATTCTCCAAAGAAGCCAAGGCAGCGTTCAAGTGCTCATTCACCCCAACCTTCTTCTTCAACTCACTGCCCACAACGGAATCATCGTCGCTGTCACCTTGAGCCACAATGTTGAGAAAGGTACCCGAGTTGAAAACCTCCGATCGCTCTTCTTGTTTCTTCTCTTTGTTCCCATTGTCCGCAAACACCATAGAATTTCCAAAATTTGCCGAGGAGGTGGGCGATGACGACGAATCCCCCAGTGCCCATTGTGAAAACATATCCCGACTTGGCACAACGTTTGCAGTATTGTCATTGTTGTTGCTGCTACCAGAGCTGGTGTTATTGTTGTTGTCAAGTTGTACACTATCTGATGTGCCTCCAGAAGCATTCCCAAAGCTCCCGGCATCGCCTTCCCCACGAGCCATCATTGAAAACCAGTCTCGTTCCGAAAGACTCGCATCATTGTCGGCGGATGACGCCAGTCCTCCGCCGTTCGAAATTGGTGCGTCTTGTGTCAAAGATTCAGCAGCTGCAGTTTCCGCAATGGTTGATTCTGTGACTGCGGTGGTTTCTTCCCCTTGTATCGACGGATTGCTCGACGAAGAAGATGTTGGTTCCTCTATCACGTCACTCCATTTGGGACAAAAGACCGACACATACGATGTTGGTTGATGATTCTCGTCCTCTTTCTCCTCTGCTCCTGGAAGAATCGATATTCCATTGCCATAGGCACGAAAGGCTCCAATGAGATTTCTTACACCGGGTGATAAGCTCCTAATATTGATGGATGATGGATCCGACATGTCTTGTCCCTGTTCCTCTAGCGCATCTGCTACTATTCGTCTTGCTTCCTTTACCGTTTTAGGCGGAACGTGTCCAAAGAAGAGTGGTTTGGGAAGAAAGACGCGCTGGGTATGCATGGGTGTCCGTGGTTTCATTTTTCGAGCGGGTGCACCCACGGCAGAGTCATCCAATTGAATTCTTGACTTTAGATTGTTCTTCTTGACAATGGGCGAGACGCTGTTCGAAGGAGGATCCGACAATGCAGCTGCCGCAGCTTCCAAATTACCGTCTTTCTTGTCGGATTTTTTGAATTGAAAGGTTCCGGAATCTTCTGGCTGAGCCGCGGCCTGAGCAAACAGTCCGCGTTCGACATCTTGACTTGTTGGTGGCGGTGGCGTTTTGGATGCTGCTGCTGCTGATGATGATGCTGCTGCTGATGATGATGGTGTCGATGATGATGATGCTGATGATTGAAAATTGATACTCGAAAAATCGCCAGCCGCCATTGCCGAAAACGCATTGATTTCTTGTTGCCGCCTCTTGGCTTCGTCTTGTGCAGACATGGTTGTTTGTTGGTGTGGGTGTGTTCAAGCTAGATTACTGCGTTAAGCGCTTTTAATTACCAATCACCAGACGTGTCAAAACCCAATTCATAAGATCATTGGCAAAGGTGTCGAAGTTGAAACGCTCGCGCATGTTGTTGACAGCGGCAAGTGGGCGACTACATCGAATCAATCCTTCGGTTTGAAAATTTGCAACAACTCCGATGCGAGCAAGCAGAACAGTGGTCGGATTGATCAATTGATGCACGTTGCGAGGGTCTGTTCAGGTGTTGGCAGGTCTAAACACAGGACCAACACAATAAAGGTGGGCTCCCTCTTCCAATAATAGCTTGAAGCCCAACGCCACCAACGCCACCAGCGCCAAGAAGACCAACCGCAAGAGATGCCCAAGACATTAGCTTGGTTTCGCTGTGTTTCACCGAAAAAGTCGAGATCACCCCAACACATAACGATCTCAATGAGCAAGAATCCGACTGAAATATCATCTTAATGCAGGCGACATTGATCCAACAAAAATGAAGATGCTCCCAGCACCGGCGGAGGGCTATCATTCTACTGCTGAGCTCCAAACAATCAGATGGGATCCCATCTTGAAGTCTGTTCTGAGAGGAGCTCGAGACAAGTAGTCAGCTCTAAACAAGCTACGCGAACATGAGGCCCCCTTGTCAGAGACATCTACACATACATACACAACTAGTGGATTAGTCATATGAAGCTTACAATTCCTGCTGCGTTTGTTGGGCGATCATAGTCTACTTGCATGCGTTTCAATCATGGTCGGCTTTTGGAATGAGTGGCGACGACGAGACTTGCTAAGAAGCACCAGCGGCACTTCCAAGGGTTTTGATGATGGCTTTGTTGCATTTTTCTCATTGTGGATCGGTCAATTTTCCTCCACCAGCAAATCGAAATGTCAATATGCTTCCATTCATCTTTGGTAGCGAGTCGTCGCTTCCAGATGATCTAAAAGTGTTTCCATTCATTAATTTAACAGTGCGTCGATGTGAGTGGCGAGATTGAAAACATTGCTACTTGACAGTACACGAAAGCTATGTCGTTGTAACCAAGGCACAGCGACGCGAAGGATTGCATATCGAATCCCCTGGTATATTCCAAGAAGCCCAAGATGAGGCATCATTTAAGCCAGCTGTGGAACACCCATGGGAATACGGTATGTTCTGCGCTGCTGATCGCTACGAAGGAGACATCTTTATGGCTTCAAATGTGAGCAACACTAGCGAAGTTTGAAACGCGCTTGTGAACAAGAACTGCCCACAAGGGACTGTTGACAAACATGGAGGCTGTGAGCATTTGCGAGGATCCATTATCGGCAAAGGAACAAAGCTACGAGGTGGGGAGCTCAGTTGGCCCATGAAGCTCTGCCTCAAGAAATATCCGGCTATCGTCAGTCTTTTTGTGTGGCCGTATCAAATGTTTCTCACTGGTACAAGGATCACTCCACTATAAACCAATATTTTGGGGTAAAGGTTTGTCAAAGGAACCAAGTTCGAAAGTTTTTGATTTGCCTGAGATTGCTTAATGAATTAATTTATCGTGCATAAGATTTTCTATCGCAAAAGTAATTTACTATGCTCTAGATTCCTTTTCTTTCCCCTACTTCTTGGTGGAAACGGTTGAAGGAATCATGGAAGCAAGTGCGCCGTGGCCCAAAATAGAACGATACTGGCTTTAGCATTTGCATGAGAGCATCTTACCATCCAAATTTTGCGGTATTATCTATTTATTTCCCTTCGTATCTCACTCTATATTTTCCTGTCTGGCTGCTTCATATCCTTTGTCAAAACTTGGTAGATGATGGTGGATCGAACACTTCACGGGCTATTTGAGAATGGTCCTTTGGGTCGAATGTTTGCGGGTGTTATCTTGCTTTACTTTAGTACACCAAAACCCGCTTCTTGATCACATGTCTTTGTAGTCACGCGTCACGCGTTTCGACAAATGGCAGGTCTTGACAATGATGTTTGTTGTTGCCAAGACTATTTGGACAAAGCCCACTGCCGAGGCCAAGAAGACCAACCACAAGAGACGCCACGATGTCACGGAGTGTGCTTCCAGAAGACCACACCATGGAAGAGAATGATAAAGCACCTGATGCCTTTCACTCAAGCCGAGAGGATTCTGATTCCTGGCGTTACCATTCGGACAAGACTATGAAAAGGTGTCCAGATTCCGACTAGAAAGTCATCCCACTGCAGATGATATTGATGCAGACAAAATGAGCAGGCTTCCAGCTTTGGCGGAATACTATTATTCAAAGGATCTCCTAAGGTTTGGCTGGGAGGGTGTATTGAAAGCACTTTTCAGTGGAACTCGAGACAAGGAGTCACCTCTCAAGTTGCTTCGAGATTATGAAGCGACCATTCTCAGAGAAGCCCATTCGTCCCTTGCCTATCTAGGAGCACGGCATGTTAAGCTCACGATTCCAGCTGCGCTAGTTGGCCGAGGCGAGACGATACCCGGCTGCAATTCACCTTTGGCAGACGTGGTATAGATGCTCATTCCAGGAGAGACCTCATTGCACCTGTCGCTGTCACGTCCAGTGGATTTGATGACGGTTTTGTTGCCTTTTCTCGCTGTGGTCATGTTGACTTTCCCCCACCAGCAAATCGAAATGTCAAGATGCTTCTGTTCATCGTTGGCACCAAGGAATCACTACCGGATGATCTTCAGTGCTATCATTCTCTGATTGAACAGTGTCCTTACATGAGGGGGGAGATCGGAAAGGTTGGTTACCTAACGGTACATGAGAGCTACGTTGATGTAGCCAAGGCACAGAGACGAGAGGGATTACATATGGAGTCTCCTGGTGTATTCCAAGATGCCACCACATGACCAAACATCGTTCCAGCCAGCTATATAGCACTTCTGGGGTATGGGAGTGATGCTTGGCCTTGAACGATTCGAAGGAGGCATTTTCATGGCCTCCAGTGTGAGCAACACTAGCGAGGTGTAGGGCGCTCTTGTGGACAAGAACTGTCCTGGGATTGTGGACAAACATGGTGGCTGTGAGTATCTACGACCAATTATCGGTAAAGGAACAAAACTGCAAGCTGGGGAACTCATTTGGATGACCGATTTTACTCCGCACGAAGCTATACCGCAAGAGACATCAGGCTATCGCCAGTTTTTTCGTGTAGTGTCGCCATATGTATCGCACTGGTGTGCACAAGTAATCCCAAGGTCGATATCGCAAAGTCGGTCATGATCGTTACTGGAAACAGGTTTGAAAAGTAGCTAGCAGGTTGGTTACAGTGTACAATGACGGGATAATAGGCCTTATAGTCAAAACATTTATGATGTAGTTTGCAATTTGGCGTCTACTGCTTCTCCTTCTTGAACATCAAGAGCATACGGTAGGACACGGCAAAGCCTCCAAAGACATTGATTGCCGCAACTGAGATAGCGATGCAACCAAGGACATTGGTGGGGGTACCAGTTTCGGTGCTTGCCATGAGAATACCACCCAAAATGACGACCCCGGAAAGAGAGTTACTGGTACTCATCAGTGGACTAAAGAGGGCGGGTTCAACGGCCCAGATCAAGTAGTATCCAAGGATTCCAGCCAAGATGAAGTACAAGAGCTGTTGGACAAAGGAGACAGGAGCGAAAAAGCCCAAGATGATAAAGAATCCAATAAAGAATAAGATGGAACAGAACTCGCCAACGGTGGCAAGGTCGAGGACTCTCTTGGAGAAGACAGAAGGCTTCTTGTCTTCTCGAGCGATTTGATACTCGCCGTCGTCGTCGTCGTCGTCTTCCTCCTTGTTTTGAGCACCTGTATTGCTGATGCTCTGGGGTGGAGGAAATGTGATTTCATTTTCGTGGACGCAAGTCATACCACGAATAACGGGATCGTCCATGTCGATAAAGAGCTTCTTTTGCTCGTCCTTCTCTGAAGGCTTGGGGCACAACAAGTCCATGAGGTTAGCCATGTTGTTACTGTACATGCTGGACGCTTGCCAGGACATGCGGCTGATAAGATCAGTAATGCCGATAATGGTGACGCGGTTGTCGTACACATAGGTCTCTCCAGGTTTGGTGAGTTCACAGTTTCCACCAGTCGCTCCGGCAAGATCCACAATGACACTGCCAGTCGCAAGATTGTCCACAACATCCTTCATGATGAGCTTCGGCGCTGGACGACCTGGAATGGCAGCAGTGGTGATAATGATTTGACATTCCTTGGCTTGTTCGCGGAACATTTCCATCTCCTTCTGGTAAAAGGCATCACTCATGACCTTCGCATATCCGGTTCCACCATCACCGCCATCTTCTGCAAAGTCAAGGATCAAGAATTCCCCACCAAGTGATTCGACTTGTTCCTTACATTCGAGACGAGTATCAAAGGCTCGAACGATAGCTCCCATGTTTGAGGCAGTGCTGATGGCAGCTAATCCCGCGACGCCAGCACCTACAACAAGCACCTTGGATGCTGCAAAGCTTCCAGCAGCGGTCATTTCACCATTCAAGAAACGTTGGTAAACGTTGGAAGCCTCGACTACAGCACGGTAACCAGCAATCTTGGCTTGAGAACTGAGAACGTCCAAACTTTGGGCTCGAGATACACGAGGAATGGCATCGACAGCCAAGAGGTTGATTCCCGCAGCCTTCGCTTGTTCCATGAGGCCCTTTCCTTTATCTGTTCTTGGTCCAACAAAACTGATCATTGTCTTTCCACTTTTCAACATGTCAATTTCATGTTTTCCAGTGACTGGGTGCATTTCAGGTTCGCGGATCTTGATCACAACATCGGCAGAGTCGTAGACTTCTTGTGCGCTGCTGAGAATTTGGCATCCCATCTTCGCATACTCGCCATCGAGGAAGCCACCTCCATCGCCAGCAGTAGTTTCGAGGACAACTTGGATTCCCGACTTCAACAACCTTTTGGCGATATCTGGGACCATTGCGACACGCTTCTCGCTTTCTTCAGCAATTTCCTTACAAATTCCAACCTTAAGGAAGGCTTGGCTCTGAAGTTCAGGGATCTTGGTAAAGAATGGGTCAACCCGCACTTCCTTCTTCGCCTTCTTGGCATTCTTCGCGTTCTCAACATCAGCGTCCTTTGCTTTGTCAACGTTTTCATCGCCCAACAAACCAAGAAGCTTCTCGAGACTATCCTTTGCATCGCCAAGGAACATATAGTTGTTGTCCTTTACAAACAATGGGTTGTCAACACCTGCGTAACCGACACGGAGACTTCTCTTCATGGTGATAGATTTTTTGGCCTTCCAAACTTCGAGCACAGGCATTCCAGCAATTGGAGAATCCGGATCGGTCTGGGCAGCTGGGTTGACAGTGTCGTTCGCTCCAAGGACAAGAGCCAAATCGGCTTCAGGAAATTCAGCATTAATATCATCCATGGCAAATGTAATGTCATAGGGTACATGGGCTTCAGCGAGCAAGACGTTCATGTGACCTGGAAGACGGCCAGCGACTGGATGGATAGCAAAGCGAACATTGTTGCCACGGGCACGAAGCTTGCTGGTCAATTCAGCAATTGCGTGTTGAGCTTTTGCGACTGCCATTCCATATCCAGGGACAATGATCATGGACTTAGCATCGGTCATCATTTCAATGACGTCTTCAGCACTGACTTCCTTGACATTTCCTTCGGCCTTCTTGGTCTTCTTGGCCCCACCCCCAGCGCCATCTCCAAAGTCACCGATGAGTACATTCTTGATAGATCGATTCATCGCCCTGAGCACAAAAATGTGAGTATCAACAGTACGGCGAGAAGTTACACCAGCCATTCAATTACTTACATGCACATGACAAGAGTCAAGATGATTCCACTGCATCCAACAAATGCACCAGAAACAACTAGGGCCTTGTTGGCGAGCATGAACCCAGCCATACTTGTCGAGAACCCAGAGAGACTGTTGAGGAATGAAATCGAGACAGGCATATCACCTCCACCAATTGCCATGACAGCAATCACACCGTAAATACTTGCGAGGACCGCGACAATGATGATGAATGCCAAGCCGAGTCCACGATCATTCCAGTCTTGTCCGGCAGTGAAGGCCAATGCACCAAAGATGGCCATGGCAGCGAAGAACAAGAAAGTCACACCAAGGCGGAATGGAATGACTCTTGGCTTGGAAGCAATAGTTCCATGAAGTTTGAAGCAGGCAATCATACTGCGATGAAACGAAGACAACGGAGATGAGACTCTGGACATGACGGCGCACAATGTCCAAGATCGATTCGAGCTTACCTTCCCGTGAAGGTCATCATACCAATCACAATGGACAAGACCAAAGCAATGGCTTGGACCCACAACATGGCGTCTGTTTGTTCGGCGATGATAACGCCTCCTCGGACAAAATTCTTGGCATTCGGATCAAGGTAGAGACCAATACCTTCCAATGCGGCGGCAAGTCCTCCAAATCCGTTGAAGGCACCGACCAGTTCAGGTAATCCGGTAATCTCTACGGACATGGCGCTCCAAAGTCCAACCACAATACCAGGAGCCATGGAGGCGGCGATCAACCACCTTCCATCATCGTAGGTGTAGGTTTCGTCAATCCAGTAACCCGCAATCAATACAATGATTCCAGCAATGCCATAGAGGATTCCCATCTTGGAAGTGTGAACCTGGGCAACGAAGGACAAGTAGGTATGAGTTGGCTCTATTTTTCGAGGTTGCAAATGATGACCGACTGCCTTTCGATGCATGCGACTTTACCTTGGAAAGATTCATCAAACATAGTATGAAGCACGTTAGCCCCACCACTACCACGGTGTCCAACCATGCATAGTCGATCCAGAAAGGATCATCAGCACCATAGTCTTGTTGTACCATGATGGATTCGAGATTTGTCGTTTTCTTTGCAAATTTTTTGTCTTCTTTTAAGCACCCTGTCTTCTTGGGGTTTGTTTGTTTTTGTGAGTTCTGATGATGTTCGCAAATGTCAAGAATTTTGTTCGAACAAATCTCACCGTTTGACGCGTTTTCCAACTACGTTTGAATGCTTTGCTAGCGATTTGCTAATGTGCGGCCACGGGGTGTAACACCCAAAATTACAATTCTGCGAAACGTCACACCCAGGGTTCCCATTTTTTGAGAGGCGATGAATGCGAAGTGGACCGGTGAAAATACCAGTTCGTATCGTATAGTATCTGTTGAAATATGGCCTATCTTTACTTACTTCTGTCGGCTATTTTTCCCGAGCAAGAACCCAGCGCCAACTCCCAACGCTATGAGAACGATACTAGAAACAGCATTACGGAGTCTGGGGTTCGCATCGCTGTCTGCTGCGAAGAAAGACATGTCGAAACTCTTGTCCTGTGCATCATAGAAGTCGTCTTCGTCATAGTCTTCTTCTTCGATCCAATCCAAACTCTTGCTGATGGCTTTTTGCCAACCGTAACAGTTCTTTGCCCGATCTACTTCTTTCATGGATGGAGTAAAGGTCGAAGCAACACTCCACAGAGCCTTGATCTCGTCCGTATCTTTCCAGAAACCGACTGCCAAACCAGCTGCAAAGGCGGCGCCCATGGCTGTTGTTTCCATTATGTGCGGTGTGATCACTGGCACATTGATGATGTCAGCTTGAAATTGCATCAAAAGCTTGTTGTTGGTACCACCCCCATTCACTTTGAGATTTTTCAATAGAACATTACTGTCTTTGTAGATTGCGTCAAAGACCTCCTTTGCTTGGTAGGCTACTGCCTCTAAGGCTGCGCGACACACATGTCCCTTGTGGTGTGATGCAGTCATACCTACAATACAAGCACGAGCGTCGGCTCTCCAGTGTGGAGCAAAGAGACCGGCAAAGGCAGGCACAAAGTACAATCCATCATTGTGTTCGGTCGCCAAGGTTTCTGATTCTGGGGCATCGTCGATGATTTGAAGTTGATCTCGAAGCCATTGAATCGTGGATCCACTGTGGGAGACAGAGCCTTCCAAAGCATATGTAACCGGTCCATCAGCGCCAATCTGGTACCCAATCGTCGTCAAGAGTCCGTGGTTGGATGGAACTAGTTTGGTTCCAGTATTCATCATGAGGAACATGCCTGTACCATAGGTGTTCTTTGCTTCACCCGGCTGAAAGGCAGTTTGACCAAACAAGGCTGCTTGCTGATCTCCAAGTATACCGGCAACAGGAACCCCCTCCATTGTTCCTACACCAGTGGCATCTTTCGTTGTCTTTCCATAGACTTCACTAGACGATCGAATTTCGGGCAAAACAGACAGCGGTACTTGGTATGGACTGCAGACAGCATTGACCAATTCTTGATCCCATTCCACCTTTTCAATATCGCAAAATAACCAGCGACTTGCATTGGACACATCCGTCAAAAACAAGCCATTAATATTGCCAGCACCTTTGGCGGTAGAAGGACTACCAGTGTACTGTCAAAATAGCAACCAAAAGTTGTTAGACGAGAAATGTTGTTAGTGGTCAACTGGAGACAGCCATCTGTTTGCTGCGACTTACCTGATATAATAACCAAGTGTCTATTGTTCCAAACCGGACTTCTTCTGGTTTTTCTTTTAAATCCTTTTGCAATTCCGAAACATTCTCCAACAACCATTTCACTTTGGTACCAGCAAAATAACTTGCCAATGGAAGTCCAGTCTTTTCCCGAAGCCGGTCTGGGTCTCCTGCAGCCACTTGACTGGCAATGTGGTTCGTTCGTGTATCATCCCAAACAATTGCATTGTAGTAGGGTGTTCCGGTTTTGGCATTCCAAGCCACCGTAGTTTCCCGTTGATTGGTAATTCCAATGGCTTCAATCTCAAACTGAATGTTGTTCGTTTCCAAAATCCTGTCAACTTCACTCATACATTGCTTGACATCGTTCCAAATTTCGAGAGGGTCATGCTCGTGCCATCCAACCTTGTCTTCTCCGGACGGAAATGTCTGTGTTTGCTCCATTTGAGACCAAGCTGCAATTTCTCCCTTCTTGGTAAAGACCAAGAATCGAGTGCTGGAAGTTCCTTGATCGACGGATCCAACAAAGGCATTCTTTCCTTCTTTGTTTTCTATCACGTCAAGATCAATCTTGGTCGTTGCTCGAGTGGACGGCGACATGGTGTGAAATGGTGATTGTTACGAAAGAGAAACGCCTTGCTTGAAGAATGGGTGTGTCAAGATCTTTGTTCTCATGCGGTATGCGTCGTAAATCGTATCGTATCGCGATCGTGGATGCCGAAATCTTCATGACCAATACGACTAAAACAGTCACGTCGTCAAACCTGTTATTTTATGCTTCACCACTGGAATGGTTTGAATAGCCCTAATGATTGATTACTGTGATTATAATAGCAGTAGTGATACAATGGACTACTATAGTAGTAGTAGGTAGTAGTATTCTTATCTGGCGGCCCAAGCTCCAATGAGCTGTTTCTTGGGAGCAGCAACAGGAGCTGCTGCTGCTGCTGGACCTTTGCCACCACCCAAGGTTGGCCAACTCGGAGCAGAAGGAGGAGGACCACCACTGGAGGGCTTAGCATTGGGAAACAAATTGTTGGATCGTTGTTGTTGTTGTTGTTGTTGTTGTTGTTGTTGTTGTGGCGACGGTTGTGCTGTTGTTGGATTGCTGGATCGTTTGATAGCCCGTTGAATCAGTGGACTCGCTTGCGAGCGCCAATCGCTCGACGGCGATGGTGGTGGCATTGTTTTGGAAGATGACTTGGCAGGGCTGGAATAGGAGGGAGGAGGATAGTGCGGAGGAGGAGGAGTATAAGATGGTTCGGCAGTGACCGAAGATGGAGTGTTACCCAGACGGGCAGCCCAAGAACCTGGTGCTGGTCTGGATTGTGGTGTAGTAGTGCGTTGTTGCGGAGTCGCGACGGGGCGTTGTTGCGTGGTGAAAGTAGAAGCAGGCGACGGTGTAGTACCTGGTTTCCCCCAAGAAGACGTCTGTGAAATAGCTCTAGCTTGTGGAGTCGTCGTATTCCAAGATGAAGTTGTTCCTTTCGTTGGAGTCGGTTTGTAAGCATTGGCGGTCGGATTCATGCCCACCACTTTTCTCGCAGCTTGCTGTGTTGGTGCTGTCTGTGCGTTCTTTTTGGTTCCGGAAGGTTGAGCCACCGATTGCCATACTGGCTTGGGTTGAGGTGTTGGTTTTTGTGGTGGTGGCGTAGAATTAATAACAGCAGGAGTGACTGCCACTGTTGGCCTTGCCTCCATTGGAGCTGCTGCTGGTGTAGCGAATGGCGGTGGTGTCTGAATGTGATTGGTACTGTTGTTGATCTTCTTGTCTGCTGCAATAGTTGTTGTTGCTGCGGCGTCTCCTGTTTCCGATGGCGCCGAATCCACCGACGTCGTTTCAGCATTCTTTTTCTTCTTTTTGCGTTTGCGGGGTGGTCGCTTCTTCTTTTCCGGTTCTGCTTCTGGCATGTCTTCCAAATCACATTTACTCGAAGCTATTTCGGAATCAGATTCTCCTTCCTCTTCTTCCTTATTCCAATAATTGTCCATGGTGGCCGAATCCCGTTCGGGCAAAACAAATTCATCTTGAATGAAGGAAAAACCCCGAAAATGACTCGATTTAATTCTAGCCGGCAAATCATCCGATAGGGACATTAACTTGACGGATCTTGGAAGTGGCATGTTGGTAAACTCTTCGTGAAAGTGCTGCAAATCCAAGTCATTGTCGACCGTTAATTTATAAGGTGGTTCCATTTCCTTCTTTTCCAATTTGCCCCAGTCAATCTTGCTGAAAAAGGGTGCTTGTTTGAGTCCGGCCACTCCTCCCACTTCAAACATGGTCGATCGCGCACATCCCAATCGAGCATCGGGATTTCGATTCAAGAGTCCCTTCAAGAGTTTGCAGGCAGCCGCCGTCGAGCCTGGTGGCATTTTGACCTTTTCTTGCATAATTTTCCGAAAGAGTTCTTTCGAGCCTTGTTTGCTCGAAAAGGGAGGCAATCCATTTAACATTTCATAGGCAATGCAACCCAAACTCCAATAGTCGGCCGCTTTTCCATACCCCTTTCGAGCCACCATTTCTGTTATTTAAAAATTATTGATTGGAAGGAACAAAATACAAAGAAGTCAGCCTTGCCCAATGAAAAGCATTGCCGACACTTGCAAAATTTCCACGGTTGCGGTCGCTACTCACCTGGTGCCATGTATTCTTGAGTTCCACAAATGGTACTTGCTCTGTCATTCCCGCCATCCTGATCCGTCCAATTGGGCCCAAAATCCTTGGCCAATCCAAAATCCGTCAAACAAATATGTCCATCATTGCACAACAGTATGTTCTCTGGCTTTAAATCTCGGTGCAGGATCCCAAGGGCATGCAAATGATCCAATGACAGAATAATCTCGGCCAAGTAAAAGGCGGCATCCTTTTCGAGAAAGATTCCTTCTCGACCCAGTCTTAAAAACAATTCTCCACCCGCCAAGAAATCCATAATCAAAAAGAGTTTCTCCTTGGTTTGAAAGGAACAATGCATCTTGACGACAAAGGGATGATTCACACGGGTCAAAATGTTCCGCTCGGCCTGAATGTTTTCAATGTAGCCTGCCTTGCGTCGAATCAGTCGTTTTGAAATGACCTTCATGGCAAGAATTTGGCCGCTCGTCTTGTTTCGAACCTGCAAAACCTTGCCAAAGGCACCCATGCCAATCACTTTGAGCAACTCGAAATCTTTGGGGGAAACAAACTTGTTGCGGTTTTCCTTTTCGAGTGTGGGAATGACTTCTTCGGCAATGGTCGCAGCTTTTTCGGCCAATTGGACCGCACCGGCAGAATCCGCCAACGCAATGACTTCATCGACGGCAGCCACTTGAGCTTCCAGCACCGTTTCTCCTTGCAAGGCCTTGGCGGCTCCAAACTCGTCAAAGTCAGCCTCGGCGTCGTCCTTTTTTTCGTCGTCGTCCACCACCACAAGGTTGTCCATGGCATCCACAATGTCGGCAGCGTCCCTTGCCGGTGCTGCTAGCTTTGCCATGTTGATGATTGCAGGATGAGTGAATGAGTGAGTGAACGAACTAATGACTAATGAACCAATGAACCAATGAATGGATGAATGGATGGATGGATGCTGCAAATGTGTCGTGTCAAGCAAGCAGAGTGTCTCGTTTTGGTTTTGGCTGATGTCAAAGACCCGTTTCGGAAGCGAAGATGTTGAAGGATGGACGTCTGTTTTGAATCGTCATTTTAAGGCAGTTTTTTGGGTGGCGGTGGGAGCACGGTCGTTAACTGAAAACAACAACGAACCCTTCGTGTGATTGTTGATGTGACAGGTGACGTCAATTGATTTGATGGTATCGAACCTGCAGGAGCTCGTGTGGTCTGTCATGTGCTCCTCTCGTTTTGAATTCGAATGGGTCGAGAGTATCATTCTGTCAGCCATCCGCATCAAGCAAGCAAATCAAACGACGAGCCATCATCGAACACCCATCAAATAACAGAACCAGGAGAAGTACCTACTGTATTTTTGTTTGTGAATCATCCATTCCATTCCATTCCAACACTACTACTCAAAATGATGCAACAAACTCTCCTTTTATCCATTATTCTATGTGTGGTTGGCACAGAGGCCTTCTCGGTCCCGTCAATGACAAAAACATCACTGAAACAATACAATCCGCAGCACCACCAACAATCTAGTACTCTTTTCATGTCATCCTTTTCTGCCGATGGTTCCGAGTATGCTTCGACTGACAAGGATTATGTGGACGATGACATTGTCGAAAAGGAAAAATTCGGTCCCAGTTTCGAAGACGATGTATCCAGTGATGTCGTGGAAGAAAAACCTGTCCCCATGTCCAAGAATGCCGGAAATCGATTCGTCGCTGTCGTATGGGATGCCGAGGTGGACTCTGAAGGCAGAGATTCCATGGAGCTACACGAAGATCGGGATGCCTGTGTGGAAGATCACGTCTTGTTTTGCCGAAAGCGCAATTTGTACAATGAAACCTTCAACACGAACAGCATGGTGGATATTCTCCGTAGTTTACCACTGTAAGTACTACATACACAATGCAGCTGTATGTATTGACTGAACGCATGGCGAAAGCTTGAATGCAAATGCTACATATATGCGATTATTGCATTTCGATTCCTCTCTTATTCTCTCATTCTGGTGCGTCTCTTTCTTTCTTCAGTTTGTCAGCCGACTTGCAACGCATTGTCGGTCACGCCATGATCTTGGAATCTCCCGACATTTGTCATGTCAAAGAAATGCTCGCAGAAGAACCCTTCTTGAAGGCTCTCAATGGAGGCGACTGGAGTAAAATTAATCTCTTTCGTTGGCGCCACATTCGTGATTACACCTTGCGACGAGATGACGGTCGTTTGGGATACCCCTGTATGATGTTTGGGATTGACCACGATCCAGAAACCGACAATGACTCCAAACAAATTCGGGAAGAGACCAAGGACGCCTTTATGGAATATCTGATAAAGAGTGAGCGCATCATCATGGCGGGTCCCTTGCACATGCCGACCGAAATCAAGGATGATCCATCCAGTATCGCAACGGGAGATTTCATCTTGTTCAATGCCAAGAGCCGGGAGGATGCCATTCAGTTTGTGGAAGAAATGCCAACCTCCGCAGAAGGTCTCTACAAAGATTTGCGGGTTCACTTTTACAACACTCTAGACATTACTGGAAAATTCATCTCGGAGGATCCCATGCGAGATGCTCCCAACTACCAAATGAAGGAGGCAATGAAAGAGTGGGGGTATCCAGTGGAGGACAACGAAACTCGTTGGTTGAATTGGTAATTGAAATAACATACAAACTACAAATTGCAAGTGTATCAGCAGGGCACACTTTACTTTACACGTCTTACTAAATTATACTTCCAATACACCACTTCGTACAACAATGTACTACGACCTAGGATGATGGGTGGTTGGTAGGCACAGGAGACTGATGAATACTCATCACTCCTGGCTGGTTCTACCGTCTGTCGAGGGTTCTACTCATCGGTTTGAACGGTGTTTGTGCGAGACGGCATTCCAAATGGGTGCAGTGTTACTATAAAAAAATGCAAGATTGAACTTTGATTGAAAGGTCCATTCACACGATGAACTCCAATCATGAGAGGTGCGCGAAAGACTGAACCAAATTTTTGGTCACTCCATTCGTCGTAGAAAATGTACGAGACTGGTCGACCTAGTCGACACTTTCAAAACGTGGGAACGCAAGGTGAGTTCCGTTTACCCTCTCTTAGTTGGCAATGGAACGTTACCCAGATTCAAACACAACGAAATACCACCGACCACGATTGGCAGTTGAACTGAGAAAGATGCCGATGAGTCTCATAACTTTGAACTGACTCCAAAATCAACAACCACCAAAACAACCACAACAACACACAATATTATATCATGATTGCCAACACCAAGACCATCACCTTCCTTCTCGTCTCCATTCTCTCCGTCATCGCAATGACCAATGGACAGGCTGTTTCCGTCAAGACACCAAGTCCTAGCACAATTCCTGTTGCTACTACTATGGCCCCAATCATGGCGCCAAAGGGGTCGAGATCACCCACCATTTTTGACCATTTCGGTAGCGGCAAGGCTGGCAAGGGCAGCAAGCTTTCCAAGAAGACTAGAAGTCCCGAACACAAGGCTTCCAAGTTGGTTTCTTCTACGACTGGCAAGGGCACGTCTGGCAAGGGCAAAGGTGGCAAGGCCGGCAAGGGCATGACCTACAGTCCCGTTGCTTCGCTTCCTTAAAAATATAAATCCGACGGAACATCGTAAAAAGAGTGTTGCAAACACTGAAAACTACCACCTTTCTTTCACCTTTACATTATTGAACAATTGCTTGGATTGCAAACGTCTGCACTTTGGTCAACATTGTCATCCTTGTAGGCACTTGTTAATTTGTCAACTTTAATTTTGCGGTTGGCAAGGATTCTCTTAACTTGCTCTTTTTGTTCATCGGTAGCTGGTGACTTTGATTTAGGATTGACCCACTTTTTCACTCCTTTTACGCGCCACTCAAAGGATCGTTGGATACGGGTCAAAACCTCATCGGCATCTATGGTTGGATACAGATACCCGAGTAAACAACCAGCTACAATTCCAGTTCTTCCGGACCCTCCCTTGCAATGAATATATACCACTTCGCCCTTGTTCTTCACTCTATCGGCTAGCTCTTCAATAAGCAGAGTCAGACTTTCTTCGGAGGGAGCAGCCTCGTCATCTCTCATGCCAAAGTAAACGAACTTTGCGTCAGGATTGACAGCCTTCGCCATGGGTGCATACGAAGGTAGTTTCTTCACTTCATTCCCAACCTGTATACCACCCATATCCGCTGTATCTTCAGACTGCGGGATGACTTCGGACTGGAGACAAACGTACGTAGTCACCTTGCCCGTTTGGACAAGATTCTCTACATATCCCTTCACATCTTTCTCTCTTGCTGGACTCTTTCCTGCCATGACAAATCCTGGCACTACCCAATTGGCCTGCTCGGAAAAGTTGACTACCTTCATAGCACCTTCATCGTTCACATCTGGTAACTCTGGCAAAGCAATGGCACTCGTCATGGTCCCGAAGAGGAAACTTTGAATCTATATTTTGCTTGCTGTGTTCCATTTTATAGGATTCGATTCATTATTCGATTCATTCAATAGCGCATTTCTTCGCGCGAAAACGAATACAGGTATGGACATCAACAGGTTGTAGTTTCGTCATTGACAGTATCTCCAACCAGTCTCTCCTCATGGTGTAATGGTGCTTTTAGAAGGAGAAAAAAATTGGTTGATTTGATAAACTCAGGTACCGGTACCAGTTCTTCTGCTTGGATGAATGAACGAATCAATCTATCTACACCGGCGGTACCGGTGCGAATGCCAGAAGGTTACCGTGCCCAGTAGACTAGGGAATGAAAAGAGATAGGTAGGTCGAGTCCCGAACCAAAATTGTCGACATGATGAACAGTCGAGTCAGTCACGGGACAACAGTGATCAAAACTACTGTAACGATAAGCGAAGGCAACATCGACAACAATAAAACAAAGACGAAGGCAGAAGATGCGATCACCAGCACGGCCCGTTCCACAACCTCTCCCGCAAGAGGACTCGGACGATGAGAACGATATTGAGCTGACAGAAGCTTTCGGGGACGACGATGACGATGATGAGTTGGGAGAAGGCTTTGACGAAGCCACTGGTTTAATGACCTCACGATGCAGCTTGGAGGACGAATATGATTTGGAAGATGGATATTCCGCCGGTTCCTTTCGAAATTTGGTGTGCCTAATGATAGTCGTCCTCATCATTGCGATGTTGGCGGTAGTAATACCTGAAACAGGGGCGTTGTGGTATCTCAAGTCACCAGCAAGGATCCCAGTCGACTACAAATGCCAAATACCGTGGGAAGGGGACGCGAACATGACAGCAGCTATTGCGGCGAATGCCACAAAGTTTCTGGAATCATATCGAGAACGAACCAAAGAGAGATGGGATAGGTCATATGCAGAATTGAAGGCATCCATGTTCGATTTCAAATCAACATATTTTCCAAAGTATCTGAATGATGATGGAAGCTCCATTTATGAAAGTGGTTGCGGTGTTGGTATTACACTATTCATGACGCTGGAGATTTTGCAAGAGTCTTCGGGGATCGATAACCTAGTTGTTTATGGTAGTGATCAAAAAGAGGATCTTGTGAGTGAATCAAGTGCTGTTTTCGATAAACTTGGCCCGGCACATGCTGATAGGGGAGTATTTTGTGTCGCCGACCCGACGGATCTTGGTTTTGTCCCCGAAAACGCATTCGATCTTGCCTACACCGGGTACATTCGGTAAGCTGCTACACTATTCTGGTGTATTTCATGTGATGATGTAATCTAAATGCCTTTTTACACGGAAGGCCTCTCAAGGATCCTCTGAATATCGGCGGAAACCAAACGGACAATTATCAAAAATACCAGCAAATATGCGACGCTGTTGACTGGGAAGGTCTAAAGTTGAAGGAGCTCGCACAAGAGACACAGGAAAAGTGGTACGGCGAAAATGTTAGAGAATTGGCTCGACTCGCCAAGCCCGGCAGCCCAGTGATTGTCGAACAAGTCTCCAAGAGAAACTGCGATTCCACGTTTGATCGGGGAGGTGTATCGGAAGACTGGTGGACTACAAGTGCCCGCAACAACACATATGGCTGGAATATCAATCCTGAATCCATTGTCATTGAGGTGGCTAAGCTATACGTGGATCGCTACCATGTGTTCATGCTGAAGAATGGTAAAAAGCCGGAATGAAAACAGTAACCAATGCAAATGTTCCGACGCCATTTTCGAATCAAAGCTGGATTATTGACCATGCTTTTTAACGTTGAGTGTGAAAAATGAAATTTTGTAAACCCTGATATCATTATTGTCCATGTCAGTTTGCCGTTAACAACTGAATCGACAGAACCTGCACAGTATCTTCTGCGCCACTACCTTCCGAGGTAGAGCGTTCCAAATTCGCTTGCTCGTCTACGGTATATTTGATGAGGAGATTGTCAAGTTGTTGGGTGCACACGGCTGCTGATCCCTTCTCGCTTTCTTTGTGCATGTCTTTCAGCCGAGCTGATCGCTCTGCTTGGAACTTCCCTTCTCGGGCCTTTTTCGTTTGAAAAGAGCTTCTCACATCAATGGCGAGTACTTGCGTTATACAGTTTTGTATGCTCTCCAGTGTGTCCTCAACAGATGTCTCGCCGTGTTTGGGGCCAAAGAACTGAAGCGCTTTGTTGTTTTGCTCCAGGATGGAAGTCAACTCGCTGATTGATGATTCACTGTAGGTCACCTTCCGCTTAGTTGCAAGCCCCCCAGCAACCCAAGGCGGCAGTGTAACATCAGATGCAACCGAGTCGTAGACAGGGACGTATGGCTTTACATCCAAGACTGGGGTGCCATCAACTAAATCTAGGCCAGATATATGCAGATTTACTTTTTCCCTCTTTCCAACTTTGATGACTTCAATTCTATCCAACTTGCAAAGAGTAATTCCAATTGGATTGAAACGATGTGGAGTCCTTGTTGCAAATATTCCGACTTTTTCACCACCGAGGGCCGGTGGCGCGATCTTTGATTTGATTCTCTTTGAGTTTTTGGCCTTAGTGTTGAGGTGAAATACAAAGAGGATCCAGATATGTGAATAGCCTTCCAAACCACTGACACTACTCTCAGTGGAAGAATCCCCAAGCTTCTCGAGTTCAATACATCCTCGTGCATTCGGTGCCAGTAGACCTTGACGTGGAGTTCCAACACATAATCGGTAAATCGACCGTATTGTCCCTATTCTCTTCACGTGAATTCCTCCATTTTCGATGTCCCCAGGCTCATCAACTATAGTGCTGCCCTCTAGATTCTTTGTTGAATTGTCATTCCGTCCTTTCGTCGAATCCTTCGTTTGGTTCTTCAGTTGCTTCCGTAAGGATGCAACTTCTTTCTCCAATTCTGTGCACTTTCTATGAATTTCTCCACGGCGCTGCAGGGCAGCAATAATGGCTATGACTGCAGGAAAAGCAAATGAAATAAGAGTCGTCGTGCTCGGGTGCAGCGACGACTTGCCACTCATCGTTCCTTTTGAATTTTGCTTTATTCTTGGTGCATGGTCGTTCTTGTCTGTCATCCATCAGGCAGGGTATCTTTTTCTTGGGTTATATTACATTTTATTACAAAGATGAACTGGGGGCAAATATCATTAGAAAAAGTTTAATTGTACCTTACTTTAGCCTCCATCGACCGTTCCTGAAGGTCGCAATCGATTTGAGGAGTCGCCGAAATATGGCAGCGTCATAGTTCGGAACCGATTCAAAATGATCAAGGATTTGATCAGTTGTTGGTATCTCATGCTTGACATAGTCTCGAATGCGCTTGAGAAGTTCTGTGTACTGCTTCGTAGAATTTTCTGTTTGCTCTCCGTTCGATTTCACCATGGTGTTTCGGTTCCGAATGGACGATAGGAGGCTTCCGGAAGAAGACTTCGGGGTAAATGCTGATACGCCTGCTCCTGTACTAGGAGATCGGCCAATGGGAAATGGACCAGGTGCCCCGGTACCAAACCTTCCTCCTTGTGTCTCCGCGGAACCAGTCCAGGTCGGAGCGAAGACTCTGCTTGCTGATACGCTAGCCTCCAAAGCAGTCGCAGCTTCTTTTGCGATTCGCTTAGCCTTGACTTCCATCTCCCGAACGGAAGGTTTCTTGCTGCTACCATTGTTTTCGATCATGCCATGATCAAATACGCCCGCAAGTCCCTTGCTTTTCAAAACAGTTCTCATTGTCTCACCATCATCGTTGGATTCCTCCGGCGCAGGCCCTTCGTCGGGATCGACGAACCCATCTCCTTTTGTCAATTCACCCGTCTCAGTAAGACCGTCACCGCCAGAGATTACACTCCCACCATCAGCTTTCAGCGTGAAAAGGTCTTTCAAGTCCTTCTGTGAGAATAAGCGACGCTGACGAGCATCCTGAAGGACCTTATTTGAAAGAGCAGTTTTGAATATCTGCCGTTGATAGATCTTCTCTTCGACTGTGCCTGCTGAAATCAATCGGAAAATGACAACCTCTTTTTCCTGTCCAAATCTCCATGCACGTTCTCGGGCTTGAGCGTCTATCCCAGAGCCAAGAAGCAGCAGTAAAGATGAGACGAATATCCCATACTTTGGTACAATCAATTTTCCCATTCGACTTACCTGTCTGTGGATTCCAGTCGGGGTCGTACAGTATGATGCGATCGGCGCCCGTAAGATTGAGACCTACACCACCTGTTCGCGTAGTACAAAGCATGGCAAAAGTCGACTCGTCATCATTGAAGTTGTCGACTAGACGTTGCCGAGAGGCAACATTTGTGTTCCCATCTAAGCGGCCAAATTTCCATCCCCTTGATATCATGAATCTTTGAATGATGTTCAACATCTTCTTCCACTGACAAAAAATCAAGACGCTGGAATTGCGGATTCAACTGTCAGCGCCTCCCGTGATGATGGTGTGCCAATAATCCAATACTTGTACTCACCGATGTCCCTGCTTATGCCATAACGGTAATATCTTAGCTAGTACTTCCAGTTTCCCGGAGCGATCCGTCAGTGTTTCTTCGTTGTCGATTGAATCATCATCGTCATCGCATGCACCCAGATCGTTTTCGTCGACAAAGCCCTTCTGGATGAAGGTATCAATAGAAGACCTATTTGGTGGACAAACCAAGTCTGGGTGATTGCAGATCTTGCGAAGCATAGTGATCGCCCCTAATAGCTGCGCAGATCCTCGCATAACACTCTTGATCAGATCAGATTGGAGAAACGACTCATATAGGACTCGTTGCTGACTCGTCAACCGGCAAAATAGCACTTGTTCTTTCTTTCCAGGCATTCGATTGACCTCTTTGATGTCTTTCTTCAGTCTGCGAAGCAGGTATGGATTGATCAGGTCCTTGAGTATGAGTGCGCAGCGATATGCAACTTGCACTTGCATTGGTGACGCATTTGAATATCCTCCTCGTCTGATTGGATCGGCAAATTCTTGTTCAAAGGTTGGCAAGGTACCAAGTCGTCCAGGAAATACGAAGTCAAATAAGGACCACAACTCTTTCAGATCATTCTGAATTGGAGTTCCACTCAGGGCAAGACGATGCGGCGTTCGAAGGCGCTAAGAACAAGGCAGGGTTACTTTGCAATTCTTTTATACAATAGACACATGCGAAGGACCTTACTTTGCAAACGAGCGTTATATCTGCATCGGGATTCCGGATCTTTTGAGCTTCATCCATCACCACATAGCTCCATCGATGATTCGTCCAAATGTTAGAGTTGCGCCGGACGTTTTCATACGTCGTGATAAACGCATAAGCAGTTCCACAAAAGGAGCTTGGATCTCTAGTCTCGTAATCTTCTTCATCGATAGCTTCATAGAGACGTGTCCTTCGGCTATCTTTCAACCACTGGTGGGTACGCCTTAGTACAGCATCGGAAATGTTGCGTTTATCCCCATACGCTCCTTCCCCTGACTGATGTATCAAGATTCGACGAATCCCTGGAGCCCAAATCGATAGTTCCTTCAGCCAGTGCTGCAACATGGTCGCAGGACTAATGATCAACACACTCTTCAGCTTTCGACTAGCAGCCATCGACCCAAGAAAGGCAGATATTTGGACCGTCTTTCCCTGTTTAAGTCGACATGATTGAGAACCCACTCATTCGCACGAGTATACAAGTTCCTCAAGTTACTTACCAGCCCCATTTCATCCCCGACAATCCCTCCAGCTTGTTGCTGATGAAGCTCCCACATCCACCGGACCGCTGTTCTCTGATATGGAAACAAACGATCATTGATCCACGCCGGAATGGCGAGTCCACCATCAAATATCTCTTCTCCTGGAGGAGTTTCGTCTGCATCGCGTTCCCTCATGGTCTTCATCTTTTGTATCCCTGATTCAACCCAGTCATCCACTCTGTCTTCATAATCATAGTCCTCCCAATCATCCATGGCGGTTGGAGGTAGCAGCGCTGGTGGTAACATTTTGAGTTTTCGTTTGCGCGCTGCTTTTCTTTTCGTACATGATGATTCAGGGTCACTTGGATTCTCATCCTTATCCGCAACCAACACTTCTTCCTCGCCATCACTTTCCACAGGAATTACTTCCACATCATCATCATCATCGTCATCATCATCAGCCTCCATCTTGATGGTGTTCATTCCACCAACACCTACTTCTTCATCTTCATCATTCACGGCTTCGGAGTAATTTACCGCTCGTCGAGATGCTCGGATTGAGGTTGTCCGCGATTGCCCCCTTGTCCTTCTGCCACTAGTTTGACAAATGCTCAAGTGTTGGGATAGTTCTGCATCGACATTGCTGTCCATTGGAAACTCTAGAGGTATCTGACAAAGCGGACAATTCACCGTTTGCATTGGCGGCGGCGGTGGTGGAGGACGAGCAACAACTGCTTGCTTCTTTTTGGGTCTTTCTTTTGTTTCTTGTGCTGGATCCCCATCGTCCATTTCAAATTCAAGCTCTTCTTCGTCTTCTTCTTCTTCTTCGTCTTCCACTTTTACTCCCAATCGCCGTCTTCTTTTTTCTCGTCGCTTCTCGCGGTCCTTTCGGATTTGGAGGAGGCGTTGCTTATAGTCTGATGATTCCGGGTCGGCATCCATTTTATCGTCATCATCGTCATCATCATCCTTTCCACCACGTTTTCGTGCTTGCATGGAGACTCGTTTGCGACGTAGTTTTGCATTATTACTGGATTGTTGGGCTCCCTTTTTGATCGCTTCCAAGCGCTCGCTAGCATTTTGTGGAGTCGTTGCTTCTTCCCGCACTTTGTTGGGAGGTGGACGCATGCTTGACTTGTCCTTCTTGGTTGCCTTTCTCCTCGGCAAGGATAGGTCAGTTGTAGATGTAGATGTAGATGCAGATGCTAATGACGATGATGCTTCTTTTCCATTGTTTGTTGGATTCTGCAACAGCTTCTTTCGATTCATTTCTTGTCGGAACTCTTCTTGCGGTCGAATCAAAAAGTCCATATCGCTAGACGCGGATTGAAGCAAATTCAACAGCATCTGTTGCTTTAGAAATAACTTGGTGGAGGTTGGATGCTGAGCAAGTTGATTCCTCGTCTTTTGTAGTATATTTTGAACGTCTTGAAGGTGACTTTGAGCATTCCCAGAAGGCGCCAGAGCATGAAGAGGTGGAAATCCCATCCCAGTCAAGGGTGGCGCCATGTTTCGCTCGGCCTCGTCAATCACGTTGGCTTCATAAGCAGTGGCTTCTTGCATGGAAGAACCCAGTGATGCCAGTAGTTTGGCTTCTTCATCGTCATCTTTCGAGAAAGCATTGTTCTTGCCCATCTTCGTACGCTTGGCCTTTTATGACTCAGTTCATTCAGCAGCCTTTCAATGTGTGAAATAATGTACAAATGAATGATGATGCAAAAACGAGCGCTGAAATAGTACCATCGCCTGAAACGTGGCTATTTTCAACTGGGGGATGATAATGTGAAGCACCCAGCAAGACGGATCCTCCTCCAGGCCAAAAGTATCGTATAGTCGTACCTGGTACCAGGTACCAGGTCCCTACTGTTGGTATAGTATCGTATCGTACACGTGAATGAATAATATAATAGTACATTCGGTATTACCACAGTGTATCCTATTTACGACAAGATTCCCTGGCTCGCGTCAACACTTGTTGCTAGCTTTCAGTGAATGGGAAAAATTTATTCGTATGAATCAATCCGCTAATCGATCGTTGACGCGGACGTCGTTTTCAATACAAACCGCAGTCTGTTCATTGTTGCAACAATTTCAAATTATCAAAGCAAGGGTAACAGACCAACAGACCTCGTTTGCGGAAAACAGAAAACAGGCCAGACTTTGAACACAGTCGAGGCCAGACTTTGAGCTCAGCTGATTGCGGATTAGGAAGCGTCATCAATCACTCTGGCAACGAAAGCAGTCTGTGATTGTTGACGATTGAGTCCTATCTTTCAAAAAGGCCAGACTTGTTGGACCAACACTACAGACTTGTTGGACCAACACTACAGTCTGATTGCGGAATAGGCAGCGCCCTTGAAAAATTGAGAATCACAACAGTCAACCATGATGAAACCCAGTCTCGGCATCCTACTTGTCCATGCCCTGTGCTTGGCATCTGCCCTGGTAACAGGGCCTTCTTCGGTCCTTCGTCATGTCAGGAGAAATCCGTTCGATAGCTGTTCCATCGGCAATCGATATTCTAGCCACAATGACCACACCATCAGCAGGACGACTCCTCAGACTTCGTTTGCCATTTCTCCCGAGAGTGCGGATTACCAAGAGTCCATCAAGGGAAACTTTACGGCTGTGGTTGCCACCACCGACAAGCAGAATAAGGGATTCATTAACAACAGTAATATCACTTCGTTGGTGACTGGAATCAATGCACTGCAAGCTTGCACGGCAGGTCTTTGTCTAGTGGGAAGACTGCCAGTGCTCAATGGTGTCTTGTCCTTTTTGGTGGGAAAAGGCGTTTTGCTCATTGGCATTGCAGTAATGGCACTTGCTTGGAATGAAACAAGGAATCCTGTGGTAGACAAGGACGACAGCAGGTTATTGACCACGACTGGACTCTACTCTCAAATACGGCATCCATTCTTGGCTGGACAATGGATGGCACTCATTGGTTTTGCCGGCTGCTTCGGTAAGAAGCAAAGTCCCATTCGATACCTCTTTGCCAGTCTCTATTATTTGGTCTTGAGGAAAAAGGTGGAATTGCAAGAACAAGAATTGGAGCAACAATTTGGGCACGAATACCAAGTGTACAAGGTTCTAGTAAAGGGTCAGCTGATACCACATGCTATATCGTCGAAATTTTTTCCCACGCTCAGTGAAGGATAAAGTTAACCAAAAAGAAGACCTTAGGATTAGGACCATGTCGAATACCCAACGGGGCAAATGGTTATATGGGTTCCAGCTCGAGCAATAGCTGGGTCCAAGAATTGTTGACAGAGCTACTGTTGAGCGAAGAACTCATGATAATGCATCGTGTATCAATATCATATCGTTGCATATGTAAATAGTCCTATTTCAAGTTTCTCATGCCCCCTCCCATGCTACAACTATATTGAGAAACATCCTATTCACAGATTTTCTTTCTTTCGTGTTAGCTAGTACTACGACGTTACTAGAAGAGGAAGAAGTCGTGATTCCATGTAGCATTTGGCTTCTATGTATGGATCTATTTGTTATTCAGTAGCTAAAGTGGACAGCAAGCATAATCCTGACTATCATGCGGCCGAGGCGTTCTCGATCCATGGCCCGTTGGCGATGAAACCACGTACAGCATAAAGTCGGGGACCATATCCCAGATCAAGTAGAAGAATCCACAGAGACAGCAAGAGGTCAAAGTCTTTCTTCGAGTCCGCTTCATTTCCGAGGCTTCGTTCAATCACTACCATATTGTTGATGATAGCGATTTGAAACATGACATTATGCTCCACATCTTCCATTCGATAGGCCAGATGGTACAATTGTCTCGCCTTCATCAGGTATCCGGGGGCATAGGCTGGGTTCTGTGTAGCCCAGAGCTGGTGCGAAAGAGCGGAGTTGAAAACTAGAATTGCAGAAATTGTGGTATAATCTGTCATGGTCAACGGAAGTAGAATGCCGTGGTCGAAGATGAATGGCTTGCCAGATTCCGCCATGTTTTCACCGATTGCAGAAAGAATCAGGCACTGATCCAGGGCACCAGTGTAGTCCTTGTTAGTGGGAAGGTCGTGTAGTGCAGACTCACATCTTCTTAGGCACCGTAGCGCCTCAGAAGATTCCACAATGGCATGGGAAAAATCTTCGTCCCTGAGGAGTGCGACAGTCATGTTGTTTTGGTCGAGAACACTTTCGAAGAAAGTCATGATGGATAAATTGTGGGCAGGACGGGAATGTTCATCTCATATATCGATACGTTCAAATCAGGTACTTGTTCGGTCATCGGTTGTCGTGGATTCTTTTTGCATTCTTTTCTACCTACCCACTTTTCCGTGTAAACCAGAAGCCGAAGCCAATTGCGAAACCCGCCGTTTCTGTTTCCGGTGTGCGCTTCTGCTCCCATAAAAATTTGTTTTGTCTTGATTTCTATCGAGGGATGGATGCGGTGGGCAATAAAAAATGGCAAATCAACCCTTCTTTGTTGATTGGACCAAATCATGATAATCGAATCGTTTCTGTAGTCTGCGACGTTGATAATTTGTTGTCGGCAAAGAATAGTGGAGTTGAAGAATCTGGTCTATCATGATGATTCGATGGTGGGTTAACCAAAAGCCAAGTCAGGAAAGCTGCTAGTGCAATGCAACCAATCAAACCAAGAATTGCCCACCATACATTCGTTCGAAGGGCAGTCACAACAAAGGCAAAGACTGGGAAACCACTCGGAGCAAAGAATGTTAGTGGATGATGACCAAGTCGGACATGAAAGAAACTGGCTCCTAGATGAAAGGAAGCAATATAGGCTTGTGCTACGAGGATCATAGCTTCATTCCCAAAAAAGTTGAGGTAGGCAAAGGTGGCATGCAGTACACCCGCCGCTGGAAAGAACCATTTCGGCATGGCACCCTTGTCTTGAAAAGTCTGCGCAAGCAAGCCCGTGAATGGCTCGACAAAACCGATAACACTGTGCAAGGCAAGAACTGCACATTCAACAGCCCTGATTCCTGTCTCCAATGTAATCCCAGAGCTCATCTTGACTATCGTTTCTACTTCCACTTGCTTCGGAAAGTTGTGATTTTCCTTTTCAAGGCAGATAATAATTGATTTGGTCTTTTGTGACGTCATTCATGGACTGATTCACAACCCCCACTGTAAAACTTCGATCTACATAGTATACTCTATGACCAGTGCAATAGACGTCCACAGCCTAAAACTCAATGCCAATAGAAGTAGATAGCAAGGCACTGCAGTTCTGTTACAGTATGAAACATAATTCTAATTAACGAGTGGATTGCCTGCAGCAAGCAACCCGCCTATTTGCCACAACTTGAACTTTCAAAAATAGGATTCCGAAAGTATCACTGTCCATGTCTTAGTCCTGCTGAAGCGGAAATGGGTAGTTTGATCCTTTCTTGTCTTTTCAGTCATTCTTGTTGGTTCAGAAGAGTTCCCGTCTCAACAATGAAAGAAGAAGAATCAAAATTGCTTGAGCTGTAATTCCTTGCCGACGGACTGCATTCTCAGTCTTGACGAGCAGGAAGTGTGCTGCGAGCATCGTCCACGGTTTTCTTTCCATTGACCCATTGCACGAGCCGCTTTTCTGCTTCAACCTCCTCGTTTTCGGCCAAGCTCTGGAGCTCGTCCAGAAGTCCGTGCAATAAAAGACTTTCTTGGAGGACCATTTGCAAAGAAGGGCTCTTTCCGTGACGTTGAATTTCAATACTGTTGTCATTTAAGACTACAGACACCATTCCTGTGCCATCCTTGTAGTACGCATTGATGGAATCCAGGTTGCTCTCGTCTCCTCCAATCGCCCAACTTCCAGGAGTAGGTTCGTTCTGTGCGGCCACCAAATATATCTTCAAGAAGAACTGTAGAGGTCCTTTCTTTAGCTTTGTAGTTGGTAGGGTAAACAGAGTCTCGACCCCATTGCTGGACGCGGCTCCATTATTACTTCCGCCACCGTTTCCAAAAAGCCCACCAAATAGGTTTGCCATGCGAAGAGAGACATCGGAAGTTGAATGTGCCACAGTCGTAAAAACAGTGGGATTGACGCTATTCATGGATGATGCGGGAACAAAGGCTTGTACTGAAGCAATCCTGGATGCCAGTACTAGAAGGAGTCCAACTGACATCAGAGATGTGATTGACATGACATGTTTGTACATAGTGTGTTGTATTTCGTTTGAACTTTCGTTCTGGTTTGCTTCGAACAATGAGACTTGCAAGAAATATTCAGGACCACGATGCGATATGTTGTTGAGTGAACATGTAGTAGGCGATGATCAAGATGTCAAAATCAGGGTTGATGGATTTCTTCCTGTTTTATGTACCGGGTACCGCACCGGTATGTATTGACATACGTGTTTTCATGCATGTGTGATCGTCCTAGTCGACTGTTCCAGGAATAAATAAAATGCAAGACGCCATGTACGAGTATACTACACCTCACACTAGTCCAACTAGTCGAATCATACCAGTCGAATGATTCCGTTTTTATATTAGGATGTTCGCCACTGTTCGCCAATTTCAGTTTTCAGGTCAAAAGGAGTTTAGAAAAAATCTTGTTGGGGTTTGCGTGTTCTTTATATATGTACATATATATATATATCGGCGACATGAAAGGCTTTTGGATCAAACACGTTGATTTCTGTGCTAGGGAAAGGTCATAGGTCTGAGCCTCAAACTACTGTAGCTGACGCATGTTTCGGCAACATCGGGAAGCATTTCGTTAAACATCCCGAAAAAATATATGAGGCATTTCGTCTCCTTAGCGAATCCTGCAACATGTACACATGTTCACATGTTGCAGTTCCCGTGGCGGGAGAATTCAACTGCAAAAGTGAGGAATATAAAATCCTCATAAAAAATTGCCGCGGCTGTACAATGATCTTCACTGCCGACAATGACAAGTTACACAAGGATAGCGAGAGCTATTCTGATCTTCTCGATGAGGGCCTGCTGTCATTTATGGAATGCCCTCTGCCGTCCTTCCAAATGACATTCTCATCTTCGTCCTACTCTTCTTCTCACCCAGCAATTTGCTTTGAAGACCCCTTTGATGATCCAAGCATGGAGCCTATCCCCATTGGTCGTCCCAACACTCCAAGCGGCCAGCAATTGTCGTTTCTTCAATCGGTCCATGACGCATCATCTTCTTTCGTGACAGGTGATGTGGAGGGCGGTCTCCCACCTTCTTCTTTGGAACTGAACAACAAAGCATCGGATGTCAAACTTCGACGAGACCTGATCGACATTTTGGGCCCCATCATCAACACCGATGGAACCAAACGAAGTTGCGAAGCCAGCTTTACCAACATTAACCAGGGCGCGCACAGCGTCAAGCGTCAACGGACAAGCCACATGATGCAAGCCTCTCCTGCTGCTGGCGAAGAAAGTACCGCTCGCTTTCGTCCATACCAAGAGGCACAATGGCAGGAACAGTTTCAAAAACTCGTCCAGTATAAACTTACGCATGGGCACTGCTGTGTTCCTCACTCTTGCCAAGAAGATCCTGTCCTTGCACGATGGGTCAAGAGACAAAGATACCAATACAAGAAGTTCAACGATAACGATCATACTTCTACGATGACCACTCGTCGTATTAGAGATCTTGAATCCCTTGGTTTTGTGTGGAAATCGCACGCCTCGGCATGGGAAGAGAAGTTCAACGAGCTGAAGGCCTTTAAGCACCAACGAGGCCATTGCAACGTTCCGGCTCACTATCCAGAGAACACTGCATTGTCCACCTGGGTAAAGTGTCAGCGTCGGCAGTACAAGCTTTTCATGTCTGGGGCTTCAGCAAGCATGACGATGGGAAGGCTTCGACAATTGAAATCCGTGGATTTTGTATTTGATGCTTCAAACAAGAAGGTATCCTTCGCATCAACTTGCTATGCAAAAAAGGTTGGGAGAATTTGAACTCATCACTATTAACGACGCACAAACAATATATTGTATATCTGTACCATGCATACACGCGACTATTTTCGTTTGGATGAGGCCAAAAGGTCTTTCTCTTTATAGTCTATCTCATTGCTTGGAACAGAGCATTGCTAGTTGTTGGTGTTTTCCTACGGTTGACTGCCGGTGCACTAGTTGCCCGCCCCCATTACGCATAGTACATACCGGTAGTATATAGTACAGACAGTTTCTCTTTAAGCGCTTGTGGTGCTTTTAGGAGAAGATGCCATCGGCATTCCATTCTCATCTCAAGTCTAGCGATATGTCTTGTCTTATCACGTCAGCACGATAGCAGTGGCGACAAAATTTGTATTCGAACTTTACCTATTTCTGAGGCACTTTTACAGTTAAAGTTATGCCATGAAAATCAGGTCCCAGAGTGCTAGACTGTCTTGAATATGTAGTATTTTCAAAATACCCATAGCATCGCACGTACCGAAGTCCAATCCGAACCCAGAGTTTTCACATCACATATATCATATTCTGATCCAGGGGTGGGGTCGTCAGTTCAACATCGGGAGAGCCCCTTTGTTCTGTGGTCTTTGATTTCGTTATATATATATTCAAGTAGTCATTCTTGCAGCTGGCATTCTTGCGCGATCCACACTACCGAGAAGTACCGGTAGGCTCTTCTGCCAATTGCTCCCGCATTTTCGTTCCAATATTGTAAGGTGCCGGGTGAGTACTTATACGGTACGTCATCTTGGGAGTTCCCGGATACTCCAGTTGTGACGAACGATGTCATCTCTTTCAGAACTAATAAATTGCTGCGGCTGTACAATGATCTTCACTGCCGACAATGACAAGTTACACAAGGATAGCGAGAGCTATTCTGATCTTCTCGATGAGGGCCTGCTGTCATTTATGGAATGCCCTCTGCCGTCCTTCCAAATGACATTCTCATCTTCGTCCTACTCTTCTTCTCACCCAGCAATTTGCTTTGAAGACCCCTTTGATGATCCAAGCATGGAGCCTATCCCCATTGGTCGTCCCAACACTCCAAGCGGCCAGCAATTGTCGTTTCTTCAATCGGTCCATGACGCATCATCTTCTTTCGTGACAGGTGATGTGGAGGGCGGTCTCCCACCTTCTTCTTTGGAACTGAACAACAAAGCATCGGATGTCAAACTTCGACGAGACCTGATCGACATTTTGGGCCCCATCATCAACACCGATGGAACCAAACGAAGTTGCGAAGCCAGCTTTACCAACATTAACCAGGGCGCGCACAGCGTCAAGCGTCAACGGACAAGCCACATGATGCAAGCCTCTCCTGCTGCTGGCGAAGAAAGTACCGCTCGCTTTCGTCCATACCAAGAGGCACAATGGCAGGAACAGTTTCAAAAACTCGTCCAGTATAAACTTACGCATGGGCACTGCTGTGTTCCTCACTCTTGCCAAGAAGATCCTGTCCTTGCACGATGGGTCAAGAGACAAAGATACCAATACAAGAAGTTCAACGATAACGATCATACTTCTACGATGACCACTCGTCGTATTAGAGATCTTGAATCCCTTGGTTTTGTGTGGAAATCGCACGCCTCGGCATGGGAAGAGAAGTTCAACGAGCTGAAGGCCTTTAAGCACCAACGAGGCCATTGCAACGTTCCGGCTCACTATCCAGAGAACACTGCATTGTCCACCTGGGTAAAGTGTCAGCGTCGGCAGTACAAGCTTTTCATGTCTGGGGCTTCAGCAAGCATGACGATGGGAAGGCTTCGACAATTGAAATCCGTGGATTTTGTATTTGATGCTTCAAACAAGAAGGTATGTGTACCCGGAACGACGTTCGAAACAAGGCGGCTGATGCAGAGGACATGAACATGTGCTACTGCAAACACTACTTTAACGCCATATAATAAAGCAATAGGCCTATAGCGTAGCTGTTTCATGCATACACGCAGCTTCTTGTTCGGAAGGAACCAAAAGGTTCAACTGTTCCTAGTCTATTTCATTCGAATCAGCAGTGCCGCACCTAGTTCTTTGTGTTCTTCTCGTGACCCTTCCCAAATTTGGTTTCTGATACGAATTTGTTTTACATAATATTTGTTTCAATACTTGTCCGCCACTTGTAACCAATATCAATTCCCACATGACAAGAAAGTTCAGTTTGCTTTTGCGTGTCCTTTATGTACCCACCGTCTATTTTGCTCGAAACACCCCCCACAGTGCGTGCCATGTATCTTTGTCTGTACTGATGAAAAAATAACGCCGAGGTACGCTTTTGGACGACTCCTCCCCGTTATCGGCAATTGCCGACAAGAGCATCATCCAAAAAAAGGCAGCTGAGTACATGTAGGCTGTTAAAGTACCTCCCGTACACAATATTGGGATTTCCCTTCTACTCCAACTGTGAAAAACAATCAAAATATCTCTCAGAAATCGGAGCTAATCATTTACGAAATGATCTCCACTGCCGACAGTACAAGCTACACAAGGACCGAGATAGATCTCTTCACAGAGACGGAGAGAGCAAGCAATAAATACGTAATAGGCATCCCATCGTCTCCGGCAACAATACTATTACCAATAAAAAGATAAAAGGAAATTTTACATTGCGTTCATTATGGCACTCCAGCAACTTCCTTTTTTCCTTCTACAGTTGCTTCTTCGTTTTGTTCGTCCAACAACGATCGAATTTGTCGGTAAGGATACAAGGATTTATGTCCGTCCGACCAGTCCACCGACAGGGCATAGTTCCCAGTCGGCGCCATCTTCAAGGGTTTGACGCTCTCTGGAATGTCGGCAGGTTTCAAGATTTGACGACCAGTCATTTCTTCCACACATGCGGCACACCGACAGGCTCGTCGCAAATTGGCAGTCGTCATTGCTTCTTCTTCGTCAATCACCAAAATGTGCAAATCTTCGTCGAAGACGATGGATGGTCGTTGTTGGCGGTACTTGGTCTTGGCAACTTCAGTGACGACAGATGCAGCGAGGGATTTGTAAATGGAAGCTTGCTCCGAATCGGGATGCTCAAGGATATAAGGAGTTCCCGAATCTCCGTTGGAAGCAATTTGGTTCAAAAGAGGCATCGAAAAGGTATGATCAATGCCCCACTGTTCCGACAGACGACGCTTGTGCCCTGGTCCAAAGATTTGGATCTTTTCTTCCTTGGTATTTTTCATGACAACTTGAACCAACTCGTCCACCAGGGCATCTTTTTCCTTTTTCTTTTCCTTGCTGGTCTTGTCGCCCTCATCACCGTTCAACATTCCCTTGGCTTCCAATGTTTCTCCAATAGCCTCCTTAAGCTGATCCATATCGAATTGATTTTCCTTCTCCACTTTGTAATAGGCCATATTCTCAACGACTGCCACACAAGGAACATTGACCGAGTCAAACATTTCTACTCCGCGGACCACATCCGCAAAGCTCAATTCTTGTGGCGTGGTGACAATGACAGCTGCAGTAATATTTAATCGTTGAGTCAGTGTTAATTGGATGTCTCCCGTTCCCGGAGGCATGTCCAAAATCAAGTAATCTAAGGGCCCCCAATGCGTCACACTCAAGAATTGATCCAACAGTTGAGTCACCATGGGGCCACGCATAATCGCCGAACCATCATTGACATAACCAAAACTCATCAACTTGACGCCATTGCGTTGGAGGGGCGCGACCTGCCGTCCCACAAAGCGAACAATGTCATCGTCGGGGGTGATCATAGTAGGCAAAGAAGGTCCATAGACATCCGCGTCAAAAATACCGACCGAGGCGCCCATGCTTTGCAAGGCATATGCCAAGTTAACGGCAGTCGTAGACTTGCCCACTCCACCCTTACAAGAGCTGACAGCAATGACGGCGCCTACTTGGGCCATTCCAAAGGTAGAAGTTTCCATAACAGAAGGCTGAGCGGTCATTTGGACAGTCACTGGGCCGGTCCAAGGCAAGTCTTCCACCAATTTTTGACAATCCATTTGGAATTGTTCCTTGACTGGACAGGCGGGAGTGGTCAATTCGACATCAAATTTTACTTCGCGGGTATCTTCATCCAAACTTAGATTTTGTACAAAGCCGAGTGTAACAATGTCCTGATTCAAATCGGGGTCAATCACGGCCTTGAGAGATTGCAAGACTTCGCCACGCCATTCTGTGGGAATCCCAGGAAGGTCCTTCTCATTTGTTTCATCAGCATACAGTTGCATTGTCGATAGCTTGGAATTCTGCCATAGGGTGGGAGCAAAGGCATCCGTAGGCGTGCTCCCAAAATACAATAGGCAGAGCGGTGACAGGATTGCCAGCGAATGTAAGAATTGTCTTGGATTTGTTCTCATCTTCTTCTTGGTTTCTAGTTATTCTTATATTACTTGTTTGTTTGTTTGTTTGTTTGTTTGTTTGTTTGTTTGTTTGTTTGTTTCACACGGCAAGGGTTTCTTTGTGAAATCTAAACAACTTCTTTTACGCTTTGTAATTGGCAAGTCTTTCGAGTCAGTAGGGGTCGCAGTAGAGGTGATGGCTTGCAATGGTACCGTAGAAGGATCACAATACAATCTTTGAACACGGTCGTTTGAAGTTGAAAAACTGCTTGCGTCATCAAATCATCATGATCAAATCAAATCTTCCAACTGGAGGGTGGGCATACAGACAGACGTAGGCGTCACTACTGTAAGTGCGCGGTGTGATATACCTGATATCTGATACCTTGAGGTGAAACACACACCTCCACCTGAAAAACACCAATCCGAAAACTCTTGCCTCAAACTATACTGTACCTATATCAGCCTCCCAACACATACCAACGGAAGAGTCTTGTTGCACAACAACAACTCTGGGAGGACGAATGCCTTATTAGAACAGGAAAATGGCTGACTCAATCTCATCTATGAGTGGCGAACCATCTCATCAACGAACCAATGATGACGTCTCGGTCGATTTGCCACAAGAGCTGGTAGATTCCGACAATGAAGACTTTCTCTGTGATGATCCAGATCCTGATGATAACAGTATCGTTGGAAAAGACGACTTTGATCTCTTGGCATCTGGTGCGGAACAAGCCAAACGTGATCGAATGTGGCAGTTTTGCACTGTTGGAACACCGGAGGGCGAAGAAGAAGACCATTGCATCAACAAGGGTGACACTGTTGTACAAATTAAAGACCTTGAACCAGATGTAAATATTCCTGGCATTCCTCCCAACCACCAACCGATGCAAACGGAAGTGGACGCTGGAGAGGTTCCTTTTGATAAAGTTGACAACCCAGGAAACTGGTCTGACTACTTCTATTGTCGCCAGTTCGACGACAACAGTCAATATACTGGCCATTTCCTACCAGCCGGCGCCAAACCGGTTCCACTTTCTGATGGGAATAAGAAACGAACCTGTAATGGATGGGAGTTTCACTATAGCCCTTGGGAGAACAAGGATTCAACAACTTCTTTCAGAAGCGGCGCTTCAACGAAAAACATGTTTCCAGAAAGCCGAAAAGGTAGCTTGAACTCCACCACCCTCAAGAAGCTTGGCCTTACCAAGGAGCGAATGGAAAAAGCGGATGCCCTGTTCTTTTATCAATTGATCTATCCAATCTGCGACCCCAAGAGGTCTGGAATTGAAGGTGATCCAAGGAAAGCCTATTACTTCGATGTCGGGGGCTTCACATCGAAGTATGCAGTCTTACATGGCTACGGTTCACCTTATGCCCCCCCTTTTGAGCCGATGTATGTATGGGATCTAGTGGTCTTTCATGGCATTCTGGTTCGAGATGGTGTCCATGGAGGAAGCAAGGGTGCCATCTACCGTCGCTGGGATCCAACAACTTCATGTTACGATCCAGAAATTGCGCAAGCAATGAGCCTTTATCGCTGGCGCCAAATCAAAAAAGTATTCAAGCTGAACGACATATACGACAACAGCGGTAGACGAGACAGTCCTACATACAATCCTGCACACAAATTCGACTTGGCGTACAGAGTCATCGTTGAAAACTGCAATAGCTTGACATTGCATGCGGAGCTTGACCAATGTGCAGACGAAATGACATGGAAATTAATGGGATATGGAGATGGTAAGAAACCGGCAGTGTGGTCAAGAAGCAAGTTATAATCGTTTCTCATATCTGTTTTCTCGGCTTGCTCTTATTTGCTTCAGGGAAGAATGGAGTTACCAAAGGTGGGCAACTTGTGTTGACAACCGATGCTTCTCGGTGCCGTCCTCGTGCATATCTGCACCGTCACAACTTGCACCATCGCCCGCAAGGCTGTGGTGACAAACGAGGGCCGAACGAGGTCCGATTACTAGTTGATAAACTGTCCTGCATGATCTCCAAGGAAAATGGCGATGCTCGAATCTTCCGAGAGGCACCTCACATCACTCTTGATGACTTCTTCTCCGGTGACGAAATCATGGATCATATTGGTCGCCTCGGATTCGCTGCCACCATAGCATGCCGTCCAGACCGACTGCCCTTGGGTGTCCCCAAGTTCTACTTTCATCATGAGAAAGTTCTTGTTGATGATCGCAGCAAGGCCACACGGCTCATTCAACCCATCACTGCTGTGAAGTCGTTTCCTAAGGATGACAACAACAAGGCCTACCAACGCACGCATGTCTCCTTCCAAAGCGCTGGTCCCACCAACATTTCAACTGTAAATGCGCTCAACACGAATCAACTCCTTATCCATGTCAAAGAAGAGAGAGGCGTCGGCAAAAAGAAGAGAAAACGGGGTGTCGAGATGAATAACGGAAGACTCCAGTACCTCTCGCACTGCAGAGGAGTCCACAACATTGATCGTATGATTTCTGACTGCTGCCTTCAATACCGTAGCAGGAAATATTGGCACAGTCCAATGCTTCAGGCACTTGCACTTGCCATTGTCACTGCATACGACTTATACTTGGAAAGTGCCAGCGGAAGCTTGGATCCTGTGTGGCAGCTACAAAAGCCAATGAGTTTCCATCAATTCCGCGACCGACTCTCAAGTCAGATGCTGAGCTACAAACCAAAGTACAATCGATACCCAGGTGATGAAGCTTTTGGCTCCCATTCGCCCCCCATCCAAAAAGTACGCACCAAGACCGATGCTGAGCCAAGCAAGAGATCCCGCAAAATCGAAGCGGCCGCAAATGGTTGTGGCAAGCGGTGCATTATGATTGACGGTTTGGAAGCTACCAAGAAGACTAAACGGCCCAGAGTTGTCTATCATCATGCTGACTTGTCCAAACATTTGAAATCCTTTCTGGAAAAGAAAGCTACAATTTCTTCGGGTGCCAAGTGTGTTTGGTGCAATGAGAAGGCATACACTCGATGCACCATCTGCGGTGTACCCTTGCACAACTTCCCTGCAAAGGGAGTACACAAAGGTAAATCGTGCTCTGTAGATTGGCACAATGCCAACGCTTCGGAGTGACGTTCCAGGACTCTTAAGAACCTCGAGTCCGCTACTGGCTAACAAGCAGTATGTGATCGATCATCTCAGCGACCCTTCTCTAGGAATTAGTTTATGTGCCGTGACGGGACGATCACCCCTCTTATTCAAGCTTTTCGCATACCCCACAGTAATCACTTGCTACTGCAAGCCGTCAGTATCCCTGACTCCATTGCGTGCAAGAGAAGATTATACTACATCTTGTTCAAACAAAAAATGATTGAATATACCCGGGAAAGTTGTAGATGCCCCAATTTGTCGCAAGGCTGCGTCCTTGCACTTGGTGGTATTGTCGTGGCTCGAAGAAGCCCAGAACATTAGGTTGGCTTCTCAGTAAACGAAATACTGTATCTAAATCTACACATGTATCTCCAACTGGAATTGCTGCAAGCTGGAACGGGAATAATTTTGTGACTGGATCTGGTAGCAACAGCACTTTTACAACAACAAGAATGAGAGAAAGAACCAACACAGCCATCGCTATACGCAAAGCCTCTTCCATACCGCATATACTAACCTTCTGGTGCCGCCCGCATCAAGTCTGAAACCCCTTCCGACCAGCAGTGTCGATTCGACAGTGCAAGATGAAGCGGGTAGCGATTTGATTGAGTTTCTTGCTCATACGCTCCTTTTGGATGTGCCTCCAATAGTAAGGAAATAAAAACTCTTTCCCTTGGCTTGTATTTTCGGCGGGTTTCATTTGACCACGAAGTAGGTCCAACTGCAATATGTAATGGAAGACGATGAGACCAATCTCGTTGGCTTGCTCCCGTCAGCTTTGGATTTCCATGAAGAAGGTTTCGAATGATCGTACTGGGACATGATCGAGCTCCAAGTGATACTGCAGCATGGAGCAGAAATTTCTCGTCCTCATCGGATTGTGTTTCGCATTGTCGTCGTGCTTTAGCCACTGCCGATAGCATGACTGTGACTCTTGACCACAATTCTGGAGTGATTTTTGTCTCGGCACCGGCCTTTTCCCAAAGAATTTTGATAGGCTTCTTGCCTAGTTTTGTTTCGCACAATGCCGTGGCAGGGTCCCTGCTAGTAAGAACCTTTAGGATCTCCGCTTTTACTTGATATCTACAGGCAAGGTGAAGTGGCAAGTCCCTATTTGCTCGGGAAGATGTTCTTACAGAGCCGGGAAAAGCATCAACGATAGCGGTGATTACGTCAAGGGGTGCATCATTTTGGATGGCAAGATGCAATGGTGTTTCTTCAAAGTCGATAAGATGAGAATTTGTCATTTCTTTGCCTGTTGGATACTACACTTACTTACCATCATAGTCACCGTCAACATATCCTACATTCAATGGGCATTTGGAGCATTCTTCTTTAACGAGATTCCAACTATACTTGTTTTTTAACAAAGGTTCTTGCGTTAGTTTTTGAAATTGGAACAGGAATTATTTCCTAGATGTGTAGACACTTACTCCCTGAACAGTACAGCATCCCAAATGATACTCTGTGGACATTCTTCATTGTTTTGCATTGTTGACAACTACAACGCATTGAGCATGTGAAAATATTTTAAAACTTTACACACAATAAAATAAGCAACACAAGCAAGCGCGCAAGCAGGGCATCTAAAGATTTGACTCTCCCCCTAAAATCACTTACTACTGTCTGTACAGTATTACAGTACTGAACCGGTATTTATTAGCATCATATTGGTACCGGTACCGGTACACAAAAAAGTGCGGAATTCGGCGCCATGACGACAATGGTCTCTCCTGCTGATCAAAGATTGAGTGAGGTAAGTTTAGTGAGGCTGAAATCTGGTCAATTGACATCATATTACATTTTGCAAAATCGTATGGATGATTTGACGCGAAGAAAATCCGGTTGAATCAAAATGCGACAAAACTACGACAATAGTCCTACTGGTACACGTGTACCCGTGTACATGTAGTGCTCGTGTACGTACACGAACGTATGATTGGCTGAAAAATTCGAATCAAATCGTGTCGATCCAACCAATAATCATGCATGCAACCAATGCTCGCTTTGACATCTGGCATTTTCAAATTTGCCAAAAGACCAAGCGAAAGTTTCAACTTCAACACCAAACTACACACAGGTGCCCGTTGCTATCGACGTAAGAAAAATGCTCCGAGAGTTAAGCTACCTCGCATTTTGCAGCATTGCCGTAGTCTATGCTGCCGATACAGACCAAACTTGCGCTGCCGGTGATGAAAGTTGTGCTTCGCTGCCAGAATGCAAAGATGAACACGAATCTTGCTCCTTTTGGGCTGGTGCAGGCGAGTGTGATGCGAACGCGAACTACATGCTGGAATATTGTAAGCTTTCGTGTGGAAAATGCCCTGGCGTTCCTATGGTACAAACCGCACCAAAGCCAGCACCCAAGCCCTCGTCAACATGTTTTGATAACAACGAGGAATGTGAAAAGTGGGCGGATGGCCTTGAGTGCGATTTGAATCCAGCGTACATGCTCCAAAACTGCAGGTTAAGCTGCAACGTGTGTACCGATCCAGACATGGTCATCGACCTTGGTGTACCACAAAAGGAGGTCTCTGACGAAGTTCCAGATGTGACGGAAGAACAAGTCGCCAGCCACATTCTCAAATCAGAAGAGTATTTGCGAACGAGCAAAATGCGGTTGAGTCTCAGGCGGGGTTGTAAAAATAAGCACGAGCTCTGTACCTTGTGGGCCCTGTCAGGGAGATGCCACACGCATTCCGAATACATGTCAATCAAGTGTGCTCCTGCTTGCGAATCGTGTGAAAAGCTGACTGTGGAGGGAAGATGTCCTATTGATCCTGAAGCCCCTGTTGCATGGGACAAGGGGGATTTGAACAAAATGTTTGAAAAGTTGACATCAGAGCCATATCTTTCAGAGTATAATGTTGAGATCTTATCTTCCCCGGCCACTAATGGCCCTTGGGTCATCACGATGGAGAATGTTGTAGGCGCTGACGAAGCGGAAAGGTTAATTGAACTGGGCAGTGAAGAAGGATACGATCGCTCGACTGATGTTGGCAAAATGAATGTTGATGGCACAACCGAAAAGAGTGTTTCGACAGGCCGAACCTCAACAAATGCATGGTGCCAAAACAGTTGCTATCACGACCCCATGGCTCAAGCTGTAATACAGCGAATGGCCAACATCACTGGAATCGTAGAAGAAAACGCTGAGTATCTTCAATTGCTCAAGTATTTGCCAGGACAATTCTATGAGTCGCATCACGACTATATCCCCTTTCATATCCAACGGCAACAAGGCGTTCGCATTTTGACCATGTACCTCTATCTGAACGATGTTGAGTCGGGCGGAGGTACGAACTTTGACAAACTCAACATCACAGTGATGCCAAAGCGTGGGAGAGCGTTGTTGTGGCCATCGGTGTTCGATGAAGAACCAAACAAGAAAGACGAAAGAACATCGCACCAAGCTCTACCGGTGGGAGATGATGCAATCAAGTATGGTGCAAATGCATGGTTTCATATGCGTGATTTCAAGACAGCCCTTGCAAATAGATGCACTTGAGTCTATGAGTCATCTAATATATACATGACATGTTTTGATCGACTATTTCAATCTACAAAAAGGGCATTTATAGCACTATGTTTAGCTTAGCTTAGTTTTAAGTGTAGTTATGGGCTGCCGCCCTTGTAATTATGCAATTCGGCTGAGTATGAGATCTTCTTGTCTTCTCGTTATATAGCTTTTAAACAAGAAGATCAGGCCGGCTTCTCAACAAGCAAAACACGGTATCCAAATCAGGAGACGTGTCTCCAGATGGAATTGCTGCAAGCTGAAAGGGATAGAGTTTTGTCACTGGATCTGGTCGCGACAGCACTTCAGGTGCTGCCCGGAACAAGTCTGAAACTCCTTCCGACCAGCAGTGTCCATTCGATAGGGCAACATGAAGCGGATAGCGATTTAATATTTGCTCATAAGCGCCTTTTGGGTGCGCCTCTAGTAATAAGGAAATAGCAGACTTTTCCTTAGGCTTGTATTTTCGACTGGTTTCATTTGACAATGAAGTTTGACACACTGCAATATGTAATGGTAGACGATTAGAGCAATCGTATTGGCTTGCCTCTAGCTTTCCACTACGATCCCGCAGAAGGGATCGAAGGATAACATTGGGACAGGATCGAGCTCCGAGCGATACTGCAGCATGGAGCAGAAATTTCTCTTCACCATCCCATTGTACTCCAGATCGTCGTCGTCGTGAACGAGCCACAGCCGATAGGAGGACCATAACTTTTGACCAGAATTCTGGGGTTTCGGCCCCAGCCTTTTCCCAAAGAATTTTGATAGGCTTTCTGCCTAGCTTGTTTTCGGACAATGCGGTGGTAGGGTCCTTGCTGGTAAGTACCTTGAGAATCTCGACGCTGGCTTGTTTCTTACAGGCAATATGAAGTGGTAGGTCCCTGTTTGCTCGGGAAGATCTTCGCACAGAATTGGGATAAGCATCAACAATTTCTGTGATCGCACCAAGGGGTGCATTATTGCGGATAGCTAGATGCAATAGCGTTTCACCATCGATATATCTTGCATTCAATGGGCATTTGGAGCATTCTTCTTTTACGAGATTCCAGCTGTGGACAAAAAAAGTTGTGTTAGTTCTTGACATTGCAACATGCATTGCTTCCCAGCATGTCAATACTTACTCCATGGCCAGTGCAGCATCCCAAATGATACTCTGCGGACATTTCCTATTGTTTTGAATTGTCAATGATTCGATTTGCATTGTTGACATGATTGATGATTCTGATTTTTATGATATGAGATATGATATGATTGATGATTCTGAATTTTATGACCTGAGAAGAATGAAGAGATGAATATGGAGAACAAAGAACATTAATGGGTACTGTGTACAATGCAATGCAAACGACAGATGTATTCCTTTTTGGGAAGTTGTGATTGGCTGAAAAAGAACATCGTGTCACGATGTCGCGTCGATCAGACTATTTCTTCCGCACGACCATTTTTCTTCCGATATGTATGACAGTAGATCCGGAAAAGTGCATCTTGAACTTGACACCAATGATTGTGTCAGAAGAAAAAAAAGAAAACGTGTCAAGGAAATTGTCAGAATCGCCTCGATCAGACGCACGAACCATTTATTTCTTCCGACACAACTATGAAAAACCTCAAAATAGTCGTATCGTGAACTCTGAGTATTTACGGTAATAAAAATAGGACCCAGCTGATACGAAAAACTTTTTCTTTCGATAAGACTATGAAAAAACACAAAATTGTCGTATCGTGTGCTTTGGGTATTTACAGTAATAAAAATACAGTATGATTTCGATAACCGACTGATCCAACCGTTTGATACGAAACTACTTTTTCTTCCGATACGACTATGAAAAACCACAAAATATTCGTATCGTGAAGTTTTTGACTATTTACCGTAATGAAAATACAGTATGATTTCGATATCTGACAGATCCAACCCACCGTTCGTCTTGTAGCTGATACGAAATGCTTTTTCTTCCGATACGACTATGAAAATACACAAAATATTCGTATCGTGAACTTTGACCATTTACGATAATAATGATTTCGACAATAATCATCGACTCACTCCTCACACGCCAATGAAAAACCAAACGTCAACCGTCCACCCTCCAATACACAAAGTAGCCGTCGCACATACTGGTACAGCACATGGTCACACAGCGATAAACACTCATAAACACCCATTTTCATCCCTATACAGTACCAGAAATGATCCAGGGGAGACAATATCATCGTTTCATAATGATTGCTGTCACTCTTTCATCGTTCACACAACCCATCCGATCCTTTTCCAATACATTTTGCCGCCAACAACGGATAAGATCCTTTGCTTCCAGCCGAGTCATCCAGGCAGCCATTTCGGAACAGGATGAAACCTACATGAATCAAGCCATTCAATTCGCCCAACAGGGGATGGGGCACACCTTTCCAAATCCTGCCGTGGGATGTGTGATTGTCAATGAAGCATCAGGTCAAGTTTTGGGCGCTGGATTTCATCCAAAGGCGGGGTTCCCTCATGCCGAAGTCTTTGCCATGCTACAGGCGGCTGGACACATTGAAGACGGAGTAGCAGCCGCCCAATCCGTAGTGGAAGGAAATGCCAATAGCGATCAAGTCGAACAGCTGATGAAACAATACTATGCCGAAGGTGGACCTGAAGAATTGTTTGGCAATGTCTTTGGAGAAGAGCCTTCCATCACTGCGTATGTAACATTGGAACCCTGTTCACACTATGGTCAAACACCACCCTGTGCGACGACGCTAGCCTTGGCCAAGACAAATCGTGTAGTGGTTGGAATTGAAGACCCCAACCCCAAAGTCGATGGTGGTGGATGTCGCATCTTGCAAGAAGCGAATGTCCATGTGGATTTGGTGAATGTTGCTACTACTACTGACGACGACGACGACGACGACGAAGATGAAGACGAAGGTAATGACAAGGTGGATGAGGAGGCCCTGCAAGAAAATTGTGAGAAACTTGTCACGAACTTTTTGAAACGCATCACTCCGAAAGACTACGACAGTGATTATTCGTGGATGAATGGTGCCAAACGATCCATTCTTCGTAAATTGGCTAATTCTCGTAAAGCTAGTGATAGGATGGCTCAAGTCACTTGGACAGGTAGGACCAAGGCGTCAGACGAAGATGGGGTAGATGTATTAGAAGTGGAGGCAGAATGGCTGGAACGGCTTGACCGCTTCTTGTGGAAGGAGGAACTGGTCAATCTTCGACTCAATAAAGCGGTCAGTAAAAAGAAATTGGCCAAGCGATTGGGAGAACGGATTGGGAAAGCTTTGGGAGCTCATGTAGCACAAGCTGTAGGTCACACGGTGTTGCTGTACCGACCAGGTGTACCACCCGTTTTGGATTTGGAAAAATTGGTTGAAGAAGCTAAAGGACAAGCTGATCAACAGCGAACAACAGAGGAATAGAACTACACTCTACTGTAGTTGCTATGCTTTTTTTGTAATGGAATATAATTGGTGTTACAGCTCATCTATCAAGAATTAGCAGGCTTGCTCAGTCCTCCTCGCAAAATTTTCCACCAGGCTTCCTCCCATTCATCTCCTCCTATTGACTGAAGATATTCTGCAAGGTTTTCTTCGGGAAGGTTGACACTCTCTTCGGACATGGATTGATTCCAATCAATCCCATTGTCCTCGATTTGGTAATAGTAATGTGGCAAATCACCTTCCACTACAATGGTCATTTGCCGTTCGTAGCACGCTATTTTCCGAGAATCGTAGTCGACCTTGCTGGTCCTCCATCGTTTCAAAAAGCCTCCCACTTGATCTCGTGAGTCTCCTATAATGCCCACTACAATTTTGGGGCGTCCATTATAGTCATGGTTTGGATAGGATTGTTTTATCAGAACCTTGCAATTGGTTTCTTGACTCGTCTTTCGAAGCCATTTGCGATATCCCTTTTGATTGTTCATGTGGTCGACGTGCACCAAGGCACCATAGGACATTGATTGTTCTCCCCATTCTCCTTCGCTGGTGGTAGCATCATCTGCTTCATTCTCATAAACCTTCATACTGGTACGAAACAAATTCTCCAATCCAACTTCTCGACAATGCTGGGCTACCAGTGACATGTCTTCGACTTCCAAGAACCGTTCAAACTTTCGATGTGACTGGAGAACATCATCCTCATCACCTTCACAATTGTTTTTCTTGACCTTTGATACGACTTCTTGTTGCTCTCCCCGAAGTACCAAATACTGCCAATTCCAAGGTCGGATCTCATCGTAAAAAGCAATGCAGTCCTCTTCCAAACCTTCGATAATCAATAAACCGGGCCACCCAATCTTCATATACCCCGTGAGTTTGTAATGAGAAGCCAGTGATTTCATGTCCCCACGTTTGATTTTGGAAATTATGTGATGGGAATAAATGAGTCGTCGACCTAGCACCAATTGCTTGGATTGTTGTTTGTCTTTTGTCGTGGTGTGTGGATTCCTCTGTGACGACTTGTTGGATCCTCCTCCCTGCTGATACTCTCTACATAAATTGGGCCATTCGTCTTGTATCCATTCATCAGCTTGACTAAAGACTATAAATACAGATTCCTCTTCTTGATGTTCCATGGCGATGGAACGACAACTCTCATTCAGACGTGGGATGGCGTTCAACGCTGCTTTCATCAAGGTTGCATTCTTCCCTCCAGCACTGGAACCATCTTGATCTAGAGAAACATCCACCTCCAATGGAGAGTGAATTGGGTAATCCAATGGGAGGGTCAACATCATTGAAAGCATGATTACAGAGCCTTGCTGGTCACTGCTCTCTTCGTCCAGAAGCTTCAATTTTCGAACAATAATGGGCGGCTTCTTGGAATCATCAGCTCGTTCACAATATGCCTCTTCGGGTGCATACGCACTTTCTACAAACTCTAGTTCGGCATCCCGACGCTCTTTGCATTCATCATAGTCTTCCATTCCATATCGTGGTGAGGAGAAACTGTAGGCTGTAGGTAAAGATGAATAAAAGAGTTACTGTAGTGAGATATTTATTGAAGCGATATATATGACGTTTGTTTTTGGAGGCAACGGACTAATTCGACTTTAAAAACTGACTAGTTCGACTTCGATGACTCCAAAGATCTTGCCAAGACCATGATGATGACTTCTTTGGTCTTGCCCCGACGCCATCAGTTGCCCCAAGTCCCAACCATACTCCAGGAAGTCCAGTAGTCACCTTTCATCATGCGTTCTGTGTCAACCATTTTCCTGACCACCCTTCTTATGGCAGTTGCAAACACTTTGGCGCAAGACCTTCCGATGTGTTCTTCCGTTGGCGTCTATCTGTGCTTCGATACGTCTACCGATTTGTGTGATGAATATTGTAAAAACAATGGAGGGGGAAGCAAGGAATCCTGTCAAATCTTTGACAACTCCCTACGAGTGGACTGCAAGTGTACAGCTTCAGATACTGGATGCCTCGACACCACATACGTTGCATCTGAAATTCCAACTTGCCGAGAGTTTTCAATCTTTAGTTGCAACAATGCTTGCACTAACCTCTGCGCTGGTCTTCCCAATACCCGTGGTGACGGACAAGGGCGACAGGCAGCCTGTAATGAACCTAATGGCAAGACTAAGTGCATTTGTGATGGTCTTCCCGTTTGCGACGATGCCATCAATGATGCCCCCACAAATTCCCCCGTTGCCTCAGCACCAACAACTAGTAGTGCAGCCAACCGTGGTAACAGCAATCCAGAGTTCGCAATCGCGGCCTTGTCTCTTGCCATGAGCATTATGAATCTGATCCTTTGAATACGATAAAAGCAGATTTGTTTGTTAATTATTCACGTCACGTCCTATTTTTCAATGTGTTATTAGCAAGAGTATTTTGCAAGCCATGAGGGACTCGTGGTGGCGTCGTTCATTGTCGGTGTCAGCACCAAATGATAAATCAGAAATAGCTGCCTGCACCGAACACATGTGCATCCATCCTTTTTATGAGCTTCATTCTGTTTCTGCCTTCCGACAAAATCGGCTTCAGGTGGAGCTGCTTGAATTCCAAGGTGAAAGGCAATGAATATTGCTTCGCAAATAGTACAACATAATTCGGATTTGGAGTTTTTACCTTTGGAGCTGCTCGAGCTCCTGTACTTGTGGCAGCTGGAAGTCTTTTTTTGAATCTCCCCCAAGATGTGCATCCAGCGATACCATAGTTGTGTGTTGCAAATCGCTTTATTCAACTCGCGCCTTCAAAAGAAATCTGCATATTTGTGTAGCTCCGATACATGCGTCGGTTCAATGATCAACGAAAACTCGGAAGGGATTTTGTGACTACCAATTGCCTTTCCACTTTCGTATAGCAAACTCACTCCTACGATCCGAAACGGCGAGACAGTCCCCTCTACTGTTTCCAGTCGAATGGTCGTTTGTGCATGATTCCCTGGTATCATTCCGATGGCTGTCGTGCGGGGGATCTGGTGCTGAATCGATTTGCCTTCGTGACGGGGATCCAATACCACCGAGCTCTTATCTGAAACTTGCACTTTGGTGCTGGGATACACCTTGTTGCTAAAGGCAAAGTCCGAAGTTGTCATGTAGGTGAGGTAAACCATTCGCGACTCGGGAAATGGGTTTGTAACAGTGATTGTTCCACCATCCTCTTCAGAGGAGGATAGCTCTAGTGCATACTTTGGTTCCGTCATGGGTTTGGAAAATGAGCGCAGCGACAATCCCTGGTAGGTTAATTTCTTATTGTCGATTTGATTCGTTTCGTACCAGAGCTGACAAGAATCTCCAGATCCCCAGTCTCCAACCCGATTTCTCCATTCATCGGAACTTTGCAAAATTGTTGATTGGATATTTCTCAGATATTGAGATCGAATGGAGGTAGCGACTAGGCGGTGGCCCTGACTCGAAAGCGCATACTGGTATTTAATCCCATCATCTCTATCATAATCCATCATTTCGACCTCCACGAAAAGCTTTTGGGCTTTTGCTAGAGCTTCAGTGGGGTCACTTGGCCTTGGTAGCTTGTACATGAAAGCTTGGATTTTGTTTGCCAGGTTGTTCAAGTAAAGATCGAAGGTATCTTCCTTTCTTGACGACAACATCCAGTCATGTCTTTTGACAGCCTGGTGGTACTCCTTGCTTTCCCAAAAAGATCGCCATGGAACCTCCGTTTGATTGTTTCTCCATTGGTCAAACGTTACAACCTTTTTCTCTGCTCCTTTGCCAATTGTATTCTTGAATCGATATTGATCATCATAATCATAGCCGTCATCATCGTGATTTTCTTCGAGGTAGTTCATCTCCGATGGGTCCCAGAGTTGAACAAAAATGATTTTTGCTAGCGGAAAACGTTGACGAATTCGACTTGCTAGTAAGCCAAGGGCATCGTAGTTGCGTTGAATATCCTCCTCCAATGAATCGTCATCTTCATCAAAGGTAGCGGAGGGAGCATGGAAATGATAAAACGAGGTCTCGATCAATATAACATCATATACATTGTCGTCTCCGACAATAGACTGAGTACAAAGCGAGGCTAGGGTTGGCCATCCTCTTCCACCCAAATTTCCTGTCAACTTGGATGGTACAGACGTCGTTGTCGCTGCTGTTGATGATACAAGTTGACCAGCATTGTGTACATGTCCATCAGATAGTATTGTGGAAAAAGTGGAATCATTAGGATCTTCCAATCCAAATCCCCAAGTCGAAGGACCTCCGAAAGCTAGGAAACGAACATTTCGATCACTCAAGCGTCTTCGAAGGGAAGTTGTTAAAGGATGACGAATTCGGCTGTTTCCTCCCCAAAAACCGTCATTATAACATTCAAATAGTAGCCCTAATATACAAGATAGTGATACAATCAGACGACGGCTCAAAGGTATCGATGACATCGATGGAAACATCGGTTCAGATTCTTTCCCACCAACGAGGCTTCTTTGTAGATATCGAGACGAAGTTCTTAGTCCTCGTGCTTTTACGTTCGTTGATACTACCAGTAGTGCTCCTAGTGTCTCAGCACTAATATTGGATGCAGGTTCGGAACCTTGTCAACGAACTCAAAAACACAACTACAATTCCACAAATCTCACTGACAGTCGAAAACGGTTTTGCGTTATCGCAGCAGTTTGACGAAAACAAGGGGCGCCAGTCTGCCTGTTTGTCTGCCAAATTTGATGAGGTTGCGTGTCTGTTCAGCCCGTCTGGATCGATCAACGGAAGATTGAATCTCCCGCCGTTGAGTCCAATTGTGACCAAACTTTTGATCGCCATGATCAATTTTACTAAGAGTATGAATATTGATTTACACGAGTTTTTTATTAATGTGACAACCGATGTTCTGAAACTATTGAAATGGTGTTCGAGCACCTTTAATAACATTGTCTATCCCTTCATATCACAGACTCAACTAAAAATTGAAGACTTATATTCCACTGTGAATTTTGGGGTTTCGAATACTTCAAGATGCGAAGCGTAGAAGTTGCCGTCACTAAAATGGCAGCATACATAGTCTGAGTGTTTTCAACAACAAACCATTTGGAAGCAAGGTGATCAAAAGACATGAACGAGAACGCAGCTGGTATCATCGCCATGTCTCGGTTGCATTGTTAACACATCCTAGGCTTGCGGCAACCACCCAGTGCTGGGTTCAATTCGCAACTTATCTGTTGCCAGGTTCTTAAGTGAACGGGAGTAGTGTTTTGGAAACCGCAAGAAAGATGAGGAAGGGCCAACTCACGAGAACGTCTATATTACATGCTTGAAGACATGCAATATTCAAGCGATTTTGAGTGAGATTATTCAAAGGCGAAAATACGGGCAATAACGTTGTTGGGTTCCTCGATGGCCAAGTTTCCATCGCCGCGCAGGCCATGGACACTCTATTACCGTATGGCCATAGAGGATGAGTTCAGATGTAGATATCGCCATTCTATTGTGACGAGAGATCAACCAACTAGGTCTTGGCGCACGTAATTGAGATAATGACTAGATTCCAAAGGTGAAGAGACTATCCAGCTAGGAGGGCAGCAGTTGTTCTCGGTTTCCCATAGGGCATCCTGCAATGAATAAGAGACGACAACGCGATGCTGATTAATATGAAGTACTGTAACTAGAAGATTTCAAAAGCATTTTCTACCATTGGATGTATCCATCACCTCATATAGCTAGTAGTTCTAGGCAATTTAGTTTTTGCCAATCCTGAAATCGGTGTCGTGGTGGTCTTCTGGCTGCTACCCCGCCATTCTTCAGGGCAGCTAATGTTGATCTAGGGTAACTACAGCGCTATCTCGTGATCCAGTGGTAAGGTGGGTCATTAAGACAAAGGATGAAAGTGCTTTATAATACAAAGGCATATTGCTGGGGCCATATTTAACCTGGACTTGCCCTTCCCCTATAATCATCCTCGTTTGGAAGCCAAGTGACGAGCCTATTTTTAGTCAATGGCCCGCTGTGATTGGCTTAAGAGCACTAAAAATGGGTTGATTTTTACTGATTTGATTGGCTGAAAACCCACTAAAAATAGCACCAGCATAATGTACATAAAAAAGAGCACGCAGAAACACCCAACGATAAAATTGAAAACCAACGATAAAAGTTGGACAAAAGCATTTCACAAAATATGAAGCGTTTCAAGATAATAGATTTGAACAAAAGCATTTCACAAAAAATAAAGCGTTTCAAGATGACACACATTTTTTAAAACATTCAAGAACTGACTATCTTAGGTCCTAGTTCTCATGAAGCTGCAGTTCGTTGATTAATTGCTTTTACAAACAAGTTTGTATTGGCCCCGATGGCAATTAAAACTTGGGCACACACCAAGCTTCCTGCCGATATCTACAAGAATCACCCGTGCGGTGATGCGCTGGAGTTCTTAGTTTTATTTGCACTCAGAAATGTTGGTCGTAGTTGTCGCTCCAGACGTAACGACGTTTCAATCGCATGAGGTTCCATCGGAAAGACGAAGAGAAAGACAACATGCAGTAGGGTGAGAAGATTTCTTCGCTAAGGTAGATGTGGAATATGGAGCAGTCTGCTCCTCTAGAACAATACTTCGAAATTTCAAAAGAGAATGCTGTTGAATAGAGAAGTTCAAATGCTCCTTCATCGAAAGAGAAGAAGGAGAGGATACAATCTATTATGATTCAGCGCTTCATTTCTTTTCTATATATGATTATCCCAGGCATGCTTGCAATTTAAGTTATTCGTCGCGACCGCGCATAAATGCCTTTTTGATGCATTCATAATGCTCTTGGAGAGACATACCCATATTCATGTGAATAAGGGAGATGTTTCACCAGCCCAAGTTATTGGTTGTGCTGCCACGGCCTCAATTCCTTTCGCCTTTTTGCTCTTTGAGGTTTTTGATTGCATCTCTAATCCTCTTGTTTTCCTCCGCCAGTTTTACATTGGATTTCTTCAAGCCACCTTTGGCTGTGCTAAGATAGTCGATTCTCCGGCGTTTCTCTCTTTCGCGTTTCGGAAGCTCTGAAGAGGACTCCGAGTCTGTGAGCGAAGTAGTGGCGGAGACCTGACTATCCACAGCGGCCCTTTTCTTCTTCGTCTCCTTCTCTTTACTGGATTGCTCTGAAGAGTCTCCACTGCTACTGCTGGTTCCTTGTCTCCCTGCGAAATTCTCCTCACCTCCTTCAATTGGCCTGAAATGGCTCGATGCTGCCGGCACATCGACTGTACTAGGAACCGTCGATGATTCATCGCTGCCCTTTGTTTCAGAGGTGGACGATGTGGGTGGTTCTTTGTCCATGGTTCACTCGGGTATGTATGTCTATTGTCTCGCTGGTGTCGATCCCACGTGCAGCAATTAGGAACGGTGGATTGTCAAAGCTGGCACACACGTATTTTCGGAAGGGTTCGCGGACGTCGACCAGACCAGAAGAAAAAGTAAAGCAAGACTCAAGACCGACCGATACCGTCTGGCTGTCAGTCACATGTAGACGAGCGAAGTGTGGGTTGACCGCAAGACGATGACTAGCTCTAGACAGTGGACTGAAAATGATGACAACCGAAAAAGAGGGAAAACAGCAATAATGGTGGCTGCTATTTTTGACTTTTCCAGCGTCTTGCTGATTCTTCTGCTATTGGTTTGTACATGTACATATTTACGCGAGCTCAGACCGACTCTATTTGACGGAGGCCAGGTATGCATTGCACAATGGCTATTTGTTGGAGCAATGACATCCTTGGCATTATGTCTCATCCTGTGCTCTTTCTTTCCTTCTTTTCTTATTTACGCTATGTCCCCTCTTCATTTACTCTATCGCCTGCTGAAACATTGTAGAGGGATCCATCTTGGCCAAAACACAAGCATAGGGAAGGGTTCGGAGGATTCTTATGGAAGATGAGTCGAATCGGGGAACGACTGAGTCCATTTGTTGGAGCGAGCTGTGCCGTCATGGCTATTTACGTGCTCCTAAAGTAGCCAAAAAGAGGAATTCGCAGACGCTGTTGGCTTCACAGATTAGCGTTCACGTTTGCACCCGAATGTTGTTATAAATAAAAGAAAACAGCACGATGGATTTTGGAATCCAAGATGAGGTAATCCAGAGCGGGATTGCAGCTCTGTAGACAGGCATTGACGAGCTCAAGACCTCGGGGGGATAACGGGGGTATGCGTTGTTGCTGAATCTCCGAATCCACCGACAGTGCAACTATCAACTCTGACAAAATGTCAGTATTGTTGAATACAATAAACTATAAAAGTACCTTTGCGATGAAGATATTGTGGAATCACAGAATCCAATCGTCGGGCATATGAAGGTTCTGTAAACGATTATCCCTTTTTGGAGCTCACGTTGTCCTTACAGTGTGGTACCGGTACCAATGCTGTAGTATCAAGGAATATTCAGGCACAACCAATAAGGCACAACTTATTTTGTATAGTGGTCGAACCAGTCGTGATTATGTTGTCCGTCCGGACGTCCGTCATGCAGCTAGGGCAGCAAACAAAGCAAAAGCTGAAAGCGCATCTCATTTTCACCGAACAGAGAGGAGCGATCGCTAGCAACCATAGTATCATTGTTCTTATTATTATTATTGGTGTCCTCTTTGCCGCCGACGAGAACTTGAGCTTGGCACGAGATCAGAACTGCAACGAAAGAGGCAAGAGTCTGAGTTGGCTGGTGTTGCGTAACAGGAGCAGTCAGAGCGAGAGATCAACTCAGGCGTGGAAACGATTGAGTAAATCGTTTTGACTGCATTTGCTGATTGAACAGCTTGGTGAATACAATGTCGAATTGGTTGACCCTTCCGCAGCTGAGGGGAGAAGCTGATAATGTTCCTGGCCCCTCTCCGGCCGCAGCACAACATGCACCAGCAACTTGGGAAGCCATTGCTGAGGTGGCACAAGAAGTACAGAAGCAACACCATCAGCAACAAGAGGAACAGAGGATGAGACAAGAGCAGCAACAGCAACAACAGCAACAAATTGAACTGCGACAGGGTCAACTTGGAGGAGCTGTCGCATTGGATGGTCCGATCGATCCAGGTATCGAGCAGAAAATGCCCGGATCAGGCGGTTCTGCCGATTCAACCTATGTAATGAGGTAAGTTTTTGCTACTTTTCGAGCATGCTGTGGCAATATGTTCATGGTGAACAATACACTAATCGGTGTTGTATCATGTAGAATCCATGACATGCTGGAAGATGCAGACCGAGAAGGCAACACTGAAGTTGTGAGCTGGCAATCTCATGGTCGATCATTCCGCATTCATAAGGAATCAGAATTTGTCGACAAGATCATGCCGCGATACTTCAAGGCTAGACTTGATAGTTTCAAGCGATGGCTTCGTGCGTGGGGCTTTGTCCGACAGACGGAAGGCGTTGATCGCGGCGCCTGGTACCATCGCTACTTTGTCCGGGGAGTGACTACTCTATGCAAGAATATGACTCGAATCCAGATGTTGCAGGCAATGGAAAATTGGATACCCACGGGCCAAGCGCCAGATTTCTACAAAGCGTCTACGTCTTTGCAAGGCTGGTACGAAAATCCGGTTCCCAAACTTGGCGCTGCATCAGATATGGATGGGATTGCATCAACCTCTTCAGCGATATCTAAAGCAGCCAAGGATCCGAAACGACTCCGAGGAAGAGTGCTTGAAGACATTCGACAAATGTTGGAAGAAACAACAGCTGTCGAAAACGAGAGGGAGATTGTATCATGGATGCCACATGGAAGAGCCTTCAAGGTGCACCAAAGCGACGCATTCGTCAAGTTGATCATGCCTCGGTACTTTAAGACAGCCAAGATTACTTACTTTTCAGATGCGTTGAGATTATGGGGATTTTGCAGGCTGAAGAATAAAGGACCGGATAAGGGGGCCTATTTTCACTTGCACTTTGTCCGAGGAGATGCCACGCAAACCAGACACTTGTCACGAAAACAAATGAAGGAAGTCATGGCGAACTGGCCGGGTCCCAAAGGAGAGCCAGACCTGTATTCAATTCAACCGCTGGGTCAAATTGGAGTACTAGCCACACCAGCAGCAGGTGGAGCGATGGGTACACAACAAGCTCTATTGCAAACGACAAACGTGCCTCCAAATGCCGGTGCAATGGTCGGAAGAACTCCAATTGATCCAATTGAATTCTTGAACATGCCCGTGGAAGGAACTCAAAATCCGATGCTATTAAATCAAGCGGCAAATGCTATGGATCCAAATGCTGCCACCTACCCGACAGTAGCGGCCAGTGTATCCGAGCGGCAGCCTTTAGCACCAGCTGGTAAGAGTGTTACCAGTGGTGATACAACTTATGTCATACGAATCCATGAGCTATTGGAGGACTCTGAAAAGATGGGATTTCAAGATATCGTCAGCTGGCGAGTTCATGGGCGAGCTTTTCGCGTCCATAACGAAGCTGAGTTTGAAGAGAAGATCATGCCACGCTACTTCAAAGCCAAAATGGCGAGTTTTCAGCGTTGGTTGCGGGCTTGGGGCTTTGTTCGGATGACCGAGGGCAAGGATCGGGGTTCTTGGTATCATCGGTACTTTGTTCGTGGGGCCACGGATTTGTGCCGAAACATGAGCCGATTAGACATGTTCAATTCGATGAAGAATTGGTTGCCAATTGATCAAGTTCCAGATTTCTACAATAGTGGAACTGGTCAAGTGTTTTCAGAAGCTCCAAAGAAGGAAGCCCCGGCGACTGCAAATCCAAAGAATCCCAAACGGTTGCGGGGAACCGTCTTGGAGGATCTTCGGAACATGCTCGAGGATGCGGAACAAGAAAACTCAACTAGTGTCACTTGGCTGCCCCATGGAAGAGCGTTCTTTGTGACCGACAAGGCCTCTTTTGTGACATTAGTTTTGCCTCGTTACTTCAAAGCAAAAAAGTTCACATACTTTTCCGACATCTTGAGGATTTGGGGCTTTGTTCGGCTAAAGAAACAAGATAAAGGGGCGTACTTCCATCGCTTGTTTGTTCGAGGTAAGCCCGAGCTAACAAGGAATTTGTCCCGCAAGCAAATGAAAGAGTCGATGGCCGGGTGGCCTCCACCCTCCGGAGAGCCAGACTTGTATGGCTCTGAGGCAGCTGGTTTGACGTCAGGTTCGACAAAAGGCCTCGCACCCTCGACCGGCATTGTTGGCATAGCTGAAGCACTGCCAATCCCCGCGTATGCACCAGGAATTTTTGCTCCGAATGAGCGTGAAGCAGGAGACAAGCAAAAAGTCGATGAGATGATCGAGCCGATGAGGGTTGAGATATGAAAAAAGCTTTGCAAGTGAGATTTAACTTGTTTGGGTGGCTCGTCGCTGAAAAGGGCCTGACTACATGGATTCTTCGTCGTTGAATGGAAGCGCAGTGTTCTCGCATTGCCATACACGATTCGAGTTACGAGTGAGAATCTAGCAAACGAAAAGGAAAATTGAATCAGGAGGCTACACGTTTGCATCATATCGTTCTTAACTGAATTAAATCTATACAGTTTGAATAGCCCGTTGTTTACCCCTTCTTCTTTTCCAGCTTTGCCTTGAACTTTTCAAAGTCTTCCAATACCTTTTGGAGTCGCTCCACCACAAAATCTGCCCACTTTTCGAATCCTTCCAGTGTCGGATGTACACCATCGTCAATCATCTTTGGGTCAATTTGAGCTCTTCCAGTAATCTTAGATGGTACCAACATTAGCTCTCCTCCTTGTATGTAATAGAAGTTGTGGTACTTCCTGCAGAATCGTCTGAGCTTGTTATTGACACCTTTTGCCTGCTTCCAAATCTTGCCCAAGTACGTTCCCTTGACTTTTGGATTGTCCAAACGAGGCATGATTCCGTGAATGACAAAAAGAGATTCGGGTGATTTTTCACTGACGACTTTCACAACGTTCATGATACTGGCAACCACAAAATCTTCATTGCATTTGGATTCGAAGAGATCATAGTTTCCAATCATTATGAACCAAATTTTGGGTTTTAGATTGTCAATCAATCCATTCTTTATGTGCCACAGCAAGTTTGGACCCTATTTCACCATTGACACCAAAGGTTGGTAAGCGCGAATGCAAAACATACATATATTTCGAATTCGAATTCGAGAACGAGACTTACATCATCTTGCTCTGTGCCAAAAGCTTTGCCTTCCATTCTTCCTCCAGCACTCTTCGAAAAGCGCCGATCAAAAGCAGCTTTGTGACCCGTAACACCCTGTGCTCCCATTCCGGCAGTTCCACTGAATCGTTCAATGATCGAGTCACCCAAAAACACAATGTCTAGGTTTGGATCCAATCTCTTGGCAATCGATACCATGTCATCGTGATGCCGATTCCATTGTTCTGCAAGAGGACCTGTCTTTTTTTGAGCTGTGGTCGGATCGGGGCAATTACATGGTTCAGTTCCTTCTTTGTGACCTTTGTTCAGATACTGTTGGACATATAACATTAGAAGGATGAGAAAAACGTCGATTCGGAGATACGATTGATTCATTCATTGGATGTGCATAGCTTACAAAACATTTCTTGTCTCCAGTGGCAGTTGGATTGAGCATCTTGGTAAAATTTTCCCAATGGACATCTCGCTGTCGATTGAAAAAGAGAAATGTGACAATCGCCGAGGCAAGTCCAAGTGCAGCATATCTCCCAATACGTTTCCGGTCCCATGGAATGCTTTTGGCCTTCACACCGGCTCCTCCGCCTGCTGATGGATTGCCTCCATCCAAGAGGGATACTTTCAATTCATCTAAAGCTCCACCCCCTTTAGGGAGCACTCGATTTAGTGCCGGAAAGGCTGTTTTATTCTTTGGTTTGCTCTTGGCTGTGTCCTTCTTATCAACTAGGGATACCATCTCCTGCTCGGTAGGACCGGCCCCACGTCTCTTGGCTCCTCTCAAACCGATCGGCATCTTTGAGTGTTTATCGTCAATTGATTGCTTCTATAACAAGTTTTCTCTTCAAAGGGAAGGATGTTCTGAGTTTTGACACTGTTGGTTTAGGTCAAACTACTACTACGGAACTGTAAAAAGGTTGGTGATGGTTGCTCCTTCTCTTTTGGCTTCCTATTTTGGGATTGTGTCAGGGAAGTGGGTCATTTAGGTCTGTCATCGTCAGAAACGCACTTATTTAGTGTTCGCAATCTGAAATCAGAGTTCTCATGTGAAGGGTGCCATGATTACACTATCGTACACTGTTGTACCGGTACCGTACTGGTATTAATACACGAATACGACCTATTCCAAAGCAATTTAATTCAATTTAATGCAAATACAACATTTATGTATATATGTTAGTATTCCTCTAAAGTGCTGCTGCAAGCTCATGACCATCAATCTATACACCCCCGACGTCCGCATCCTAGCACAAGTTTAAAACTCTTTTCATGTTTCCTGATTAATTCTTCCTTCTGGTTTTGTTCATCCTCCTCCTAAAATGGAGAATCCGTTGTGAATTCGATAGTTCCAATCTCCTTATTGGTAGGGTGTCGGAACTTTAGGTAGTTTGCATGCGAGCAAGATGGTTCGTTGGATGATTCCTTGGCAATGGCCCATTGGAGTTCATCGCTGGCCCGTTGTGGGTTGGGTGCCAAGGATTCCAATTCCTCCGATGTCAGTCCTCCATTGGTCACACCAACTCCATTGACGCCATAGACAGTATCTCCAACAATAGGGTGTCCAAAGGCAGACATGTGGACATTCAGTTGATGGTAGCGACCCGAAATACTGGTCAACTTGACTCGGGTGACTGGTTGTCCCTTGAACTCCTCTCTCGCTACGACTTGGTATTTGGTAATACTGGCCTTTGGCAACTCCAAAATTTTCTTTCCCACAACTTCAGGATTCAAATCCACAAGTGCCCATTGATGATCATCGGTAGAGATGCGCACATAAGGTGGGTATTCATAATCTCTCATGATTGGCATGGAAATCAATCCTTCGTCCTTTTGCACATGTCCCACGACCAAGGCTTCGTATTTTCGTTCGACCTTGCGTTCCCGAAAGGCTCCATTCAATCCCCGGACAGCGTCCTTGTTCTTGGCCAACACAATCAATCCGGAAGTATCCATACCCAATCGATGAACGACCATGTGATCCGCCGATGGCAAATCGACCTTGTCGCCCAAGGCTTCAAAGACGGTCTGCGCCAAAGATGGGTTGGATTTGTCCTTGCCAGCCACCGTGAGAATGCCACTGGGCTTGTCGACTACAATGATATCCTTGTCTTCATACACAATCTTCAAATCCTGTAGTTTGAAACATGAGAAATGATGAAAAATGAAGGAGAAACAACAAGTGAGTGAGTGAGTGAGTGAGCGAATCATTATGCATGCACACAAAGCATTCATTCCTACTAAATACAACTCCAAGACGTACCTCTTTGTCTAGAAAAGCCGATGTCTTGTCCTTCATGCGCATCTTTTGCAATTGGACGTCTCGTCTGGAATTGATTTCTTCGGCTGTCAGTGGAGTCACATGATCTGGGAATTCGTATCCACATTTTTGGGCCCAGCTTTCCCATCGAATTTCAAAATCTTCCTTTTTCTCTTCTTCTACCGCCGTGTCTTCTTGGACCGTGGCAAAGATATTGGTGTTGCTTTGTCTGGTTTGTGTTCGTTGAATAATCCTACTGTTGATGGAAGGGTTCTTTGTTGGCACAAAGGCATCCACTACATTGTAGATGGAAATTAGCAAGAGCGTGGAAGCAAAAGAAAGGCGCATGGTATATTATCAGTAGCTTTTTGTAGTAGTAGTAGTAGTAGTAGTAGCAGCAGCAATAGCAAGGACGAGGGACTAGAGGGTGCGGATGGATTTCGCAGCAGCAGCACTTGCAGTGATGTGGAAGAACAAAGGGCGATGAAAATTGCCGGCAAATCAGTGATGGGTTTCTCCGTTTTTGAAAATCATGATGCATCGCTGGTTGACGTTGTTCTCCCATCAACACGGACGAAGGACGGAAACCACGATCGAATTCTTCGTTTGAACAGAAAGCAAGAGCGACGGACTGACTGACTGACGAGGAACACGATCGTCGAAAAACAAAAAAGTTGGCATCTCTTTCCAATGCCCACGTGTTCGTGACAGTTTTGAAAAACAAACCACGACAACACACACACGGGCGAAGATACCCCTTGGACCCTTGGATACAGTATATCGTGTCTTTGGGACTCTATACAATACTGAACAGGCAAATTACAGTACAGTAAGCCCAGGCACATTTCATCATGGCACCCAAACAAGAAGACATTGAAAATGGAGAACGCCTCGTTTCCCGAAAAAAGTTGTACGGCAAGAGCTCGACACTTGAGACGGTAACATCCACGGTTTCTTTGAATGGAAGTGAGGATGGCGACTTTTACGATGATGATTACAACTACTACCATGATAAAGAATGTCGTCATCACAAGGATGCCATGACAAATTCATCAGAAGCGATCTTGATTGATACCCAAAAGCCCGCTTGCTATCGCATCTGCGACCTGAAATATCGCGTCTCGACCAAACCCACCGAACCGTGGGGCCACAAACCACACCCAATGCTCGGTGCATCTTGCTTTTTATTTGCCCTTCCCATTCCATTTTTGACGACTTGTTATCCCTGTACGGCAGCCTTGTTTGGTTTGACGACACTCTCCAGTTTTTTGAGCGATTATTTATACTCGGGCTTGGATTCCTGGGCACATGTCTTTGACAAGACGGTGGCCATTTTGGTCTTTTCCTTTGCGTCAACGGTCGTATATTCGACCGCAGGATTGTGGTGGACTCTCAGTTCCAGTCTGGCACTGGCCTGTTATGTCAAGGGGATGGAAGCTGTCAAACGAAAGGATTATCATGGATTTGTCTTTTGGCATTCCATGTGGCATTTAGTGGGGGTGTCCTTGTTGGTGTTGGTCTTTGCACTACATGGAACTCGAACGGAGTGTTTGGTGGCATAAGCATAACTTCATTGTGATATCACAGTATGGTATGGTGGACAATGGGAGAAGCGCATGATAGGAACAATGATGACGGGGGGTGTCAAATGACAACTACAGTACTGAGATCATTTCTCTATTGCATGACGTCACCAATGCTGAGGTTACCACCAATACCACGGAATCGCACTCGAAAAGTTTTACAAACAACAACAACAACAACCGACACCAATGCATGTTGGGACCTCTATACGATGGAATGCATGAATGAATTATCGGGCGGCCATGCCACCGTAAAAAAAGACGACGCACCGAAATGGTGGCAGCAGCAGCAACAACAACAAAATGACAGCACACAAACGATGGAGGGCACCCAGCGCTCATGATTGACTACTATATTGACACCCTGGCCATTTCTTCAAAGGACAGACACAAGATCACAGAAAGACAAGACGAACAATGACGCAGTTTTTGGTGTGGCTAGTATGTGGATTAATAGTAGTAATGTAGTATTCAGCTTTTAATCCTCGGGTTTTGGATTAGTTTTATACAGTTTTCACTGCATTGGCAACAATGCCAACTCGTTTAATGGATGCCTTTTATTAAAATAGGTCCTAGCTAATAGGAAAGTTGTTTTCATAGATACCTATTCTCCCAGCATTCGCATCCAGTTGTATTGCATTTTCATGCATTCTTCTTTCCCACCAAACCGAAGAATGAACGAATGGCTCTATCCTTCCTCAAAATCCGATCTTCCACAGAAAAACGACCAGCTCCCATAAGTCAAAAATTACAAACCAACTTCTCCGGGTTCTTTTCACTCTAGTTCAGATTCGCCAGCGTTCGCCACGAAAGCGTTCGTTTGGAGGACACGTGCCTTGTAAAATTTGCGACACTCGTTCTCTAAATGACTCCTGTTACCAGAAATTTGAATCCAATTTTTGTCCGTTCTGTATGGTTACCTACGACCGTTCGTGCCGGACAGCCGAAACTTGCTTTAACTAAAATTATCAAACGGAAGATTGTGACTGCCGTCACTTATGGATTGCATATACGAGCGATTGACTGCTCGCTTACACGACCAATAAGGCCCAAGGACACATAAATCCCTAATTGTGACGACATTCTGTGACAATGTTGTGACACTCTCATCGCCAATGAATGGTATGTAAATAAGATGGTTGCGACGCGTTCCTGCAATTCGTTGCTCTGATCAAAATCCAAACCTCTTCCACAACCAATCAGAAGTTCGGCGGTTTCGGAATTGCAGTTTCGTGCAATCACCCGTAGGTTCCGTACTAGAGGCGTTGGATCGATGGAAAGCTTCCACGGCTTGACACCTTTCCGTAGAAACTCTACCGAGGTTCAGGGTTCGGCATCAAAAGAGGCTCCGGAAAAAAGGAGAGTGTGACTTTGGACCGGTGGTGGAAGTAATCGAACACGAAAAAACGCAGCATTGCTTGGCCTAAATTACAAATACGGTATCAACAGCATCAGCACAACAGTCACACCCAAACGCACACTTACTTGAATTCCAGTATTACTTGCGACAATGCACACTGACGACATTCCAGTCCCACAACAAGTGTGGGAAGAATCTTGCGGTAGCAGTCGATCTGTGTCAGAAGGGAGCTTGAATGCTTCCAGTGAACAACTTGCGCTCTCGGGATTTGCCTATCAACTCACTTCCATCATTGGAAGTGACGATGGAAGCATTGCGGATGAAGTTCACGTTCAAGAAGAAGCCAAGCTCCTCATGAGCTTGAGTTGCTCGTCGCCTGTCAATCACAGCACGCAGAGCAGCAGCAACGGTGGAAGTACTACTACGAACAAAACCAATGCTACGACTCCTTCCACTACCACGAACAACAGCAACAACCACTACAACACAACATCCACGGGTCGCATCACACCGTCGAGCGACACTTCGTCGTGCTATAGCAACACAAGCTCCAAACGAGACTCCTTTGGCTTTACATGCCCTTCGCTTTCCCTCGAGAACCATTCCCGAGAAGCAGATTGCAACTACCAAAGTCAACAGCCACATGATCATCAATCCACTCAAGAACCCTCCTCCTCTTCGTCTTCCTCCCAGTCTTCATTACCATCCGTTCTCCTTGGTCGCTCTTTGAAAATTGACGACAAGGATGCATTGCGGCTATCGTCCGAAGCGATGGGGAGAAACATTCTTCAATCTTACAAAAAAGCATTGGAATGGAGAATCAAATCCTGGGAACACTCGCTCTCCAAGATTCTAGTAAGGAAGGAACGGGACCTTGCTGCTACTCTTGATGAAGCAGCAATGCAAGCGCTACTAACATCGGGGGAAGCCAACTTATTGCTGGCACTTCAAGTGATGGAAACCAAGTTGAGAGTGATTGATGCTACTACCTCCTTCAAGGTTCTACCACAACGCCTCAACAAAGAACATTTCAATTCTGATAACAATTCGGATCAACAACACCCAAGCAAAAAGCAGCGCATTGATGTTAATAGTGCTGCTGCTTCTGCTGGTTTGGAAGAAACCGAGTACGAATATCAAGTGGCTCATGCCATGACTTTGGAAGGCTGTTTGAACATTCATACTCCCGCTGGCTACTGCAAGATTGAATTGGAAGTCCCAGGAAGCATGACCGGGACCTTTCTCAGTCATGGTGAGGGAGAAGAGCTGACGGATGTCAGCATGGATGTCAACACTGACATTCTAGCAGCCATGATTGAAAAGAGTAGCCGGAAGGTAATAAGAGCAGCAGCGGAAGCCTTGCTCAAGGGTGAAGTGGCTGAGGAGGAAGAGCCCAAGAAGGAAGAACAAGTTGCTACTGAAGTTACTGAAGCTGAAGCTGATACAGCCAAGGCGATATGTTCACAAGAAGATGGTGCGATGGACCTTCACGAAGAGGAGGTTGTTTCCACCACCCAACCAGAACCCACTACTTCCACTCCCAAACGCAAGCACTCGGAGGAACACATGTCTCGCATGGTAGTCATCACTCCAGCAGGTCGTAATTCCTCTTCCTCTCCTTCTTCCTTTGGAGACAGTGATTACGAGGACAAACCAGTCTTGTTTTCCTTGCCCGATAGCTTTCCATCTTCGGATGAGGCGGATGGGGACAACTCACCATCCAAACCAAGTTTGCGCATGCTGACTCCCAAACCATCACGGGCCAGCAACAAAAAGGCAAAGAGATCAAAACTATCACTCCCTACCGTGGTGACACCGCACAAGACGCAGCATTCAGAAGCGATAACGTCTGGAACGGGTCCAACCTTACCACTGCTAGTCGAAGTGGCGTGCGCCATGGTCAAGAAATAGTTGATTGCAACAAACAACAACAACCAAAAACGTAGGAGACGTTCATTGTGAAAAAAGTATAAAATATTGGTGGAAAAGAAAAAGAGGATGAATTGCAATATTATTTGGTTCCAGTCTTTCCTACATTCCAGAAGCAAATCATCCTATTCCAACCAAACCAAAGAAAAAGACTACGAATCCTATCTGCATTCTTAGTAGTAGGTAGGTCGTATGTAAACTGTTAAGCTAGTAAATCCTTGTCGCGTCGAGTAACACAACAAATCCTATCATCTACTGTATTGTAGCAATCGTATTTTGATTCATTCTTGGAAAGGGTAAAAAAAGAGTGTTTGGTGTACTAGTATGGTACCGTACTCTTGGGTCTTGGGGCTCTTGTGACTATGTAGTGTATTTGATCGGAATTCCTGTTATAAAAATGCGAAGGGAATCCTTACGGACAAGCTCTTTTGCGCGAAAAAAGGAGCTAATGTTCGGTGTATATTTTCTTATATTCCCGGATCTTGCGGCCAACGACATGATTCATTCCAGCATTTGAATCTATTACATAGAATTGTTTGAAGATCTCCTCCTCTTTCTTTGAGCAGGTTTCGAACCATTGTCTGAATCTAGTGATTGTCCTTGATGTTGTCGTAATAATATTGGTTTACTACCGCACAGTACTTAGTCCTACCGGGTACACGTGGATCTTCCAAAATTGTTCAACCCCAGTGTTTTAACGGTACGTCCGCCACTCGTCAGACCCTATTATGGCGGAAGACCCAGGTTCTAAAATCACCCACAGACCTAAAATAAAAATTTTCTCCATACAAAAGTCTTAGCTTAGGTCCTTATCTTACATCCTATTGGGTGGGGTCATCATGATTGTGCTCTAGACATTCACTGCAGTCAAGAAGGTAATTGATGCTTTGGACAGCAATTCAGATCATTGGTTGTTTTGGTGCCTTATGAGTACAGTGTGACCTGAAATCACTCATGGGCAATCTGAGTTCCGATTAGTAGCTGGATTGTAGCATTCTTTCATGAATTTCAGGCACATTTTGTAAGTTGTAAATTTTCAATTTCAGTCCACAACAGTCCTAGTGGCAACTTTTAGAGCTACAGTGCCTTCCCTAAGCATAATGATGACAGCCCCACCCAATAGGATACAAGATATGGACCTAAGCTAAGACTTTTGTATGGAGAAAAATTTTATTTTAGGTCTGTGGGTGATTTTAGAAGATGGTCTCCCGCCAAAATAGTATGAAATGGGCTACTTGAGCGGCGGACGGACCGTTAAAAATGTTGGATTGATTGCAATTGATTGATTCATTCGATTCGGTAAATGTGTCTGTCCGTTGCACACTCTTGATTTTATACAAATTAATTCGAATGAGTCAATCACAGATCCTGACTCAGAACATGTGACCCAATCGTTTGGAGAACGTGCCAAACGGGCCTGCCTCCAACACCCAATCAGAACTCCGCACGGCTGTCGCACGAAATTGCGCGACGATCCATCCACCCGAAGAAACCCACCCGAACGCAGATTCCCCATCACCTCATACACATTTTCATCGCTACAGACAATGACTTCATTTAAAGATTTGGTGCGTATCCCTAATGATGAAAAGAAGCGAAGGAACTGCAGTTCTTTAGTTGAAACAAATGACGTTCGAAACCTCCAATTTCATTATTTCGTTGCAGCAATTTTAGCTTGATTCGACAGTATCTAACAATGCTTCCGTCTTCTGCCGTTCCAATTTACAGGAATTCAAGGGACTCGTCGACCTTAAGGACCACGACCCTGAACTTTTCGACTTGATTGAACAGGAAAAGTCTCGTCAATGGCGTTCGTTGGAATTGATTGCCTCTGAGAACTTTACTTCCAAGGCCGTTATCGACTGTTTGGGATCGGCCTTGACCAACAAATATGCGGAAGGTCTTCCACATGCTCGTTACTACGGGGGAAATGAAGTTGTCGATCAAGTGGAAGAACTCTGCCAAAAGCGTGCTTTGGAGGCATATGGATTGGACCCTGAAAAGTGGGGCGTCAACGTCCAACCATACTCTGGATCTCCAGCCAACTTTGCCGTGTACACTGCCTTGTTGCGACCACACGACCGTATCATGGGATTGGATTTGCCCAGTGGTGGTCACTTGACTCACGGATTCTACACCTACTCCAAGAAGGAGGGAACCCGTAAGGCCGTCTCTGCCACTTCTGTCTACTTTGAATCCCTTCCATACCGTGTCGACCCCGAAACTGGATTGGTCGATTACAAACAATTGGATCGTGATGCCGGACTCTTCAAGCCAGCTCTTATCATTGCTGGTGGATCTGCATACCCACGTGACTGGGACTATGCCAAATTCCGTGAAATTGCCGATGCCAACGGTGCCTTGTTGATGATGGATATGGCTCACATTTCTGGATTGGTCGCCACTGGCGAACAAGCCTCTCCCTTTGATGTCTGCGATGTTGTCACCACCACCACTCACAAGTCCCTTCGTGGACCCCGTGCTGGTATGATCTTCTTCCGCAAGGACGAACGTGGATTCGAGGGAAGAATCAACCAGGCCGTCTTCCCTGCGCTTCAGGGAGGACCACACGAGCACCAAATTGCCGGTGTTGCCACCCAACTCTTGGAAGTCATGACTCCCGAGTTCAAGATCTACTCCCAACAGGTCAAGAAGAACGCCGCCGCACTTGCAGCCAAACTTACTTCTTTGGGATACACCATCGCCTCTGGCGGTACCGAAAACCACTTGGTTTTGTGGGATCTCAAGCCCCAAAAGATCACTGGATCCAAATTCGAAAAGGCCTGCGACGCCGTCTGCATTACTTTGAACAAGAACTGCGTCCCTGGTGACAGATCTGCTGTTACCCCAGGAGGTGTCCGTATCGGTGCCCCCGCTTTGACCACCCGTAAGATGGTCGAATCCGACTTTGAACAAGTTGCCACATTCTTGCATGAAGTTTTGGTGGTTGCCTTGAAGCTTCAAGAAAAGTCGGGACCCAAATTGAAGGACTTCGTGGCCCTTCTTGATGGAAATGCTGAACTCAAGTCCATCCGTGAGAGAGTGAACAAATTCGTAACCGCTTTCCCTATGCCTGGATTTGACCCCAAGGAAATGAAATACCAAGATCCAATGGGACCTCCTCATTAAAATTCCAGCTAATTCAAACTGATAAACTAAATAAATCTGTACATGTGGAAATTATATCTGATCTGATTGATCTGACTTTTCAAAGTTGTTTGGCTTTATCGAGTGGCTCTGACTTTGGAGCTTCGGCGATTTCAGTGTCATCACTACTGGCTTCTTTCCTTTTTGTCAAGTCGATGACGTAGTCCATCACATCGGTGTTGCCCCAATAGCTGCCGTGCGCTGTTACTGCCGACAAGTATTCGTTGTCGATCAGGTTTGGTTGAAGCTGAAAGTCTAACCGTCGTTGCTTTCCAGCCAGCGGAAAGGTCCATGGATCATCCGACTCCACTTCCCCTTCCTTTTTGGCTCGCTTGGCCTCACCACCATTCCGATCATCCATTTGCTTTAAAAGGATCGAAGCCTGATCTCGAAGTCCCGCCATGAAGATATCCATCGATTTCTTTGTGCTGTCTACACTTCTGCGAATGTCGTCACCAAGCTGCTTTGCCTTGACGTGGAGCCGAACGCCTTGCCCTTGGGCAGTCAGGTATACGGGCGGTGGTATTTCTGATGTGCCTCTTGGCAGCAGAAGCGGCTCTGTTCAATTTCGAATTAAACAAAACAAAAAATGGTGAGGGATGGTATTCATAGTCTCTACAAGCGCTGCGTACTATCGCTACATACCTATCCGATACGCCACGACATCACTCGGCGAAAATACATTGTGAACAGAATTACATGGCAATGTAAAAGGGGATATCTCGGTGTTTTCACCTGATGCTTCTCGCAATTCGTCAAACACGGGATGGGCTCCTCGAAGTGTCAGAAACTGTCCCAGAGGTGATCCCAAGAAGAGAGCAAAGTCTGGCTCGAAGGGAAGACGTCGATCAAGTGCTTTTGGCAGAGACGGTCCCCAACTCCCGTAGCTCGCACGATTCTTAACTTCTGTGCTTGCATATTTTTGATATCCTACATCGGATGAGAATCCATCCTTGGAAATATGAACACCGTGCTCATTTTTCTTCGCAGTCTGTTCCTCTTTGAGAATGGACAAGAGATCCCAGCAAATAACAGAACCAAGAGAGTGACCAATTAATGAACAATTTCCTCCCTGTGTGACAAATTCGGGATTGTTCTTCTTGAACATGTCATAGGTAGCTATGATCTGATCCGTAACACACTCTAGAACATCGTAGCAAAAGTTCGGAGTGAGGTACATCAGAATATCGAATACAACCTGGTTGAATAAGCAAGATTGTGAAGGGTGATAATCAATTGCAAATGTTGAGATTGGCACGCGTCATCGCAGTCCATTAGAATACATTCAGCTTTACACTCGCACTTACGTCATTGGCAATGTCTCTTAATGCTGGGATCGTAGTCAATGTGGTTGCTTGCAATGACTGCATGAGCTCGTTAGAGGATGAATGGATGCGATCGTACCAAATGATAGGCACCACTTCGACTCGGTTCGGAGGAGGTGGTTTCGGCATCCTATGGATTTGTGGATTGGATAAACATGAGTTATATAGGCATAAAAGCAACGCAATTCAACCAATGTCAGCAGTGTTGTTCGCCTTACCCTTTCTTCTTGGCAGTTTCACAAGCCTTCTTCCAAGCTTCAATTTGTCGCCTTTGAATTTGTATTCGGAACCTCGTCATTTCATCCTTCATCGACAACACAAATTTCATGTCATCCTTTGCAAAGAGGGCCTCACCAATACCATGAACTACAAACACAACATGATTCACTGGACCTAGTTCGTCTTCATCGTCCTCTCCTTCAAGTGAATAGGCCCCGTAACCACGTTGCAAGTAATATGACTTTGCAAACCAACCGATTGGCACCTTTCTCATCATATATTGTCCACTCTGCTGTACCAGCTCGACTCTGTACTTTCCATCAGTGAATGGGAGTTGAGTATCGATCGATTTGATTCCCTTTCCATAGGAAGAAGCCGCGTACACTGCATTTTGGTAGAGTTGCTCAACCACCATGGCATCTCCTTCTTCCATTGGTATCAGAACCGTCTTCTTACTGTCATTTTCATCTTCTGTTTTCATGAACCATGTCGCCGACGTAAGAAACATTTCTGCTCTAATGTAATTGTACCGTATCTTTCCCCATGTTGGATCTGCCGTTGCTCTTCCATTCTCGATCACGACTGGATGCTCTAAAAAGTGAAACAAGACATTTGAGCACAAGATATGGCAGATTGAAGATTCGAACGGCCTCCTGGGAAGAAGAAAAATCCAACAAAGATGATCCTACCTGGGTCCTTATTGAGTGCTTTGCAATCCACATGTCGCAGTGGCTGCCATTCATCTGCTTCTTTTTCGCGGCACAGCCTGTTGGATCATCAATCGGACACGAATGAACGAAATAAAAATGGTAAGGACACCCCTACTTGGAACATCAATTGTACCTCCTACTGCTTACCATATTCGCGTTGGTACAGCATCGATATCTTCTATTCCGGACCAGTTCACCATGAGAGAGATGCGTGTTTGAGAAATGAATGCACAATGCACCTGCCTCGAATAACATACAGTATATTTCAGTCTTGCTGATTGACCCGTTTGATTCGAAGCCGCATAAATTCAAACCAAGTTGGTTTTGGTAAAGTACCAGGTACAGTACCGGTAGGTAGACAAATAGCATAATATATACAACAAATAGCATACAAATAGTACTTAATTTTTAACAAGTTATGAATCATGAGATCACCAATGATCCTGTTCTCTCAGGCCACCAGAAACAAACATTTTTCTCAGATTACAAGAACAAGCGCAAAAGGAAGAAGAATCACACATAGACTTTTGAGCATCGAAGCCGCTGCCGATGCTGCAGTACCTCTATCACCATCCGCCGCCGGTTGTTCAGTGGCAGTAGGAGGCCGTGTCTTTTTGGCGATTGTAGGTTCTTCAGTTTCTGTGGGGTCGGAGAAAGGTGCATCTGTTGTTGGCATCATTGTTGGTTGATCGACCGGAGAACTTGGGGATGGTGCAATGGAAGGTATGTCCGTAATGGCTACTGGGGAAAGCGAGGGGGTTCCTGAGGGAGATTCCGAAGGAGCCGCGGATGGCGGTGGCTCTAAGACAAGAACGCCAATGATCATTCCAACGTTGCAGAAGTTCCAGTAGTCAGTGGCAAACGTGACAACTGTGTCAATTTGATCCTCGGTGAAAGTGTACGCAGCATTTCCTTCACCAGGTGCACCGACAAGTTCCGAACCAGTAGTATCACCACATGTTCCTGATGGAACACGGAGGACGTTAATATTGGTTCCTGGGTATTGGAATCGGATGGTACCTCTTGCATAAACCGATATCTGATCAAAGGGCTCCGAGTTGTCAGGAAGGGACCAATCGACCACAGCTTCTTCAACAACCAAATTAGCAAGTGCCGTTGGTAGGTTGGTTGGAACAGGTTCGGTCGGGGAAGGCGTAGGAAAAACAGTGGGGGCTTCTGAAATAGCGGCAGATGGCGAAAGAGATGGGGCTGACGATGGTGGCGGCTCAAGCACAAGGACATTGATGATCAATCCAAGGGAACAAAAGTTCCAGTAGTCAGTGGAAAATGTGACAACTGAATCTATTTGACTGTCATCAAAGGTATACGTCGCAGATCCCACACCAGCTACGCCAATGAGCTCGGATCCGTTTCCATCACAGGAACCAGAAGGATTCCGCATAACGTTGATGGAAGTGCCCGGGTACTCAAACCTGAGTGTTTCTCCGGCAAACATGGTTATCTGTCCCAAAGGTTGCAGATCACTAGGCAAGGACCAATCGAGCGCAGTTTCGTCTCCAACAGTGATGGTATCGAGAAGTGGAGGGTCGTCAGCCCGATCAACCTGGCTGGGGGCGACTGAAGTAGATACTGCCGGAACCAGTGTTGTTGGAGCCCCTGAAGCAACTGAAGGAACCGATGGTGCCGTTGGGGAATCTGAAGCAGCCAATGCTGTTGGAACGACCGAAGCCGGCTCCGCTGGGACAAAGGCGCCAGTAGGCACCAGAGATGGGGCGTCCGAAGGTACTTCAGATGGCAGTGGCGCCAAGACAAGAACGTTGATGATCATTCCAAAGCCGCAGAAATTCCAGTAATCGGCAGCAAACGTGACTACTGTATCAATTTGATCCTCAGTGAAAGTGTATGAGGCAGTTCCTTCACCTGCTGCACCGATCAGTTCTGAATCGGTACTGTCACACGAACCACCAGTTCGTACAACGTTGATGTTCTCTCCAGGGTATTCAAATTGGATCGAATCTCCAGCGAAGACGGATATCTGTTCATAGGGTTGCAGATCGTTAGGTAGCGACCATTGGACCACTGTCGTCGCTCCCAAAGATAGGTCGAGGAGACTGCTGAGGAAGTGAAACAAGAGAACGGATCTAAGCATTGCGAAAAATGGTACCAGGCACCATACAAGGACGTTTTCAGTTTGGATCTTGGTTTGAGGCGACAAGTCTCCCAAAATCGCAAGCCGGAAGCTCCAATGCCATCACAACGGCACTTCAACACACGTGTCCGATATTCAATATCAGACGGGCTGTGCAAGACAATATGGGGGAGGGGTATATGGACCAGTATGAGGGGAGAAGAATTCATGTTTCTCCAAAAGGGAGACCTCTTACTCGCGATTGTGGACCTCGCGATGACATGTTTCTTATCGAATCTTGCCACAAGAACATAAAAATTTGCATCCCGACCCATCAGTTTGTTCGGGACGCAGTGAAAAACGCATAACAATTCGAACACAAAGTGGAAGCGACCACCCAACCCTATCCATCAAACCAATGTACCCGAGAGAAGCAGAAAATGAGATAATAATCGAAACTGGCATTCGCTACCTGAGTTTGGACGACGAAATCACGATAGCATCCAACAGCACTGTATCGTCTTCTGATGATAGCTGCAGCAGCTCTGAATCTTTGTACGAGCTTGGAATCAGCCGCCTGCTTGCATTTCACCGATCAGGTCGTCGTCATTCAACCGACAGTAAAACGATATTTGACCCTGATTGTTCCGAGATTACTGAACAAGAATATAGCACGGAAGAATCTTGTTGCGACACGGACGATGACCTCGATATTCCAAGAACGCTTGTCACGGAAGAAGCGGACCCATCGGATGCTGAAATTTCTTCAAGAAGCACACGGAGAAAGCTACAAGTAGTAGGAGTTTGTGTTGCAGGGGTATGCGTTGCTATTCCCAGTTTGTTGTTACTGTTAGACCCGCAACAAGCTGACCGATCAAAACGGCGTTGAACGCATTGGTTCGTAAAGTGACTAATTTGGCTTTTCAAGTCACACACGAGGCAAACTGTAAATTAAGTCTACTGTAATTCTAGTGCTCTATTCTTACTTCAATTCAGCTTGTAACTTCACAGTGGGAAGCGTCAAACAAAGGCATCGTACCTAGATTGATTCGATACTAGGTTATTCAACTTGTCGAAGGCACTGACTGAGTGAGCTGTTCAAGATAGCTCACTACCTAAAAGCACAGCGTATGGTCATCTACTATAGTAGCTAGCGAAGTAGAAAGACGCGGTAGAACTAGGACAACAGGGTGGTGGTTTCAGACGCACAACCTGTAATCGTGCATTGGAATGATGGCGGGTCTCATTCTTTGAAGTTTTTCAATACTAGTCATGTTCGTTCCAGACGAATGGGAAACAAGCAACCATACTGTAGCTCTGATTCATTTGTTTGCTTTCCGGTGGTACTAAAGTGCATCGCCACAGCATATGGTTTGAATTGGTGAATCTAGCAGCTCCATTATTCAAAAAGGTAGATTCATGTGACGTTGGATTGATTCATTAAGATTCTCAATCCTGCATTTAAACAAACAAACGGGTCGCTTTCGAATCCAAGTGACGAATATTGTTTCACTACATGTTGATTCAACAGTGATTCAACATCCAAACAACGAGATTCCCATCAAATTGCAACAGCAAGACCAACCACCATCAATACTGTGGCAAAACTACTCAATGCCAAGCCAAGCGCACCAGATTTCTCCGCGCAGCATGTTGCCTTGACTGAATCAGTAACAAATACTGAACACGCCGCTTCGTTCTTGAGATGTTTGACATAATCGACACCTGCGGAACACGTAATCTGGCCATTCGTATCGGGAACTATGGCATCCATGTTAACGTCTTGATTGTCACCACAAACACTGCAAAGATTGGGGGCGACTGCACCTTCGCACTCACAAAATGAAGGCATGTTCAAGTTGAGATTTGCGGCTCCTTTGGCTGCGTCGCACACTGTTCCGGAAGGGAGAGCTGCTAGAGAGGTATCAAAAGAAGCACAGATTTTCTCACCACCTGTAAATCAATGACGAGTCAATCATCGCATTAGTTAGATGAATATTCTCAATTCAAATTTCACAATCCTAAACCATATTCAATATTCCTCACTCACGCCACGTTTTTTCTTCGTTAAAGGTCACGTCACCGTCACAGACAAAACAAGTTTGCGTGGTTGCCCCGGAATCTCCACCTGTAGATCCATCTGCTGGACAACAGGTTTTTTCGATTTCCGGGAGACCTAAACATTGCTCAGCGCTCACCTGACCAAGGTTGATGCCAGTTCTTTGGCACAAATTAAAAGAGGAATGGCGAATGAGCATTAATTTTCTTGTTTTAATACCTAGCCACAAACGAAAGTTTAACATCGAGTCCTTTGGACTTACTGAATAAGAGCACAGGGAGCTTGGGTTCCACCAGGAGATGTGATGATGGTGGTAGGATTCGTGACACCACCGCCGCAAAAATTATAGTCACATTGCGCCTCAATAGGATTGGTGGCTACCAATGCCAAAGCTATGGAGAGAAGCAACTTCATGGTTTTGTTGTTATGCTGGCCGTGACATTGGATCTTGGTGCCGGTAATTGCCGCACTCTGTACCGGTACTCATCGTAGTTGCTGTTTTCTGTGCAGCATTTGTGAGTGCCTTTTAGTCGGATAGGTCATCCAAGTCAGCATTCATTCGTTCTTTTAAAAAAACGAACTCTACCCTAGCTACCGGTACAGGTAGATACCCGCGGGTTGATGAGTATATGGCGGGTCTGAGCGTCTGTAACAAAGAACTAATGATACTGAGCTGATGCTCTTTGCTTTGCTCGAATCATCGTCTTCTGCAGCAAACGAGTCCTAAAGAACACAATACTGAGTTCTAATTATCGTATTGTACATGCTACTGTATACTTTATCCTAACACAAGACTACGCCACCTCAAATGGCAAACTCAAACAACGCAAGCCCGACACCAAATACCATAGCAAACTTATCCAAAGATAAGCTGATTCCACCGGACGCCCCAATTCCATCGTATACCTTATCGATGCAACATGTTTTCCTAACTTGATCGGTTTCAACTGACGCACAATTGGTCTTGTTCGCAATACTTCTAGCGAAATCGAACGCTGCACCACACGATACCCGAGGATCTTCCGCATCGGGGTTGTCGAAAAGGATCGCATTCATGTTGACCTCTTGGTTTTCATCGCAGGGCTTGCAAATGTCTGGAGGGGCGACATTTTCGCATTCGCAATATGACATTATGTCAAAGTCGGGGTCGAAGAACTCAGATTTGGCACTGTCACAAGTTGCAGTCGAATTGAGATATGACAATTGGTTATCAATCACGCCACAAGCTGGCGTCGGGTCACCCAAAATCAGTGGCCATCTTTTGGTTTCATTAAAAGTCATATCACTGCCACACAAAAAACAGTTCTGCGCTGTTTGTTTCGTTGGGCAACAAATGATTTCGGCTGCTGGAAGATCTGCACATTCTTCTTCCGAAAGTGCATCAGCATTATTGAAAATACTTCATAGAAATGAAAGAAAGCAAACATCGATAAGTAAGGCAACGAGTCTTGGCAACGAAATTAGCGGTGCTCTGCAGTTCACGTACACAATTGATGAGCAGGGCGCTTCACCTTCGGTAACTGTCACAGTTCCGATTGGGTTTGTGATCCCGTTCGGGCAAAAATCATAATCGCAAGGCACTGCAGATGCTGGATTCGTAGCTACGAAAGCAACGGCGAGAAAGAGAAGCAATTTTGCAAACATTGCAAGAGTTTTGCTCTGAAAGATCGCGGTGTGACAGAAATAATAATGATGAGTGGCAAAACAACAATGACAACGAGCAAAGGAACTACATTAGTGTCGTACAGTTTGAAAAAAGCCATGGCCAATACACAATACGCACGGTACGAACCTACAATTTCAAAATACCCTGGACGAACATTTTTTTTAAAGTTCTAGTCATGCCATACCGGAAGACCTTAAACTCATGCTCTACAGTAACTACCACTTCGCTGGTTCGGTTTGTGAAACATTTTGTCACCAAAGTATGCAGCAGATCCTTTTTTTATTAAAAAAAAAGAGCTAGCACTGGCGACAACAACATGTATCTTCTCAGATGGCACACATAACTCCAAGAAACAAGGCGGCAACAAGAGTCTTCATAGACAGGCTGATTCCACTGCTGAAGGCCTCGACCACGCAGCATGCAGCCTTGGATTCATTAGTTTCAATGCGGTCGCAAACTGTCTGGTTGGCAACATGCCTGGCATATTCGAAACCCTCAATGCATGTTAGACCATCCCCATCGGGAACAAGTGCTCTCGTTTTCGTGTTGACAATTTGATTGTCATCGCAGACCTTGCAAAGATCCGGTGCAGGAACATCTGAACATTCGCAATACGAGGCAAGGTTGAAAGATTGGTCGAACTCTGCTTTCCCTGCGGTACAGTTTGCCTCAATTTCGGCATAAGAGAACAATGCATCGATGATACCACAGACTGGCACCTCACTATCAGGCAACGCCTTGTTTGCATTGAAGATGGCTTCTGCGGAATTACAGAGAAAACATGTTGCCGGATATTGTTTTGTTGGACAACAGTTGACTCCTGCCAAAATGGTTAGACCAGCGCATTCCTGGGTAGTAAGATTTGGGGTGGCAATGATTGAACTCCAAGAGGCGCTAACATACAGTAATAGGACAAAATTGGTAAGCAAGACATTGCAAAGTTTCAAAACGATTTGGTGTTTCTTAAGATACCTCAATTCCGAACAAGTGAATATGGTACCGTCAAGATCCACTTCTCCGCCTTCCAATGTGATCCCACCGGGGCAAAATTCGGTGGTGCACTGTGCCTGAGCAGGGTCCACAGCTACGAAAACAAGAGCAAGAGAAAGGAGCAGTTTCATGATTCTTTGATGATGATTGATTTTGTGGGCAAAACGCTGTTGTGCCGCGTGGTTCATTTCGAATTTATGGGTGTCTGGGAGTTGTGAGCAGTTTGTGTCCAATGCATGGGACACGTCCTGACTGATATTATATCATAACGGCGCAACTAGCATGTATAAAATAAAACAAAGCAAAGCGAAATCACAAATCCCACAAATAAAATTTTCAAAATAATTTTTTGAAAACCAACATGGCCCCCCTTTTAAAAAAAATGATGTCCCCCTAAAAGAATCGAATTATCCTTGTTACTAACAAGAGTATACTCGTAAATCGTACGTACAGTATTCATGGTCCTGGGTAATTGGTCACTGTACAAGTTGGAGGAGCACCGTGCATTTTTCATATTTCTTTTGTTTCCTGGGTGTTCATTATACTTCCTGTAGGTACAGTGCTGTATAGATCCACAAACATACTTTTGAATTAGTGAATGATTCTTCCTTCCCCTTCAACCTAAAATGCCTGAATCAGGAGCCCAAGAAGAGCGACGTAATTTATAAAAGCAAACAAACCAATCTTTTACTTTTAACTACCATATTGTGAGCTCCCTTTTCAAACATATCAAACACCATTGAGTGAAGGCAAGGGTAACAAGCAAGGCGGAATGGTCATTCCGCTGGATTCCGTGGTAACATACAGAGCAGCACAGCATATTGAAGTCACTTCAGGAGTGACAAACCCACCATAGAGGGAAGCTTCGGGAAAATGCGTGATCGTCCGCGAGGGAAATATCACAAAACTCTATACTAGAGTCCATCAAGTTACTGAGTTGGTTGCAGACCGATTCGCCGATCCATGTCTTGTCATGTGCATATGGTACCAGGTACATCCTCGCAAATATCAACACAAAGCATTTTCTCAAATGGCAAACATCACACTAAGAAGCAAGCAGGCAGCAAGACTTTTAGTTGACAAGCTGATTCCACTGGAGACCATGTCGATGCAGCACGCAGCCTTGTTTTCAGAAGTTTCAATTTCGTCGCAAGCTGCCTGGTTCGTAACGTGCCTGGCATATTCGAAACCCTCTACACATGTCAGGCCATCTTCACCGGGAATAAGTGCTGTCGTGTTGATATCCTGATTATCATCGCATGGCTTGCAAAGTTCCGGTGCAGGAACATCTGAACATTCGCAATACGAGACAAGGTTGAAAGATTGGTCGAACTCAGACTTCCCTGAAGAACAACTTGACTCAGTGGGGGAGTAAGATAATAATGCATCGACGATACCACAGGACCGAGTTTCCCCTCCAGGCAAAATCTTGTCTGCATCGAAGGTGGCTTCAGCGGAACCACAGAGGAAACAACTTGCTGGATCTTGTCGTGTTGGACAGCAGTTTACCCCTGCCAAAATGGTCAGACCAACGCATTCCTCAGCAGAAACACCAGCGTTCAGAATGGTGCTCCAAGTAGCGCTGTGATGCAGCAGTAAGACGAAATCGGTAAGCAAAACAATTCCATTAAAACAATCAAACTAGATAAGTTGGTGTTCCACACACCTGAACTCTGAACAAGTGAGTACGGTACCATCAAGATCCACTTCTCCGCCTTCCAATGTGATCCCACTAGGGCAAAATTCCGTCGTGCACTGTGCCCGAACAGGGTTCACAGTTACGGAAGCAAGAGCAAGAGAGAGGAGCAGTTTCATGATTCTTTGATGATGATGATTGATTTGGTGGTCAAAACGCTGTTGTGGAAATTTGGGATGCAATAATTTTAAATTGATGGGTGTCTGTTGTCTGTCCCATTCCGAACGACCAGTGTCCGATGCATCCAGGACCGAATATCCTTGGTGCTATGGTCGGATAATGTAATTATCTTGCAGAACCGCCCTGACCACACTTGGGGAGTGCTTCTGCACACAGTGGTATTGCGATTAAATCGAAAAGATCCACCAAAGCACTTCGAAGCGATTGATTCTTGCTCTCTAGAAACTATATTATATAAATCAAACGTAGATAATAACCAAAATTTAAGTTGTATTATAACTGCCACAACGTAAAACCCACTTCACAAACAATTTACTACACATAAGTTAACTTGAAAAGGTAAGGGCAACTAGAAGGGCGGAAGCGAAACCGCTTATGGTCACACTCATTCCGCCGCTGGATTCCACGGCGCCTTCCGGATCAACACAGCAAGCAGAAACCACTTCAGGAGTGGCAAAATTCCCGCAAAGGGAAGCATCGAGGATATGCGTTACATAGCTAGCACCTTCACCGCAGGTGACACCACCATCAAAGCCTGGAACTGCCCTGCTAGACATGATCTCTTGTCCGGCAGGGCAGAGCGTACAGAAATCGGGAGCAACAGCACCTTCACATTCACAGAACGACTGAAAGTTCAATTGGTCGTCAGTGAGGAGACTATCACAAAACTCTCCACTAGAGAGACCATCCACCAAGTTACTCAGTTGGTTACAGACTGATTCGCCGATCCATGTCTTGTCATTCGCATATGGAACATCGCTTCCGCACAAGAAGCAGCCTCCTGCTGTTTCTTCTTCGGTTGGAGGTTCTGTGGCAACTGGAGCTTCTGTTGAGTTAGGTACCATTGTGATGTTCGGTGGCATTGTTACATTCGCTGATGGACAACAGATGGATTGCAGTGCAAGAATATCACTACATTCTTCAGCATCAAGTACTCCAGCTGAAAGCCCAACACTAAAGAAATAGAGGGTGAGACTCCCAAAAACTTAAAACATACTGCAACAGTTTTGTGGCTGACGTTTTTAAATACGTACACTACGAAAGAGCATGGACCTTGATCTTCAGGTGGGTCTTCGGGGTTGATAATCAAGTTTGGATCTGGGATTCCATCTGGACAGAATTCAATGGTTGTGTTGCCACAGGGAAAAGGACCATCCGGTGGACAGCAGATGAGTTCAATTTGTGGCAGATTAGTACATTGCTCATCTGTAAGGAGACCAGCCGAAATTCCAAGCGGAAGTGAATCGCAAGAAACATCACCGAGGGTTGCATCATTGAAAGCAACCGCTGTCGGATATTGAATGTTACCAGCACAGAAGTCATAGTCGCATTGTGCTGCAGCAGGATTGGCAGCTACCAAAGTTAGGGCAAGAGAGAGAAGCAACTTCATCTTGGTTTTGATTGTGGTGGTTGAATTTATGGATTTTAAGATTTTTGGGTTTTGCAATTCGGACAATAACACTTTTCTTTTAATTGGCACGATTACGATCAACCGAGAAGTGCATACGTCACAAAGCGCCGTTCCCGACGAAGCAAGGCGATACTGTATGTGTAAAGAAAGTTCGACCTCACTCTTTCATCTTGGTTCGACGTGGGTGATCGCGCGTGAAGACTATTGTATTGGCGCCTTCAGCAGTACCTCTGTACCAGGTACCAGACGTAAAACATTACCGTAAGATGCTGTACACACCTTACCGAGGAAGTGATGCTGAGCCATCTGCTGGCTCGACTAGACCCGATCGACTATTACTCACTCCATTCAACGTTCTATCCCCCCCCCCCCCAGTGCCATGTGGATGGTTTGGGAAAACAAGGGGACTAGGAATGCTTGGAAATTAAGATATTTCAAAAATAGTAGTACTCCTGAAGCTAGGAGTATCTCCTACTAGTAGCTTGCTTTGGAACTAATACTATCTGCGCTTGTAGATACAAGGTTTGGCAGAAAATTCCAACTTTTTGTTGGGTGCCTTGCCATTCTTTTTCAGTTCCAAAAAGAGAAACATTTTGTTGGATCGATCCGTCTTGGCAGATTCAAATCCAAGTTGGGATAGAACTTGAACAAACTCATCCAGAGTCCCAGTCAGACTACTGTCATTATCATCCTTGTTGTTGTTGCTGTCTCCGCCCTTTTTGTTATTGCTACTACGACCATGACTGTATTCAATCCTTGATCGGACTTCGGCAATCTGTACTCGGCCATTGTCTTTCAATACACGGTGGGCTTCCCGAATAAAGTCAGCCAAATTGGTCCCCATGAGGGCCAAACAAAAGACTACCACATCGACCGATTTGTCTTTCAAAGGAACATTGGCCATGTCACAGGCAGTGACTAATTCTGGATTATTGTGCGAGACCAAATCAAAGGAATGAATTTGAAAGGCATCTGGATGCCGCTTCATCAAATCTTTAGCCAATTGGGCATCGCCACATCCAAAATCGGCCACTGCGACTTGGCTCTTCTTGTTCCGATGTTGATTTTCGATTTGACTGCTGTATCGATTGACAATCCACCGGACAATTACATCGACCGGATTGACTGGCCAACTAGCAACTTGATGCCGAAACCCCTCGTGGTATTGTTCAAAGAGTTCTGGGTTTTGTGAAAAGCGAGCAAAGGAATCCTTGGAATCTTTGGTGTAGAGTTCTTCATTAAGAATCCGAAATCGAGACCCACTCAACCGTGCCTTGAAGGCATTTTGCAATTTGGATCCAGTGCTCGTGGGAGTAGAAGATTCGGTCGCGGCATCAGTACCAAGCTCTTGTTTGGAAGCGGGGGACTTTGACGAATAATCCACTTGATCCTGTTTTTGTTGCTTCCTATTTTGTTTGGCCTTCAAGCCCCTCAGTCGTTTCTTTTTACTTTTGCTCCATTTCTGTTCGTTGTCGCCGCCGTCTTCGTTGTTGGAGGGTTCTTTCTTCTCCTTATTGTCTGCTTTCTTTCCCTTGTTTCCAGTATCAGGATTCTTCTTTTGTTTCTTATTGTTGCTCTTGCTCTGATTCTTCTCCTGATTCTTGTTCTTCTTTTGGTTGTTAGCTTTCCTTTTTTTGTCGTCTTTATTTTCGTTTTTATTCGCAGTTCCATCGTTTAAGCCCTTTTCTTGTTTGCCTTTCTTGATGCTACCGTCGGTGGTGGTTTCCATAATCTTTTGGACATTGTCCGCCATTTTCGAAATGACGATTGTGGTCTCGACGTTCTTTTTGTTGTGTTTTGGCTTTTGGATCTTCCCGGCGGCAGCAGACTTGGCTTCCAGCGTCTTCCCAGTCCCTTTGGAAATCTTCTTCTTTTGGACCATTACAGAAAATTGTTTTCTTTTGTGAAGTTGTGTGCCACCTAGATAGTCTATGATGGATTGGTGATGAATGTCGTGGTGTCAAAGTGTTTTCTGAATTTTGTGGGAGAGGTTTTGGTTGGTGGGAAGTGGAGTCGCGCTAGTCATTCATGTTTCGTCCGCCCATCACACCCGTTAGCATTGCTCCAGAAGAAAACCCGCAAGTCTGGGATTCTCGATCCTGAACGAACATCATCAACAACCTTGAGAGAGGGGAATGTACCTGGTTGGTACCTGGTACCTTTGTCATTTTTAATATCTCAACCCAAAGGCCCACTTCTCACTCAAAAACAAAAGCAGCACAAACCAAAGTAAGAAGAAGAATCAATCAGTCAGAATGCCGTTTCCAAGGCCACAAAGAGGAGACGCAAAAGATGTGTTCGAAGATCACCACCAACCTGACGATTACAATCATCGCGGCAATTATCCTCAAATCTACTCTGCTCCTACCGTCGATACATTGGACACGTTACAAAATACCTCCATGGCTTCCGCGACGCCTCTTCCTCAAATCAAAATGGTCAAGACGAACAAAAAAGTGCACAGATCGGACAAGGAGTTTCAAATTCCTGAAGACAGCATGCACGTAACGGTGCGCAAGGTTCCCATTTCCCAACGATCCGTCTTTAGCCGCAAACATCCACCCTTACCACAAGAAATTGCTCATCTTTCTCGCAAACGAATATCCCCTAGCATGCAACAATTGGCCCTCATTCACAAGGTTCAAAACATGACCCACTGTTCCCAGCTTAACTTTGGACCTTCGGTGGGACGAGCCGCCGACTCGTTGGCACCTCTATCTTTGTTTGAGGCAAGCAAAAAGAGAGATGGACGATATCGGTCCATTGATCCCATCCAAGCGACGGTCCAAGCCTTGCCACCCAATCCACCATTGCTGAGCAATCGAAAACACCGATTGCCATTGAGGTCCGATGTTGGATTCCCTGGAGCCTCGCTGGAAGAAATTCAACAAAAACAAAAGGAAATCGCCAATGAAACCGAATGGGAAGAAGCTTCGCCTCGGTTAATTGTATTGGTCACATCCGACGACATTGGAATAGTGACCACGATTCAAGACGAAGGATCGCTGGGAGGACCTGAACTCTTGTATCAAAAGGAATGCAATCGAAAGCACTTTCATCAGTTGCCAGCAGAACATGATAATGGCAGCACTACGACTATTCATTTGGATCGACAATATCGAACATCCTCATTGGCACCTCCCTTGGATGCCACCTTTTCGAGGAGTATGGGTTGGAGACCCCGGGCCTTCCATGATCGGCAACCGGAAATGTTCTATTCGCTCGTGTGTCCACTGTCGATTGACTTTGCCGTGGGCAACATTGAACCACTGGTGTGTTCCTTGACGCTGTATAGTTTGCACGACGATAATGAGAATGAATTACCATCGGGCAAGACGAGTGAAGAGTTTTGGTTTCCCGCGGGGGATTGGAAGGGCCGGGTGGCCATTGATTCCTTATTGCCGACGGAAGGAGGAAAAGGTGGACCGAGTCCAGAAGCCATTGCCAAGTGGCTGAAACGAAAATACAAGGCAATCTTTGCACACGATCCATATCTGGTGGACACCAAGGATATCTTTGTCGTCTTGCAAATCTATAAGGTCTTGCATGTCGATTTGGCGGCGGCCTACCTTCAGTCCAAAAGCAATGGGTCCGAATTCGATTTAAATACCTTTCAAACGGACAAACAGGGCTATAAGAGGAATATTCAAAAGTACGGCAAAAAAGATGAGGCAACCAAGGCGGCATTTCGAGCAAATTCGGCGATGGAGAGTTTTGGGACGCAGTTTCTATCACCGCTTTCGTTTGGGGTTACGCCGCTGTTCCCGGTAACGGGAAAATTTGAGAACCAAGAGGACGACTACCTATGGCCACAGGGGCATGTGGCCAAGGATGTTCAATTGTTCGCTTATCCTCCCATGCCCGAGTCCCAAGAGGAATTCGTGTCAAGGCTCAAGCAGCTTGCTCTAAGGCATGAAGGTGTTCTGCAGGAGCAGCAGCTATTATTATCCAACGAGGCTTCGTTTGGAGATGACAACTTTTTCAACCCTTCTTTTTCCTTTGGGTCGTTTGAAAATAGTGCCGACGAAGCCACCACTTCATCCTCCACCAAGAAAAAGAAGACTGGGGTAAGCCGCCTGTTCAAATCATCTTCCAAAAAGCAGGATGTTGCCACCAAAATTAGTGTTTCGGATCAAAATACGGAAGTGACATCAACATCAGCGAGCCTATTCAATAATGATATTGTCGAGACGCAAAAGATCGCTGGTACTGCTACCTTTTTTAGTTCGGCTTTTGATGTGGACTTTTTGCAAGCCATGCTCTATACGCCTCCCGAGTTGGACACGTCTACGGGGGATAGCACTTTGCCAAGTGTCTTGGTCGATGCGTCTGGTGAAGCGGCTGTCATGCTGGATCCCAAGAGCACCACCAACATAGTACGAGGGAACGTACGGAAACGATCCGACTTGATTCGGTTGCCATGTCGGGATGGATATTTGGATGCTTGTGATTTTCGGGAGATTTTGTTCTTGCCTCCACGAATACCAAAGAGCTACAGTCTGGACATTCCACCATCCTTTCGATCTTTGTTCAATTTCTTGTTTCTGTATCCCAGATTACTGCGACAAGATTCGTCAGCCTCGTCTTCGAAAAAGACCAATCGGCAGCGTTATAGTCTGCGGATACGGCTGATACAGGTTACGAGCGAAGAGGTTGGGGGTAAGCGACAAACCAAAAATGTCACTTTCACATCCTTCTATAATCCAGCTCCTTGGGCTGGACCATCCATGCTGAAGTCAGTCTTTACACGGGTTCCAGGGGATGACGTCAAGCATGACTTGCAGCGGGTCGGGATTCCTATGAGAGATGAGTTTAAGTTGCGTCTACCAATGCTCATTGATGGAAGCTTCTTTTTGCATTTCACCTTGTTTGCAGTGGATTTAGACGACGAACTCGCAAATGGTGACGATTCCTCTGGCATTTCAACGCACCCAGTATCCGAAACGACCATTCCCTTGGCTAGTTACTCGCCGGCGGATCCAAAAACAGGCGCGAGGGCTATGGTCATCATACCAAACGGAAATCATCGACTGAAACTAGGTGACTTTCAACTACAAGTGGAGACTCGTCTTTATAGTTCGGTGCATTTGTCCGATCCAGCTGTTGCTGCAACACTTCGGGATTTCCCATTTGTCAACGATGATGGTGGGCAGAATCAAGAAGCGATGATAAATCGAGTGAAGAGCGAATCAAGCTCCAACGACACTCATGATAGGCTGTCGTACTCTGGATTACTCACTTCAGCATCTGGAAATGCCCTGGCTGGACAATTTCAACTTTTGCTCCTGATGCACATGTCCAATCTAATCAATCTTCGAAACAACAAAACTATTGAAAGTGATGAACGGATATTAATGGAAAGGGTACTGAGTCTTCTCCATGTTTGCAAACAAATCAAGAACTCATTCTCGTCTACATCGGAATCGTCAATAAGGGAAGAACGCTTTCGGATGTTCATCAAGACTGCGATTGATATGTTTGATGAAAACACCTTGAAGTCGACGGATGGTATGATTGAAGAGGAAGAAGATAGTGGGCACGAAGAGGATAGGTTTGGACGCAGTAATCGCTTCAACCAGTCAGTAGGCAACAGCGTAACTCTTCAAGATGTGGAAGAAGAAGATCAATTCGATGGCGGGGCTGTTCGAAGGCGGAAGAAAGATCCATTGGGGGATATGGAAATCAGGTTGACTCGAACATTTTCCATTCAGAAGAATTCAGAACACACCTTTTCACGCGTTGCGTATGGAGCGAGCAAGACTGACAGGATGCGTCTCGAGGCAGAACTAGATAGTCGAACGCACTATGTCGATGACGACGAAACTGTTGTGACAGTCGAGACGAGATTGACAGAAGCCAGAGAGATATTTGAGAGATCAAAGAGCAAGTTAGGAGGACCGAAGAGTTCCGGAGGGGACTCAATAGCTGCCGATTCTTCCGATGGCCGGGATGAAGTTGCTAATGGCCTTCATGGTTTCAGTGCTTATGCACGATCGCTAGGAGGACTTGGTATTGCGCAAAGGGCGAAAAATGCTGCCCAGATAATCATCGCTCCGTGCGTTGCAGCAGTTCCGGCAGGGCTGCAATCAAATGTGGCATCGTTGTTTACTGATCGAATCAATCCCCACGTTGCAAATGGTGGAGATAGCCAAGCAGGTATTGAGTCCAATCCATCAGCCATGAAACTGGAATCAGGAATTGACGAAAACGGCATGGTGGTCGTAAGTGTATTCGCTTCAAGCCGTTTTCTCATATCGTGGAATCTGACATCTTGCATGTTCTCTTTTTGGGTCAACCTTAGGATCGGGTGTTGTACAGCCCTGGATCAGACATCGAGGAAGAGGATGCTGCTGAGTTAGGCGATACGCTATCACACTCTGGATCTGCGTATTACACGAGTGAAGGGACGTTCAGATCTCCTTTCAACTGTCAAGTGTTACGCTTCTCCATTAGCGGGGAACGAAATAGCGATAACAGATACCTTCCAATTGGAAGGGGCGATTACATCTATGAGTCGCTGCTAGTTCTTTGGTTGCGTGCCTGGATGAGTCAATCCGGCGATATGTCGACCTTAGACATTGGCGCTACATCAAAGGGAAAACACGCCCAGATGTTTTTCGATCACTTGGATGTCTTGATTCCAATTGTTCTCAAGTCCATTGTGCTTAGATATAGCAAGGCAGTGGAAGCTCCACAATCACGAATCTCTCGGGTCATCGTTGATCAGGGGCATATGAACGTGTTGGCGTCCTTTGTCGAAATGCTGGCTTTGTTTGTTATGAACCAGGCAGCAGAAGGATTAGAAACTACAGGCGATGCTAGCGCTGGTCTTGAAGGAGCACTTGTGAACGTGGACTTTGTCGTCGACTTTTTTGTGGGCTTGTGCGCTGTTTTCCATCCAGCACAAATCGATATTTTGCTGAATAAACTCTTCGACGTTCTTAGGCAATGTGATGGCAAGAAAAGAGGCTCAGAACAGACCCAAGGCGGCCTTGACTGGTCTGATGATACATTACGCCGTTCAAAATGCTCGAGAAAGCTTCGGCTTAGAATTATCGAACGCCTTGCTGTCTTGCCCAACTTCGTTGCTCTGAATTACCCGCGGCGAGTAATGAGCGAAAAAATAGCTGGACGAAAGACGAAGGAGTCTTGGACGAAGCAACACAGTGACTCGACTGCCAATGAGCCAGCTCCATCAGGTGATTTGCTAAACAGTGGAGATGATCTCCTACCGAAGAGTGGCTGGCTCGCAGAACTTTTAACAACTGAGGCGCTTTCAATTTGCTCACAAGCATGCCAAGCTGTTGTTGAAGAAGCGATGGCACATATCGAGACTCAATCGGCGAAGAAGAATGGGCGCCGCCCAGCTGACGCCCCGAAACAAAAACCCAATGCGCCTTTGAGTCGAGATGACTTACTGATGTTCCAGTCAATCGCCATTCATGCCATTACGGTTGTATATGAATTGCTCTTGAGGCGTCACGCCATGGATATCAGATTCCAACGGGATAGCAGTCGTGGAAGAATAGCAGCCTTGTTCGCCAAGCCGGTTTTCGACGCGTCGCTTTCTAGCATCCGTTGGCTTGCAAGATTGGAATCGACACATAAGGTCAGATCGCTTTGGCTTCTCTGCTTTGTGTACCTGCTCCAAGAAGTGCCAGAAAACTTGCTTCGACAAGCAGTGCGGTCTTATAGTAATCCAAAGGTAAGGATACGGTGTGATGCGCTCCGCCGAAGCAGTTTCACTGACACCGCATGTTTGTCCAAAGAATATTCGCATTCATCGATTCATTCGCCTCCTTCGGCTTGGAAGCTCGTCGTTCCAGAGCTTCTTTGATCAGGAGCGTCACGGGACACTTCCATCGGAAATCGACAAGGCCATTTCGCCATGGCTTTTGCAGGTACGTGCTATTCTTATGTGATGCATGCGATTGAAATAGCATAGCTTATTTTTCTTGTGCACGGGCCCGCAGGAATCGTTCAACACCATGTGTGCAACAACAATTGTGGTTGTTGAAGAGTGCGCAAGTCCACTTTCCATGTATCCAAGCGAGCAAAAGGCGATCGTCCAAGGAATTTTGGATCTTCTGCTTCACGTGCTGACAACTCCGCAATCAGCAGTAACGCATTTGCGAGCGATTGGTGGGGCTATTCAAGCACTGGAGAGTTTTGGAGTGGACATTTTCCTTGAGGTCACCGGAGATAGTTTGCAGCACTGGCTACGTGTTGTCCTCGGGTTGATGAATAGTGTGGCTCTGTCTGTCCGTTCCATTGCTGTTGACTTCGTTGTATCACTCATGGGTAGTACTTTTGATGCAATGGGAAACATCCATGAGCTGGCCCTGACGTTTGCTACAGTACTTCCTGAGGTTGCAGCGCGTGAAATCGCATTGCATAGTGTTTCTGGACATGTCGAAACTATCGAACATATCGAAAAGTCATTATGGCCTCTTCGGCGATCGTTTGCAGACATTGAAGATGCTAACCCGCTTGATGACGATCGTGTTGATCCCCAGCTTGCACCGATCTTGTCGGAATTCTGCAGAACATGCCAGGCACTTCTCGACGGGGTCTTAATTGAAGTGAGGCTCCAAGGGAGCGCCTTCAACATCGTTGGGACACAAATCCGAGAACAGCCAGTTGAAAGCTACATTTTCGATGCTGACGAAGAATCGATATTTGAGGCAGCGAGCTTTTTCGTTCCCGAAACAGCCCCTATCCAACGTGTTCGCTGGCTGCTGACCCTCAAGTCACTACACAAGGCGAAAGGTCAATGGGTGGAAGCAGCTGAATGCTTAGTTATATGCGCCAAGACAATATGTGATTCTATACCACACCTACGTCATGTCTGGAGACCAAGTCGATTCGCACTATGGTCGGACGAGAGGAGATCACTTTGGCTATCGACTGTTGGACAAGATATTGATAATCCCGAAAAAGGCAATGCTCAAGTGATGAACTTTGCAGGACGTTTCCTCGAGCCAGACTTCTTCAATTTTGCCAACAAGAACGAAAGCGACTCCCTGAGGCTTCCTCAACCTACCGTTTCAGACATGTGTACCCTTCTCACTGTTATTACCAAGGAATCAGTATCATTTTATCTGAAAGAAGAAGGAATGGACAGCCTTGCATATTCTCGCCTAGAATCTCTTGTCAAAGTGCTGATGAGCATTCTTGATGACCATGGTATTGTTGACCTAGGAGGCACACGAACGAGACTTGGAAAAAATATTTTGCGAAAGCAACAGGTCGAAGAAGAAGCTGCTCTGCGGAAGGTTATTGCCAGCATCAGTTTGGACATGACAAAACTCGCTGAACGGTTGCTTTTGATTGCCGAAGATGAACCAAACGATGATTCTCCAACTAAACAGACGTCCGACCAAAGCAGCACGAAGGAACGGCATGCTTATTTTGTTCGAGTCCTTTTGTCAGGTAAAAAGCCAACTCGCTTTCTTGAGAGTACAACTCTGCCCACATTTTTGGAATGGCAAACACCGTGTATCTGTCGAGTACCAAAAGGAATTGCTGATGCCGTGCTGAATTACACGCCAAAAAATGTTGAAGACAGACTATGCGAAGCCTTTGGAAGCTCTCTACGCAATGCACTTCTGAAGAGTGGTAGCAATGTCACCATTGTCACTGGAAGCAAACCACAGGTAACAGAACCGAAGAATGGGGTCATTTTAGATATCGGCATTGTCAAAATGAACACAGCATTTTCCGCAGGTGATGACGGCAGTGACTTCGCGCAGCAAGGAAAACACTTTTTGTACCACAAATCATCTTCTGCAAATGGTGGTAAAGGAAGCACCGTGAAAATGACTGTCGCTCATCCATTCCCTTGTCCACTCTCGCGTCAGCGAACCATCCTGACGTCCGAATTGATGACTTCAAAACCATTCCAATGATAAATGACGAACCAATCATCTGTAATACTCAGCATTTCCAAGAAGAAATATTTTGATCCAAGTCAAAAGTGCCTCGTCTGAGAGGTTGGCGACAGTCATGTCGCTGCCGAAAACGCAGCGACCCTTCACAACGTCACCTTCCAGCTGGTTACTTCCGCCTTCCTCCCAAGCTCCTAAGATGCTGGAGAAATTATCGCGCAGTGAATCGTCTGTGATCAACTTCTGTTGCCCAAGATGCGACAAAACCTTAACGGCCGTATGACTAGAAATGTTTTCAAACTTGCCATCAATAACTTCTCCTTTGATTCCACCAGATCCTTCCTCTCCTTTCTGCCATGTACAAAAACCTTGAACCACCAAAAAGTTGTGAGTTGTGGCGACGCCATTTGCCAAGGAGTCAACTACTTGTTCGTAACTGCATGTCTGGAGGCAGCCGTTTCCCCCCAAAATCTGTCCAACCTTGTGAGTACCAAAATAGAACCAAAGAAGTGGATCTTCGTCACCTCGTCCATCAGGACCACCAAATCGGATGGGAAACACAACCTTGGTACCATCTGACAAGTCGATTTCGATACCATCACTAGAAGGCAAATGAAGGGTTACTCCAACGGACACATCGTCAGATTCTTGCAAGAGCAGCAATATGGATTTGTGAAAAAACTGATCTTGTAGCAGGAAAGGGGATTCTTCTTGCGAAGATCCTCGTAGCAGAGAACCCGTTTGAATTTGCGAGGTTTGGCCAGATGCTCGAATGGCTTGATAAATGTCGGTATCTTCCACATAGGTCTCATCCATATCTGGTTCTGGTACCATGAGCATTTTGGTGGCCCATTCTTTGAGCATTAAGTCTTGAAAGTCACTAACAGCCTGCCCTTCTTGCTCTGGGGAATCATCGTCCTCCTCTTGGTCGTTACTTTGCTTGTCCAAAGCTCCCACGATACGTTTCCACATGTCCAGTCCTACCTCTCGCGGATCATTGTCAGATTGTCGCAAGGTTGTCAAGTCAGACCATAGAGTATCGGAATCGACCGAAACAATACTCCAGGAACCTCGTTTTACCTCTCGTTCCAATTGCCCTGGATCCCAACCACAAAATCCATAAAATGTAAAGCAAGCGTCAGGGGTCAGTGAACCTTCGTCCAATAGGGCACGGGCCCCCAAATGACTAGTCAAGTATACCCCCGGCAAGACTTCATCCGAAACACTCTTAGCCACCGTTGAAGTATCATTGTGCAAACACACAATGAGAGGGTTTTCAAACTCATCGTGCAGCCCAGCAATATCACCACCAAAAAACATGCGCCAGGAAGTATCGGTACCACTACCATTATGTTCATCATCATCATCACCATCGTCGTCTTCAAATACTTGCTCGCCGTCATCGCCGTAGTAGACAATATCTTGATCCTTCAGATTGAGATTGGACGGTCTATTGAGTACAATCCCCTGCGTGAATTCATTTTCCTCGTGTTCGACTAGCAACACGACGCATTTGGCAAAGTAGGGCTGTCGCAAATCATGACACCCCAGACTGTCTTCGACTCGACTGACCACCAAGGAACCCCTTTCAATCAACATGCCAGCATCGTACGTCCACGACTTGGGAGATGATGAAGATGACGATGGTGATGATGGCAGATCCTTGCTGTTCTCTCCCTGCACAAGTTTGGCACGAAAGGCTCTCCAGTCGTCTTGTGTGTTGCCTTCACCACCGGTACTGCTGGAGGTTTGTTGTCTCGTCTTCTTGGCAAAGCGAGAAAGCCTTGTTGGATTGTTCGATAAAGGCTGAAAACCAGCCGACCAATCGGTCCTCATGGCCATCAATAGTAGGATGAATCGAATTATCCTACACATTGTTGTTTGTGTGTTAAAATGATTGTAATACCGAACTAACAGGGAACACGCATCACCATTCATTCGTTCGTTGGTGATGAAAATGTGAAGTCGAACAAATCAATCGCTCACGGGATTGAAAACAATCCCGTCATGAGATGCGAACGGCGTCACCGCATCGGCGGGGTGTTGGCCGCATCATCATGCAATCTCATTCAAATATCTTCGCCTCTTTATTATACGGTACCATCCTTTTTCGTTTACCATCTAAGCGTATCCAATCCAACATGTCTCAATATTCCTGGGCGAGAGCTCATACCAGAGCTGCAGCGGCCCTTGCGAGTGTGGCAGTGTCATCAGGAGGATACCTAATGTTGTGGCAACAGCAGCAACAGTCACAAGAGGACGAGAATCATCCGTGCAATCAATCCTCTTCACGACTCCCATCGGCCTTTCATTTGAATAGTACTACTCAATCATCTGACAACAACAATACGACGGCCGCCATCCTTCCTGCTGCTGCCTTTCCAACCACAGCCCAGGCCTTGTGGTGGATGGCACAGGGCACGATTACTAGCAGTACTACTGCTAAAACTACGCAATGCCAACCCAAGCCAGATCCCGGATATCCAGATCTTTCTCGCTTTGGCAAGCATTCTTACCTCAAGAAATACTTGACTCCTGAAATCTATGCCGCCTTGAAAAAGAAGAAAACAGCAAAAGGGGTCACGTTGGAAGATGTCATTCAATCCGGTGTCACTCTTCCTTATGGTGCTCGACCGGTTCGAGGTTGTGGGATTTACGCCGGTGATGCGGAATCCTACCAAGTGTTTGCCAAACTATTGGATCCCATTGTAGAAGATTGGCATCATTTGCGAAGCGATTCGCTGCAAGCTCGATCCAATAAAGCCCTTCTGGCTGGACCCAAACAATCCAAGACATCCAGGAGCAGCGGCAAACCCGTCAAGGGGGCGCGGATTAGTCGTCAAGCCACCAATCTCAATCCAGGTTTTGTGCTGCGACAGAATTTGGATCCAGATGGTGAATACATTCTGCAAACCCGCATGCGAGTGGCTCGATCGGTGAGAGGATTTCCCTTTTCGCCCAAAATTAGTCGGGAACAGCGCCGCGAGTTGGAAGGATTGATTCAAGATTGTACACGGGACTTTCAAACAACCGAAGATGAGGACTTGACAGGTACCTATACAAGGGTCATGGACATGACCAATGAACAACATGGCGATTGGATTCACCGGCATATCTTGTTTCATGATCCCGATGCCTTGTCGATAAGTGCTGGGTTGGGAAAGGATTGGCCGGATGCCCGAGGAATTTATATGAATCGTCATTCCATGTCAGCAGATCCAACAGACGCAGCGTCTTACAATGTATCTCCTGAGGTAATGATTTGGGTCAATGCGGAAGATCACTTGCGCATCATTTCCATGAACAAGGGAGGCGATTTATTGGGGGTCTTTACCCGTCTGAGCAAAGCAATTGGAGCATTGGAGGCATCTCTAAAGAAGCGTGGGTATGGGTACGAATCGGACCCATACCTGGGCTTTTTGAACACCTCCCCCGAGAACTTGGGCACGGCTCTACGAGCCAGTGTCTTTGTCAAGTTGCCTCGATTGGGCCGCGAACCAGGATTTGATGAATTGTTGGCACGGCTAAGACTGGAGGCATCTACCAGATTTCGAGGAGAATTCAACAACAATGCAAAGTATAC